CTGTCACCCATAAGGGCTGAGTAAGCACAATGGGCAACAGGCACTGTGAATGTTCTTGCCAAAGAACCTGCAATAATAAAACATTAGCTTCCCAGAAGCCATGCTGGACTTTAGACTCCAAGTAGAAACTAATCATCAGAGTCATTTACAAGCCATGTCAAAAGTGCATATGGCACTCGATAAGTAAATATAATTGAAAAGGCCAACTATAAATCTATAAGATGAGATGAGCACCAAAAAAGACACACACACACACACACACACACACGGAGTTTATTGGTCTAAAGTCTGCTCAGATTGTCAAATTTATTTTTCTAACTCCAGGAAAATTCTTGTCTACTTAACCCATAAATAGTTACCTCACCAACTTATTTTTTTTTTTTTAAGATTTATTTATTTATTTATTTATTTATTTATTTATACAAGCACTGGGTACAGTCAGAAGCGCGGGAGGGTGAGAGAATTCACCAGAGCCAGGGCGGGGAGCAGAACAGGCAGAAGGACCGAAGTACACTGCTGAGGGGAGCAGCGGGCGGCAGGAGAGGTCTGCGCACCATGTGGGACCCTCCTCCAGTGGCCGGGGAGCAGCCGGGGATCGAACCTGTGCTGCAGAGGCTGCGGGCAGCTTCACAACCCAGCGCTCAACCGCTGCGCCATTGGGGAGGCCCACCTCACCAACTTATAATAAATATACCTAGTTAAGAATATTTCGTAACCTGCCTTGGCAATCTGTTTCATCATCTTAACAAATGGGAGACATCTTAAAGTCATTAAAAACAACTGTTAGTTAAGCCACTGCACAATTCATTACTAAAGATCATACTTTTGCAATAACCCTATTAAAATACAGAACCTAATTCTGGGTATTATCAAAACCCAGTATTCAATAAAAACACTCTCTTCAGTTATATGCTATTTATTGTACTACCACTAATATTTCAGTAACTCAGTGGCCTTTTTAATAGAAATATTTCCTTGCTGAAAATATTTACTTGATAAATCAGTGGCTTAATGTTCTCATTAAAAATAGAATTTTGGAATTAAACATTATAAGAGACCATAACATGATGGAATAATCCATGCTCACCAGAGAACTGTATCTGCCTCCGTGCTCCCTACCTACCTGGTTAGCACTTAGTCAATAATTAAGAGCAACCTCCTCTATAGCTTCAGCTATCAATTCTAGACTTATGGTTCCTAAACCTGAGTCTCCTGATTCTAGAATGCACATTTCCAACTGATTGCTGGAGTTCTTCCTATGGAGGTCTCAAAACATGATAAAAATGTTGCTTTTTGCAGACTTTGCTATTTAAATTGTGGTCCACAGGATAGCACTGTATCACCTGGGAGCTTGTTAAAAATGCAACATCTCAGACTCATTTTCAAACCGATGCATATTCAAATTTGAGAATTAGTGCTGTATGATTCAATCATTTCTGGTGAATTTTACTTCTTCAAAAATATTTTTCAAACATACAAAATACTTGACCTATGAAGTATCTCACAATGATTTTATGAGATCAATGTTTAAACCTCTGAAGATTAAGTTATTTTTAAATTGCCTTGAAGACAGGAACTATCTGCTCTAAGCCTCTTATATAAAGTGAAATGGGATTCTTTCTTATTGGAAGTTATTTAATTAATATACTTAAACATTTCAAAATGACATCTTTACTGCTACTCTTAGGTAATTTCCAGATTTATTATTCTTAGAAAGATTTCTAACCCTTACAAAAATTGTCAATTTTATGGATTTCCCTGTTTTGCCAAATAAATCATGTGGTGCCCAGAATCCTACCTCCCCCACCCTCAAGTCAGATTATATAGGATTATTCTATGGTGGCTTTGCCTTGTTAAGGTTCCTGAGCAAGTTCTTCACACAGATCAGAAAACAGCATTTCCCCCCAGCACAGCAGACCACATATCCCATAGGAAACAAATCCACCCAGTCAGGCTCCAGTGCACTTTTCTCTACTTAATTACTCCAGGGATTGCAGTTGGGAAATGCACAGCTCTCTGTTGGTTAGTTGGGTGCACAGTGTCCTGCTTGGTAGCATTTTTTCCTAAATTGGCAAACACCTACTGCATCACGCAGATCATGCTGCTTTATTTTCTAGATTCATGTTATTTATTTATACAGACAAGAACTGGGGTCCAGGCCAGAGGTGAAGGGGGTGAGAGGATTCACCAGAGACAGAGTGGGGAGCAGAACAGGCAGATTTACTGAAACACACTGCTGAGGGGAGCAGCAGGCGAGAAAGGAGATGTCTGCTGTGTCATGTGGGTTGGCTTCCTGGCCGGGGATCGAACTCATGCCACTCATGTCACAACAGCAGGTGACAGCTTGATAGTGCTGAGACTTTAACCTCTTTACCTCCAGGGAGGCCCTAAGCTGCTTTCTTTTAAAGACAAATTCAGAGAGTACCAGGTGCTTTGTTGGTCAGTGGTTATGATCCCTCAAAATGTGTTGTTTTAAAACAGATTTAAATGTTCTCCAAAGTTTATTTGGGTCTGTTACATATTAATTCTTCCCTATTCCATAGCATTCTTTTCCCTAAAAGTGCAAAACACTTGTAGCAGCCAGCAATTTATAGTCGTCTTGCTTTTCTTGTCATTACAGACCCTTTTAACTCCAAAATGCCACAATTTCTCAACTTGGTATCTACTTCTATATTCATGAGGGGTAAATGTATGATTAGAACATCAAATCTTCCCTAAAATTCATTAGAGAAAGTATTTTGGATGGTTTGGTCATTTAACAACTTAGTAATTATGGCTCTTAACTAGTTCAGGCAAAAAATTTTGATTATTTAAAACTTCTATTTAAAAAAAAAAATTGTACTATTCAGATGATGAGTTGCTACTCAATTTCCTTCTTAGTTTTAGAAATGGGTTTATTTTGTTAAGTCTTTCCAGCTATTGCCATTTGGAACCTCTCCATTGAATTTTTGTTTTCTGTCTCATTAAAATTTTGATTTTAGTATTATTTCCTTCCTCGACTTTTCTTTAGATTTCTTGTTCATGGTTTGAAAGTTATATAATCAGTTTCAGTCTTTCTTATCCTTAACTTTTAAAAATAACTGTTTTTACGTTGATTAAACAAAGCCTAAAGTTAGTATTTCTATTCATCCTCCACACACTTTAGAAGTAGCCACTTATTTAGTTTGTTTCCTCAAGGGGATAAAATCACCTAATTTCCTAATAGCCCATCCTCAACCCAAATAATTGGGCTTTATGTCATAATAATCATGGATAGGGAAGAAAAATAATCTAGATTTACTTAGAAATGTAACTTCACTATTCCATACCCTGTATTATGCATCTATTATTATACGCACCAGATAACAGAGACCCGCTTTTCATTTCAATTGATTAAAAATAGGCATGAAGAAAGGAAAAAGTTTTAATTTTGTAAATTATTTTTAAAAAGCAAACAAAAAACATTTGTAGAATTACTTGATAAAATGCTCAAAATGAATACAAATCAAGAACATTAGGGAACAAAAAGTATGTATTTGGGAGACATGGAAAATAAAAATGTAGGGGCCTCCCTGGTGGCGCAAGGGGTTAAGCACCACACTATGAAGCTGTCTGCAGCCTCTGCAGCACCGAGTTCGATCCCCAGCCAGCCAGGGAACAACCCACATGGCGCAGACCTCTCCTGACTCACCCCGCTGCTCCCCTCAGCAGTGTACTTCTGTCAGTCTGCCTGTTCTGTTCCCCGCTCTGGCTCTGGTGAATCCTCTCATCACCACCCCCACACCTCTGACCTGTACCCCGGCTCTTGTATGCATAAATGTCTTTAAAAATAAATAAATTAAATTAAAATGTAAAGATGAGTACTAGAAAGCAATTGTAATTTTTCATTGTTTGAAATGTAACAAACATGTTCATTTCAAATAAAACCTAGTGCAATAATCCACAGCATTTAATTTGTATGGCCAATAAAGAATGCACTTGCTTTTGTCACTATATAGATCTCAAATATCACACCTAAGAGTAACGTTTAGGTAGAATTACAGCACCCCATCCACCATTACATTTTCAACTGTGACCTCTGTACACATTTTCTAAGGGAGAAAGGGATCCTCTAGAAATGATGTATAGTATCATTGTTACCAGGCCAAAGTGTTTGGATTTATTCTGAGGACAAAGGAAATGACATGATCAGATACATATTGCAATTAAAGGAATGGAAAAAAGAAGACTGGGAAAGTGGCATGGTTAGGAGGCGGTTTCACCAAATCAGGTGAGACATGATGAATGCAAAATAAGATCAAGAACTCTAAGCAAATTGGGGGGATATTGGAGAAATAGAACTGGAAGAATTGAACTACTACAGATGTTGAAAGTAAAAGCTGAAAATGATTCCTTGGTTTCTGGTCTGGACTGGGTAACAAGCACATTCATTAGACACACTCAGTCCCTTAGTGAGGGATTGTAAGAGGGAAGTTCATCAGGAAGGGAGCTAGGGACTCCCTGGTGGCACAAGGGGTTAAGATACAACCTATGAAGCTACCCGCAGCCACTGCAGCATGAGTTCCATCCCCAGCCAGGGAGCTACCCACATGGCAGGCAGATTTTCCTGACTCACCCGCTGCTCCCCTCAGCAGTGTATTTTGGTCAATCTGCCTGTTCTGTTTCCCTGTCTCTGGTGAATCCTCTCACCCCTCTGCACCTCTGGCCTTTACCCCAGTTCTAGTATGCATAAATAAATAAATCTTTAAAAAAAAGGGGGGGGGAGCTAGATAGAGAAAATGGAAGCTCAATTTTGGAATCAATTTTAAAAGAGTATATGCTGTTACACCAAAGCATTTTTAGAGATAAGGCCACTAGGGGTAGTATGTTTAAGAATGGTTACAAAACTCCATGAATATCCTAAAAAGCACTGAGCTGTACATTTTAAATGAGTGAACTGTATGGTGTGTGAATTTTATTTTAAATGTTCTCATATTAGATTAGAATTCTCAGGCTTTACTAGATTTCAAAGTAAGCAAGAAAACAGAGAAAGTATACTTTATTGGTATTTAGGCTTAGCACATTTCAATTCAAATAAAATAAAACAGCTGTTTATTTAATCTAATGGAATATAACATATAAACAATTTTTAAGTATCTGTTTTACCATCATCTGATTGTATTCATGCAAGTATAATTATCAAAACGGTCCTTCTAAGTATATACCATAGCACCACCTTTTTATCTGCAGTACTTGATATAAATTCCATTGTCAAATATATCTGGCTTTAGCAATGTAAACATTTGCTAGAAGTAAACTTTAAAAGGTAAAAGTGAATGATACTAATGAATAAGTCAAAACTGAGCATTACAACATGATATAATTCAACAAAATATTATAATACTGCTTCAGTAAGAACCACAAATTAATAAATTTCACAAAATAGAAGCAGAAACAAAATGTGTAAACTCCCAAAATAGAGTGAAAATACGAAGGATGTAATGTAAAATTTACCTCAAAAAAATAAGGGGAAACAACAAAATCATGCAGTGAAAACCAAATTTGGTTTAATAATTACAACAGTCATTTTACTGCAAAGGCATTCTAAAATGCACCCTGGCAAAATGGTTTATTTTCCATCTCCCCTTTTAAAAAAATTACCTCATTTAATCACATAAGTTGGATACTCTGCGGGAATTTCACACTCACTGTTAGTTGTAGGACTATTACCAAAAAAGACCAAACTTTTCATCTCTATTTTTCCAAATGACCAAACATTAAATTATCTTCATGAAAATTACCATATATAAAGTCAAATAATTCCTAGACAAATCATCATAAAAATAAACCTGCCTCAACAGAGTAAGTACAGAAAAAGTGTATATATAAGTGCTGAATATCACAGGAAAATATTCAATGAATAGGTAAAAATGTTCACATTTATCACTACTTTTGATGTTTTGTACTTTCTGGCTAAAATTACCAAACAAGTTTTCAAAAAGTCAGCAAGGACATTCAGTGCCACTTTGGGTTTGTCTGCAATTTATAAATGACTCTGTAGTGCATGGCAGACTATTTTCATTATTTATATAACAAAGTTATAAAGACCTCAAATTTCTAAAACCTGTTATAATACTGTGGCAAGCAAAACAAATTTGTTCTTATTGCTCTTATATTCCAGCTTAATCTACAAAAGTGAACATTTCTCCACATCTCAAACCATACTAACACAAAGAGTGTCTAGAGAGTTGGTTTCCACAGATGAACTGAAAAAAGAAAAAATGAAACTGAAATATTTCATCTTCTTAAGTGTCCTTAATATGCTAGCAATTCAAGCAGCACTTGACACAGCAAGTTTCTTCAAGTGATCCATAAACACTTGCAAACTAACATCATCTGTAAGAATAGGTGCTCCAGACTCCTAGAGGAAAAGAAAGACACCTTAAAATACATAAGCAATGTACAAGTAAATGTTTAAAATAGACAAAATATTTCAAGTAGAACAATGCCTATGCTCCTGGTGTATAAGATATTCTGACTGGTCTTTGCCCCTGGCTACTGAGAGCAGGAGGCACTCTCTCTATAGGATTTCCCACTAGTAATGTCTTTGGTGTTTATGACCCTTCCCCTCCTCTGCCCCATCACATGTGAAGTTATGCTGAGATGAGATCACTCAGATTGGGGACCGATCACCAAAAAGATCAACCATGTGATTAGAAGGTTGGGCTTTAAGACAGCCTGAAGGCAGAATACTGAACTCAATCACAGCACAGTGATTTGATCAAAAGTTCCCCACTCTCACACATCCCCCAACCCCACAAAACTCTGGATACCAAAGCTCAGTGGCACTTTCTATTTGACAAACACATTAACAGAGCTGGTAGGGTGATACAGCCTGATTCCAAAGGGAAAGGACAGAGACATTCTCTATCTGGGGACCCTGCTCTGTCCTTCATTAGCTGGTCCTAATTTGTAGCCTTTACAATAAAACTTTAGTCATAAAAATAGTGCTTTCCTGAGTTCTGTGAGTTGTTCTAGCAAATTATGAACACACACGCGCGCACACACACACGTACACATAGGTTTGTAACTAGTTGATCAAAAGTGCAGGTAGTCTGAAATCCCACTTGCAGCTGGCATGTAAGGTAGGACAGACTTGCAGACAACATCCTTTAACTTGTGATAACTGCACTAACTCCAAGGAGTCAGCATCAGATTTGCACTGCAGTTAATCAATGCGTGTTAGAACAGCCCCACACCCGACTTAATTTTTAAAGCAATAAAGTGTCAATTTGTCTTTTATCATTACTAAGGAATAAATCTGCCTAGGTGAGATTATTGCTATCTATTAGCTAAAGTAAAATTACAATTATACATATTTTAATAAAAATGGCAATTGGAAGGAAGCAAATTTATAATAGTTTTTAATAAACTATGCTTATAAGTTTTCAAGTCATTTTCATCAATGTCTGTGAGTTTTAAGAAATTAACAAGAGTCAAGGAAAATTGCTAACGTCTATTTTAAATAAAAACTGTGTTGACAGAATGCCCTTGGTAATAATGAAATTTTCTAATTTCATTATCACAAGAAAAAGTTTTTCTAGAAGATTTTATAGCTGAATTTTACAATTTTCACCTGATACTCAAGCTCTTACTTAACAGTAAACATATAAAGTCTAAAGGAGGGAAATAAAGCAATTTTCAAAGGGGAATCAACAAGTAAGAGGTGGGCCTCCCCAGTGGCGCAGCGGTTGAGCGCTGGGTTGCGAAGCTGCCGGCTACCTCTGCGGCGCCGGTTCGATCCCCGGCTGCTCCCCGGCCACCAGAGGAGGGTCCCACATGGCGCGCAGACCTCTCCTGCCGCCCGCTGCTCCCCTCAGCAGTGTACTTCAGTCTGCCTGCTCTGCTCCCCGCTCTGGCTCTGGTGAATTCTCTCACCCTCCCGCGCTTCTGACTGTACCCAGTGCATGTATAAACAAAACAAACAAACAAATAAATAAATAAATAAAACATGCCTCTATTAAAAAAAAAAAAAAAAAAAACAAGTAAGAGGCACATGTGAGATGAGAATTTATACATCCTGGGATTCTACTCTGCCATAGCTACGGATATAATGTCTCCTGAATAAAACAAAACCAATGTTGTTATGTGCTTTCATAAGTTAACCTGAAAAACTTGGTAACGAAAGGAGGCAAGAGCACTGGGGTAAGAGTCAGGAGTCAGAGTGCTCTGTGCTGGCTCTGCTATTCCTGTCTGTGTGGCAGAGGAAAGCACTTAACCTCTCTGTGTCTTAGTTTCCTCACTTTAAAATTAGGTTACTAATAGGATCTATTTCACAAGATTTTTATAATGGTTAAATTGTGTAAAGCAAATAGAACAGTACTGATCCATGTCGTAGGATACAACATGTTTTGGCTATTTTTACCTTTTTTGAAAAATTTATTATTTTAAAACATTGAAATACTTTTCCTTATTCTACATTCATAATGCAGAGAAACAAATTCTCCAAACAGTGACAAACTAATAACTTGGTAGCTCCTGCTTTTTTCTTCATGTAATGGTATCTGATTTTTTTTTTCATTTTATACATTTTCCACCTCAATTCACCCAGTTCCAGATCTCCTACCCAAGAAAAAAAATATATGGATTTTCTAATTTACATACTGCAAAAACTTTATTTAAAATTATTAATACTAGTGTTTAACTCAGTCTTATCAAAAATTTGCCACTGGTTGATCTCAATGTTTCAAATACACTCATTTTCTTTTTAAAATATATCTAGATTAGGCAGAAAGATCCAAGCTTGTATCATTCAGTACATGAAGCAGCCTGTCACAGAAGCAGTGTTGCAGTGGTGCCCTCTTCAGGCCATCCATGGATGGTACTACTTTCAGACCAAAAAAACCCCCGAAAAACTAAGATATTTGATTCCATGACTTTTAGCAAAATAGCTGGCTACCAAATTAACTCCCTAAATTGCAATCATGAATTTAGACTAAAGATTAAAAATTTATATTCTAGAGTCAGACAGGTCTGGGTTCAAATCTGGACCCTGCCACAGTTTAGCTTTGTGATATTAGGTAAATTACTTAGCCTATGTTAGCATCAGTTTCTTCTGAAAACTAGAGCTAACAGTACTCACCTCATAGGGATATTTTAATAATTAAGTAGGAATGCATAAAGAGCTTAGTATAGTGACTAAAACAATAAAAATTCAAGTTTATTAGTTATTAATATGGTTATTGTCTATAAGAACATTAACATGATTTCCTTATAAAAATCATAGATCTTTGTATGGAGGGCTCCTTACTGGCTGCATTACCACTAATTCCAGGCAGTAATAATTAAACTTCAAAGTTTAAAATAGGTTTTCAAATAAAGACATCTGAAATATATTTGGAGACTTTTTTCTACTGATAACCAAAAAAACCTAATAGCTAATATTTCCTGCGTATTAATTTGCCTATCAAGCATATATTAAACTCTGTAACAGACAAGAAAGGCAAAGAGGTTAACTAACTTGCAGAGTCTGTATTTTCAACTACCATCTCAGAATGATGCCTCTTCATGTTTAACAACTCAACAAGTTCTTTCTAAGTCTGCCAACTACAACTCCACATTGTAAATTAAACCATACAAAAGAAAAAAAAAGTAAATGTGGAGAAATCAGAGCACAATTCTAAAGCATCTATAGTCTAAGAGAAGGGGCCCTAATTCCAATTATTGCTTCATTTATCTCTTACCCAGTGTGGACCCCATAGTCAGTTATTTAACATTACTCATTAAATAAGTTTAATGTGTCTCTCTTTAGCTCCAGTCCTCAATTATCCCAATGTCTGTCATTTTTGCAATGCCTGAATTACAAAGCATGTTTAAAGAAATTATGGAAGCACGTTCTAAAAATTGTTAGTAAATAAAGTAAGATGTCACCACGGCTGTAAAAGTCTTTTACTCAACCTCTAGTGATTTATTTTTTCCTTCTGGCTGTTTTCAATCTTTTCTATTTGCTACTCAACTCCAATCTTCTAGTACTAAAAAACAACAAGCAATTATTCAACATGCTTTATCTCCACCTTAAAGTCTCTGTCTTCCTTCTTCTCACCTCTTTCTTTACCTGGAAGAAATGTCCTGCCTCCATACCAATGCTTAAGAACGAGATAGTGCATGTGTTCACACTGTCTCCTTTTGAGGATTTTAAACATAAATACATTGTTATTGCATCTCCCCCTCTACTTGGCTTACAAATGTTAAGTTCTGTACCCTTACTCTAATAACAATCATCCTTCTGACTTTCTATTCTCTCTGAGCCTGTTTTTGCAAAAGAATCATTTACACTTGGGACCTCCACTTCTCTACCACTTGTTAATTCCTTATTCTCTACCATCTACTCAACCAAAAGGCTTACCAAAAGCCACAAATGACTTCCTAGTCACCAAATCCATCCCCCTTTTTCTGTCTTCCTCCTCTTTGAAGTGTCTGCAGCACCTCAGTGTTTGCTATCTCCTACTTCCTTCCATAAAGTCCTTTCTCACCTATTATAACATGGTCTTCCTTTTAGTTTCCCTCCACTTTTCTGATTATTTATAAAATATTCCTACCACTTGTATACTTCCAAGATTTTACCTCTCTTTTTTGCCTCTCTACTCTCTCCTTAGACAAGCATACACTGTGATCATATTAAATATCAGCCTTCTGCAATCAACTTTCACATCCTTGCCCTGATCACCAAATGTGAATTTCCAATAGCTTCCCCTAAATGGCAAACTACATAATATTTCAAACTCACTGCATCTAACACCAAACATTTTTTCTCCACCCTCCCACTTACTAACACATGTTCTCCTAATAAACCAGGCTCAAAACCCCAAATTACCTTATTCTCCCTCAACTATCTATTTTTTAAAAATGCAAACCTACAGAAAAGTTGAGAGACAATTACAATGAATACCCATATATTCTATACTCAAAATCAATGATTTACATCTTGCAACATTTGCTTTGTTTCTAGGTATTTTTTTTTCTCTTGCTGAATCATTTCTGCAAGTTGAAGACATCGACTTCCCCCAAATTCTCTAGGATATATCACCTAAGATCAAGAACAATCTATGTAGCCACACCATCATTATCACACTCAACAAAGTTAGTAATGCTGTACTCCTATCTGACATGTAGCCCATATTCATATTTTGCAAATCATCCAAATTATGTTCTTCATAGTTGTGCTCTCCCTCTAATCCAGGATCCAATCAGAATTCAGATTTTGCATATAGTTGTTTGCCTCAGAAAAACTTACTTTGCTGAAACAGCTAATCAAGTCTCACAGAATATACTTGTAAAGTATCTCCCAAATCTAGTCCATTTCATCATCTTGCTTTCTTTCCTTCACACTTGGATTACTTCAATTCAACATACAAACTGCTCACAATTAGTTTTAAAATATAAACTGTGTTAAGAATTAAATTTTCCCTCTGTCTAAACTTCAATGATATTCCATTACTTACCAAAGAAAGACTCAGTTTTTCAGTCCTCAACCTGGCACTCATGATCCTCCACAGTTTTATGTTCTACTATAGATCCTTACATCCTTACATGTACATCCTTAGCCCATACAATTTCCTTCCCTCATGCAATTCCTACTGACTGGAATAACAGCCATTCTAAAAGTAAATGTTTTTTTTCCTGAGTTTTTTTTCTGATCACACACCCTCTCCTGTTGCCACTATGATTTCTTCCCCTCTTCCTTTTTAACCCCTTCCTTTCTAAAAGCATACATTCCATCTGCTTTGTATTTTCATTACGTGGGTATGGATCTCAAATCTAACACTAGATTAAAGCTCTTCAAAAGCAGAGATGATGGCTGTGTACCTTAAAGTACCAATACAGAGTCCTGCATATTGGACACCTGATAAATGTTATACCAAAAGGCAGAATTCTACGAAATTAAAATATACTGATAATGATTTTCATGCCTTAAAGCCTCTCCTACTCAAATATCCCTTACCTCTCCCAGCTTATTGTGGCTTTTTGAGGTTTATGACCTAGCATGAAGCTTAAATCAGCATTTCCTATCTGATATTATACACGTTACTTCATTTTGTCTCATCTGGAATGTAAAACGGTGCTATCTATTCAATATGATCACTGCTTTATTTTCTATGGTGCCACCAAATACTGATAATATTTTCTACTTTTATTTTTTCATTTATTTTCCAACAGAAATTATTATCAAATACATAAAAAAAAGTGGCCCTCACTAAAACAACAAATTATAAATACACAAAAAAATCATTTCCAAGATGTGCTATTTACTCTTACCTGCCCCCAGGCATACATATTGTTATGAGTCTGTGAAGGGTTGACTTTTGAAAGCAGGAAACGTGCCTTAAGAATAAATAAAATATATTGTTAATCAAAAACAAATTTAATCAATACAGGCTGAACAAATACATTATGCCATCTAAAATCAATTTTACTTAATATGTTTTGGTGAAACTAATTTTATTAAAATATAACTTTTTAAAAAATAAATTAAAATTTTAAATGTGTATGCCATTAAATGGTACGAGTAATAGTCCCTCTTCTCTTCAAATTATACATTCATGACAACATTTACAACAAATAATAAATTGTTGAGCCAAAACTCAGAATGTAAAAATTATGCCACAATTATGACAAGGTTAGTGTGAAATTTAACAAACAGTTGGTCTGAAGTATCAGCAGAGCTTCAAAGTCCCCCAAAATTATAAAAACAAAAACCATGAAAAGCTATATGTTCTTTTACTTTAAACAATGACTCTCAAACTTTTTAAACTGTAGGCTACTCTACATGAGACAACCTACCCATCTATCCACTATAATTTATCATCATAAAAATAATCAGAATAAAAGAAACAACAGTAGACATGATAAGATACAAATGAGAAAAACAATCATAAATTAATTCATACTGGGAGAACACAGTTAATCATATCTTTCACAAGTTAGTACCTTACAAACTCACTTTCTACTCTGTAAGCAAGCAGTTTAACATAACACTACTAACTCTAGAGTCAGCATATCTGGATTCAGGGCCTCCCTGGTGGCACAGGGATTGTAGTCTCAGTGCTTCAAGCTATTGCCAGCCACTGTGGCATGAGTTTGATCGCCAGTCAGGGAGCTAACCCACAGGGCATAGCAGACCTCTCCTGTCTCACCCACTGCTCCTATCAGCAGTATATTTCAGTAGATCTGCCTGTTCTGCTCCCCACTCTGTCTCTGGTGAATCCTCTCAGCACCGCACCTCTGGCCTACACCCCAGTTATTGTATGCATAAATAAATAAAAATAACTCTTAAAAAGAAAAAATCTGGATTCAAATCCCACTTCCCCTATTTACTGTTTCCTTGGCTACAAGGAATTTTTAGCTATAAAATAGAGATAACAGTAAGACCACTAGAGTGTCAAATAAGGAAAGGTAAATGTAAAAGTGCTATATCAGCTTTGCAAATTCTCAATAAATGGCAGCGCCTATTATAAATACAGAAAAAAAAAAAGCCTAGTAATAATTGCTATCATTTCTGAATAATAGTTACCGTTATTATTTTATATTAATATGCAAGAAACTAGGGGATACAGCACTAAACAAAGCATGGTCCCTGCCTTTAAGGAGCAAGCGAAATAAACTTAATCTATAATTAATTGATTAAAACTCTAATAAAGAGTAAAAGGGAGAAGTGAAAAATGTTTTAAGAGTATATGTTAAGAGGGCCTCCCCAGTGGCGCAGCGGTTGAGCGCTGGGCTGTGAAGCTGCCCGCAGCCTCTGCAGCACCGGTTAAGAGTCCCACATGGTGCGCAGACCTCTCCTGCCACCCGCGGCTCCCTTCAGCAGTGTACTTCGTCAGTCTGCCTGCTCTGCTCCTCGCTCTGGCTCTGGTGAATTCTCTCGCCCTCCCGCGCTTCTGACTGTACCCAGTGCTTGTATAAATAAATAAATAAATCTTAAAAAAAAAATCCCTACACACATTTGAAAAAAAAAAGAGTAGTGTTAAGAGATGCTAGCCTAAACTTCTATAAGGCCCACAAGGGCCGTGTATATACATAGATATATCTTCTTTAATCCTTGTAATTCTAAAAATCACAAAGTCTTTTATATTACTCTAATACTTTCCTATTACCTCACATTTTCTAGGAAACAGGAATGACAGAATAAGAAAAAACATAAAATTCACTAGAAATTCACATTCCAGACATTATCAGTAAGTGCTTTACAAACTGTATACTAAGTTATTCCTAAACTGTTCATATCTTCTTGATCAACTAAAGTTGGCATACTACCACCACTCCTCCTAGCTCTATGCTATTAAAGTGGGCTGCAGGTTGAGGACAGGAGAAACTGCTCACTTTAGGCAACTAGTTAATAACCTTATTACTCTGCGAAGGCAAAAGGCAAGAATATCTTCCCATGGATAACTTCTCTTGTCCATCTCTTGATCATCTGCCAGGTAAAATATATCAAATTGAAGTCAAACAACAAGTTGGAACAACTCAGAAAATTTAGGAACAAACAAATACCTGGCTGCCTCCATGTTCAGTGTCAATGTATCTTGGCATTGGGAATCTGGAATGAAGAATCTCCTGTGCATCATCCACTGGGGCTTGCAGAAGGTGGCGGAAATTTTCATATTCTGGCATGTCCTGGTATCCTGACTTGCGCCACTGTGCTATGGTCTGGTTTTAAAGCAATTAAAGGAGTTATTACTTTTAATTTATTGCCTATCAAAAAATTTTAAGAATATTTTTTAAAAGCATTAATCTTCAGAAAGAAAATTATACAATATTATTGCATTTAGCCCAATTATTTAAGTTTATTAATTTCAGTATTCTTAAAAAAATAAGTGCAATAATAGGGTACTTCTATAGAATAAGAAATAATTAAGTTAAACTTTAAATCACTATGCTTACAAATGTTATTAGCTAAAAGTTATTTACCTAAGTTTATGATAAATGAGTAACAATTTGCTACACAAAGTTCTGCAGAGACTTCAAAATTAATGACTACTATGATGAAGTCTTTACCACTGGAGTTATACCCCAGCAAGTTAAATAAACATGAAAACTTTAATACGAATAGCAATGATAGGGAGAGAGAGGGATCAAAATAGGAGAGGGAAGAGCACAAGGGGCTATGGGAATAGTGCACAGGTGAACTGGTGGTGGGAATTTTAAGGGGACTACACCTGAGAGGAGAAAGCAAATATTGTACAAAAAAGGAAGAATGATGTAAAATATATATAAAATAAAATAAAAAGAAGCTATGCAAATTGAAAAAAAAAAGAATAGCAATGATATTATAAAGATAATATACCTGTAAAAAGAACACCTGAAACTACTTTAAGATAAATGACTCCAAAAACATAAACCATCCAGTCAACACATACTTTGTATCACTTTACTTCTTTGTATTTAAAAGAGGAATAGTCATCTGCATTTTTGATTTCTCCTTAAAGCATATTAGCAAGCTATTTGACACAAATCTTACTAAGAAACAAAATAATAATCAATAAATCTTTTAAAAGTCTGGGTAATATTACTTAAAAGGATTTTTTTGGGTAATGCCTTTACTATTACAGTGCAATCTAAAATCACTTACACTAAAACAGTGGGGCAAAAATTCTGCTGAAGTTACCAAAATACTAGCCTATAGTGTGGGTCTGTGAAAAAACAATCTTTATATCTTTCAGAGCATCCGATGTACAGTGTTTTTTTAATACAGAGGAAGCACTTTAATATTGGCTGAATATTGGCTGAATGAATACATGCAGTAATGAATAGAATTCTGCTAAAACCTGGATTAATGATTACATGAAATAGTGAAAAAGAAAGGCTACTCACTGACAAAGACTGACATTTGCCCTCTCAATGATTTGTTCCATTACAATAAACAAATGGATAAAATAACATCGGGTGAATAAATTGCAAGTCTAAAACCTGCAGTAGGAAGAATCATATCTTATTCATATTTATTAAATTAGAAATAAAAGTTTCTCACAGAAGAAACACTAGCCATATATCAAATGGGGAAAGCTTCCATGAATAAAAAGACTTCACGGCACTTAGATGCATAGCTTTAAATGCTATGAATCTTACCTCTCCGTGATAAATCAAAATCTGGAAAAATGTGTCCATAAGAAGGATCCGATCTGCAAGAATGCTGCTGCTATCAAGAAGAACTGGCTAATGTGAAAAAGGAAGTAAAAAAAGAGAAAGAAGGAAAAATAAGTTACTTAAAAATACAAAATAGATCTATCATTCAACATATTTTTAGATTTGATAGTGTATCTTATTACTTAAACCCTCTTCACATTACAAATTCTTACAGTATATTTTAATTTTCTAAGGAATCTCTAAACTGAGATAACAATTGAAAAGTAAGAGTCAAGAGGAAATCAAGGATGATTCCTAACGCTAATGATGAAGGAAATGGAAATACAATTCTGAACATCAATTAAAAGGGAGTGGTGTGGGGCCTTCCTGTGGTGCAGGATTTAAAGTCTTAGCACTATGAAATTATCACCAGCCGCTGTGACATGCGTTCGATCCCTCGCCGGGGAGCTAACCCACAGGGCGAAGCAGACCTCTCCTGTCTTGTTCGCTGCTCCCCTCAGCAGTGTATTTCAGTTCGTCTGCCTGTTCTGCTCCCCACACTGTCTCTGGTGAATCCTCTCATCACCGCACCTCTGGCCTACACCCCAGTTCTTGTATGCATAAATAAACAAAAATAAAATATTTTTTTTTAAAAAAGGGAGTGGTTTGAACTAATGATATAAATTTAGGTGTCACATGCATAGGGATGGTAATGCTATGGGATTAGACTGCATCACCTAGAGAGGAGGAAGATAGAGGCCAGAGACTGAACCCTGAAACATGCCAACATTTAGTGTCTGAAAGGGAGAAGCCAGCAAAAGAAGATTGAGAGGAAGGCAGTGAGCAGGAGAAAAGTAATGTAGATGTCAGAGAAGCCTAAAGCAAAAGATTTTCAAGGATAGTCCATACTAGTATATTTTGCTGAAAATTCAGGCAAGATGTAGACCACTACTGTCCCTGAATAGTGCTCTTTCTGTATATTAGGGACAATTCTGACTAAAAGAAGTTGAGAAGAGAATGTGAGTGAGACAGTCCAGCAATAAGTAACTTCTCTGAACTTAGCTGTGACTAAGATCAGATAAATGGAGTGGCAATTATAGAAAATGTGAAGTCATGGGGAGCTTTTTTGTTGATCTGTTTTAACATAAGTGTTGTTAAGGTTTCTATGTTAATGAAAATGACCAGATAGAGAGTGATGATTTAGGAAAAAAAGAGACTAACTCTACAAGCAAATCCTTAAGAAAATGAAACTAACAGAATTCATGGAGTAATGGGAAGGCTGAAATTTGACAGAAATAGGCATGACTAGCAGGGATGTCAGGATTCCAATTTTCTTTCAAACATCATTCTACATCTTCCAGAGGTCTACAATTTACATATATTATTTGAAGTATGGAGAAGACATTTCTAAAACTTTCTTGTTTCAAAGAAAACTACACATGACCAAATATGTTAAAAAAAAATTTCCCAGAGAAATACTGTATCTCACACATAAGTGGAATCTTTAAACACACACAACACACACACACAGAAATATTGGTAAGACTTGCAGTTACAGAGGTGAAAGGATGGGAGAAGGGAGTAAAGGAGGAATGTGGTCCAAAGTACAAACTTCCAGTTATAAGATAAAAAAGTACTAGGGATATAATGTACAAAATGATCATTACAGCCAACACTGCTGTATGATATATGGAGAAGCTGTTAGACCAGCAAATACTAAGAATTCTCATTGCAGGAAAAAAATAATTTTTTTAAAATTCTGTTCTATTTATTGTATCTACATGGGAAGATACACATTAGTAGTTAAACCTATTTTGGTAATCATTTCACAATACATGTAAATCAAACAATGCTGTATGCCTTAAACAGAAAGAAGAATGTATGTTAATTATTGCTCAATAAAATTGCAAAAAACAAATACATATGCATTTCAAACAATATATATACTTTTCCTAGGGAAATATAGTTAAGAAAATTACTTAAAAATGTAACAACAGGCCTCCCCGGTGGCGCAGCGGTTGAGCACTGGGTTGCGAAGCTGCCCGCAGCCTCTGGAGCGCTGGTTCGATCCCAGGCTGCCCCCCGGCCATCGGAGGAGGGTCCCACATGGCATGCAGACCTCTCCTGCCGCCCGCTGCTCCCCTCAGCAGGGTACTTCGGTCCTTCTGCCTGCTCTGCTCCCTACTCTGGCTCTGGTGAATTCTCTCACCCTCCCGCGCATCTGACTGTACCCAGTGCTTGTATAAATAAATAAATCTTTAAAAAAGAAAAAGAATTTGATGAACCAAATGACTGGACAAAATGATTTTATTTATTATTATTATTTTTTTTAAATAGAGGCTTTTTTTTTTTTATTTATTTGTTTGTTTGTTTTTTGTTTATACACGCACTGGGTACAGTCAGAAGCGTGGGAGGGTGAGAGAATTCACCAGAGCCAGAGCGGGGAACAGAACAGGCAGAAGGACCAAAGTACACTGCTGAGGGGAGCAGCGGGAGGCAGGAGAGGTCTGCGCGCCGTGTGGGACCCTCCTCCTGTGGCCGGGGAGCAGCCGGGGATTGAACCGGTGCCGCAAAGGCTGCGGGCAGCTTCGCAACCCAGCGCTCTACCGCTGCGCCACCGGGGAGGCCCTGGACAAAATGATTTTAAAAGTGTCTCCAAACTCAGCAGCTCTCCTGCCTGCATGTGACTATACATGTGCCTCTTTTTTTTTTCTCCTTTTCCTAATGAACCTGTCCTTTTAAAATGAAAAAAAAAAAAAAAAAGTCTCCCAACTCAATGTGTTTTTTCTTAATAGTTCCTAATACGCTTAGAGTGGTATCTAGTAAATAATAAGCTTAATTATTTTTTAAGTGGTTATATGAATGACTTAAGGTAACTATAAGGTAACTATTCTTGAATTAAAGTCTTATATTTAATAACTTTTTCAAAGAAAATTTAAGCTATTTTTACCATTTCAATGGCATACATCACAGTAACAAAACCCAGTTTGCCTTTTCCCCTCCACCTCTCTTACCTCTGGTGGTCCACTAAAAGAATATGCATACAAAATAGGCTGAATCATGATCAGAGACTGGGTCAGATCTTGACGCATAAAATGGTGTCTATAATAAGAACTCTCATCTGGACTATTATTAAACACTTGCAAGAAAGGCGATCTTCTTAAATGAAACATAAACTGCAAGATAAAACAAGGTAACTTTTACTGACTTTAATATTGTAATAGGAGTTTACTATTACAAAAGCATTTGATTACAACTATTAATGCAACAACACAAGTTACAAGAACATTCTAAATTTGCATTCCTCCAACAAAATTTTAGTCATATTTGTCAGTTACTTAAAATATATAATATAATTAACAATTTTAAAATTAAAGTGGTTATACTATGAAGAAAAACAACATTAGGGACAAAAAAAAATCCTTGCTCAAATCTAAGTTATCCAGAGGCTGATGCCAGGTGGTGCATTATCAACATTCTTTGCTTTTATGCCTCATCTCCCTCGACACATCGCTGGGACTATTTATTCCTATTCACTATCCCCAGCAAAAGACTCTACGAGAACACAAAAATAGCAGAGTTTCTACTTTTTGTATGAGTCCTACTGTTTTAGAAAAAGGACTCACATACACAAGGATTTTCTTAATATGTAAGATCTTCCTATCCCTAAGAAACATTCTTTAGACTTTGTTTCATTACCTCTTTCTCCTTTAACTTATCCTCCCTCATCTCCCTTCTACCCACTCCTCACATGAAGAAGATCAAAAAGGGGAAGAGTTAGCCCTGAATAAAGGACAGCGATGGTGTCTTTTTGAGACAAAGAGTCTTTGACACAATCAATATGTTCAGCTCTGAAGTATCCCAATGTCTCAGTTACATCTCTCATCTCTCAACTTCCTTCAGCCCTCAGGTCTCAGGTGCCATCTTGCTGCTCCCACCTGGACTCACTTTGCAGTTCTCTCCAACACATACCATCAGTGAAATTCTCACTCTTGTTTCAGTGGTCTATAATTCACTGAGCAGCTGTCTCATCCCTTACCACTTTAGCCATTCCTGTTTGCTCAGGAATATCTAAATGGCAAATTTGGGGATATATATTTCAGAAATGAAGACCTCCCTTGAATGTACCCTGTGTCACCTTTTAGGAGATTAGCAGGCTTTGAAAAACCAAAGGGATATAATTTCTGAAAGAAAAAAAAAGTATTTCTGGGTCTTCTGCCCTCTGTTTCCAGTAGAGGGGGGAAGATGGGATGCCCAGATCTCTCAGAAGATAAAAAAGCTAAAGGGAAGTCTTAGAACAGGGAGAAAAAAAGAAAGTATGGAGAATTTAGTCTAATATTTAGGTTACTGTTTTCAATGTCTTTCCTATTAGTTTATGCTACAAAGATGAGGTCTGAGAATTACCAAAACAAAAAGATGTTTGCCTCCCTTAACACAAGTAGCTTTGCCCTTTCCTAGTTATCCAAAATCTTCAACCAGTGGTTTACGGAAGTCTCCCTTTATAGACATAGAGTTGCTAGATTACAGAATAAAGACTTTCAAAAAAATTTAGAATAGCTCTAAAATGAAAGTTGAAACTTTAAACACAATTTTTGTGGAAAAAAAATTGAATTTCCGTATCTTACTATTAATCATCCTTCCAGACTGAGCTAAAATGTTAAGTCTTCTATAAAGATGTATCCATTTGGAAGTCATCCATTTGGAAAGATTTAAGTTTTCCTTTACATCTTGTGTATTTCTCATAGCATTTCTCACCTTCTAGTCTATGCGGCTTGTGTATATTTCACATATCACCCTTCAGACTAAAAGTCATGTAAGTCATCTTTATTCTCCTAAGGTTCCTTGCACATAGTTCTGAGTTGAATAAATGTTATCTCTATTATTCATTATATAAACCACTGAGCTTTTTAAACTATCTACCAAAACAACAGAGAGAGGGGTAGATTTCACTGCCCAGTGGAAAAGGTTCTATGAAACAAATCGAATTAGCTTTTCTTTTTATCTGGTGTGTCCCCATAAAACTGTTCTCAAGTGATGAAACCATGCTTAAGACTAGGTGATTGGTAAGGTCCTCTATTTTCACTATAATTAGATCAGTTAGATGGATCACCTAACTTGACTTCATATAGAGTTCCTATATAAATTTCTATTTGCAACAAAAAAAGAAAATGGCTAATTTGCAAGGCCAGCATAAAAATACAACATACTTTTCACCAACTATTCACAGCACAATATTAATTTCTTGGTGATCCCAAAACTTACCTAACTGAAAGAATAACCTAATAGGTCCTATAAGATGAGAAATAAAAGACAATAGGGAAAGTGAAACCCAGTGCTATTGTCAATATTAATAAAAAAACATGAACATTTTATTCACTTACCTGTGGATAAAGGGAGAAAGTTTCTGAAAATCTGAAGGAACTTGGATCATCTTTGTGATACTCTCCAAATTTCTGACACTAAATAAAATAAACACATAAGTAGTAATGTATTTCCAGGCATACAGCTAAACTGTTGCTATACATACTTTATTTACAAAAAGTCATTACACTTTAGCAAGCAGGCACTTGATACAGAACAAAATTAGAATACTACTTATAGACTTACCAAGAGATTGACTATAACCAAAGATATATATTTGAATTTCAAATGCAAATAATACATTGTTGCAGTGCAACAACTCATCTCAAAAGAATGGATTTTTTTAAACAAAGGTTCCCTGGCAACAAATAAGAACCTCTTAGGTAATGACCAAAAGAACCCAACATGTATCTACCTGAGACTCTACATAAAAAAGACAAAAACAAACTTGCAGAAAAACATACCATCAAAATGCCACAGTGGCTACAAAAGCCAGTTATTGGTATACATCTTAGCACAATTGGGGGTGGGGGGAGATCTGATACCTACATATAAAATCAGATTTGTCATTTTTTCTTATTTTTGTGGCTCACTTACATTTCTTCTTTTGTTAATTCTTTGTTTATAATCTTTCCTCATATTAGTCTAAATCTTACTGATTTGTTAGAACTTTTATATGAGAAAATTTCACATGCTGTCATATATACAACAAATGCCAGTATTAAATTCTGCTAAGGGTATTTTTTTTACCACCCAGATTTGTTTTATTGTAATGTCATAAAACTTCTGAAATATTTAATGATTTCTACTTTTGTTTTCAAGTTAAAAATCCTAGAGATTAAATACATATTAACCTACTTTTTTTTTTTAAAGGATTTATTTATTTATTTATTTATAAAAGCACTGGGTACAGTCAGAAGCTCAGGAGGGTGAGAGAATTCACCAGAGCCAGAGCAGGGAGCAGAACAGGCAGAAGAACCGAAGTACACTGCTGAGGGGAGCAGCGGGTGGCAGGAGAGGTCTGCGTGCCATGTGGGACCCTCGCCCAGCGGCCAGGGATCGAACCAGCGCTGCAGAGGCTGCGCGCAGCTTCGCAACCCAGTGATCAACTGCTGTGCCGCCATGGAGGCCCTTAACCTACTTTTTGATAAAAACAATCTATACCAAAGGTAACAATATAAAATTTGCATAATATATACATACATAAATTTCTAACCTATGAGTTACTTCTTTAGAAAAATTTGAACATTTATCAAATGCTCTAGCATTTGGTATTGTGAGAAGTGTCCCTACTTGTAACCCAATCAAAACATTAATACAAATGAGAAAAAAAATTGAAGCATAAAGAAGATATATCAAAAAGACGCTGTCTGATTTAATCATAATAATATGGTGTGAAAAAAACAATAAAACAATTCTCTTGAGGGAAAAAAACATACAAGACTTTTTATTAGGAAAAAACTTAAAAATTTTTGGTACCCACAAGGTATTAATCCTTTCTCCATTTGTGTTGCAATTATTTTAGAACTGAAAATTTAGCTATACGGAACTTTATACAAAATTTTATACAAAAAATGAAGTCATACTGTATTAGCTACTTAAAATAGCTTCTATAACTACATTTCATTTGTTATCACCTGAAAGTTTCACTTCAATTATACATTAATTTGGTTCCATTTATAAAAAAAGAAAATGTAAAGATCCTATTCGCACTACTATACTTTATACTACGAGAGGTTCTATAAGAGATTGTAGTCTTTTAAATTTTGCTTTTTGAAATTTGCATACTATATGATTTCCAAGCTATCCTATTAGCAATTTCCTTAGAGATCTTTCAGTATGCAAAATGGCATTGTTCTTTTGGCATTGTTCATTCTCAGTTTTTTACACAAGATGAGGGAGACCACTGGTAACTGACTGGTGAAAGCTGTTTTGCCCAGAAAGTAAGGCAGAAGTATAATAATGTTCCCCTCTCCCTCTCAAATAACCTCACGACCCTTCTCTTACACAGCTACCAACAGACTTATGGGAACAGACAAGCTATACCAGTGTGATGGAGATCAGAGTAAAATTTTCATTCTTCCAGACAAGAAGAAAAAGCATTAAATATATCTTTGCTTAATGCAGCAGAAAAGTTTTCTTAAAGTGAAAGCTTAGCTGAGAGTGTTCTTAACAGGGTGTTTTGAGCTAAAGGGTAAATTGAATAAGTACTTTCAAGGCAATAACAAGGCAGAGTTGTTAAGTAAAATGGGGTTTTCAGAACAGAACTTAATTAAACACTGTAAGTCAAAATGTAGTAATGAGCTCTTAACATGTTAAAAATCCAAGGTCTCATCATTACCAATAATTTTACCAATACAGACATTGGTAACCCAGATCTAGATAATCAGGATTTCCCTAACTTTTGTAAGTTGATATGTATAGCATATATATACAAATTAATTTCTCATAAAAATGTCTGCTAAAATGAAGACAGAAAACTATAACCCTAACAATGAAGAAAGATATGCATGAAAACAGTAACAGTAACTTAGCATTGAATCTGAAACTAATTTGTTGTCCGGCAAAAAAAGAAAAAAGGAAAGGTTTTTCTTTTTGTGACTCATTTTTAAGGAAAAGGAGTACACTAATTTACAGGAAGAGACAAATAAAATCTATTATGCATTACTACACCTTTCTCAGGAACTTGAATAAAACCTCTTCAAACAATAAACCAATTACACTGTAAGTAGAGATTACCAGCAACAAATATTCATTACAAATAAAAGCATTCAGATTTAGAAAACCAGTTTACTTCTCACCAGTCGAATGAGCTGTCTGTCTAGCCATCTGAGCACATCAGGCCCTTCCTCAGTTTCTGCTCTGTATATGGCCAAGCGGGCCATGAGAATGGCAGCTGCCTCCTGATCAAAAGATGCAGCAATGTTTTGGATTTGTGTCTGAGCATCTGCCCAGCTAAAGATACAAAGAAAAGAACAGAAATGCTGATGAGTTATTATATTCATGATAGTACTGATGGTATCATTCAGATTTAAACTTAAAAGATACAAAAAATTACCTCAACATTTCAAAATTGCACTATTACCTAGAAAAAATAAGCATTAGGGGCCTCCCTGGTGGTACAAGGGTTAACATGCAGCCTATGGGGCTATCCGCAGCCACTGCAGCACAAGTTCAATCCCCGGCCTGTTAGGGAGCTGCCCACATGGGGCAGCAGACCTCTCCAGTCTCACCCACTGCTCCCCTCAGCAGTGAATTTCAGTCAGTCTGCCTGCTCTGCCCCCCATTCTGTCTCTGTTGAATCCTCTCACCCCCCACACCTCTGGCCTATACCCCAGCTCTTGAATGTATAAATAAATAAATCTTTTTAAAAAAGCATTAAAAAAAACACTAACTGCAGTTTCAGTGCAGCATTTGTTCTTTCTCAGGAAAATATATCCAAGCCTAAAAAAATCCTTTGAAATAACTGTAACACTAGATCTCCAAACACATTCTTAAAACATGAAGATTTTTACAAGACCACTGGTTATGTATGTGCACATGCAGATAGTTACACAAGTTGCTATGTTAGACTTCAAAATATTATTTCTTCAATTTGGTAAAAGCAGAAATATGAAACTCAAAAATAAAGGTTCCCCCCAACCTAATTTTCATTCACTAAACTAGAACAGGAATAAAATATCAGAATCAATTTCTCATTGGTCTTTAATTCAATCATCAGTGATAAAAATTACGTAATTAAAATGACTATGTATTCTTTTCTATTCCAGTTAATACAATGACTAAAATTAATCAAGTTAATAAGTAAAAATTTCAGTCTAAGGGATCCTACTTCACATGAAGCAAGTCTGGCCAGTATTTATAAACTTAAAAAGTGGGAACACTTTTACAAGACTCAAAGATGGAAGAAACGATGCCAACAGAATCCAGAGAGTAACATCATCAAAATTCTCCCTTCCTCTTCTTTTTTTCAATAGACAAATAATTCTTAAATATTTTGCAGATGACCAACAACTACAAATTATGTGAGCCTAGTGACACAGCAAGGGAAAGTAAAGAATAAAAATGGAAAAGAAAATAAGAATTGGTAATTTTCAAAGTTATACTTACTGCATTTTAAACACGATTATTATACTAATAGTGTTGTTTCATTATTTTTAAATTTTTCATTAAAAAAACTGAACTCAAAAAATTCGAATCAGCATTTTCCTAATTTGGGTGATGATGATAAACTTAATAATGAGGTAGTCTGGAAATATAATGGTTCAGTAGTGCAGATACATAATTAAGCAGATGCAAATTTACTAATTAAAGTTTCTTTAGCCACAAAGTTAAAGTAAGCTCTTAATGACAAGTTTAAGGAGGTGGCTCACTTATAAGATCTGTCTTCTATATTTCCAGTACCTATTCACCAATATTCTAATAACTATCTTCAAACCAAACTTTTTATATCAGAGTTACTGTCTTTTTTTTTTTTAAGATTTGTTTATTTATTTATTATTTATTCATGCATACAAGAACCAGAATACAAGCCAGATGCATGGTTGGGCGGGGCAGGGGGTTGGGGAGGAATGAGAGGATTCACCAGAGACAGAGCAGGGAACAAAACAGGCAGACTGACTGAAACACTGCTGAGGGGAGCAGCAGGCGAGACAGGAGTGGTCCGCCACACCATGTGGGATTCTCACTGGCCAGCCAGGATCAAACCCGTGCTGCAGAGGCTGTAGACAGTCCCACAGTGCTGCGCTCAACCACCTGCGCCATCAGGGGAGGCCCTATCAGAGTTATTTTCTATATGAAAAACAGGGCGACTGTTTTCTTAGGAACCCGAGTCCTTTATTTTCACATTATTCACTTAAAAACACTTGCCTAAGACTTTAAAACCATATTCCCAGTTAATACAGAAAAAAATAAGCCCTGATTATTGAAAATGGTTATGATAAATTATTTTAAAAAGATGAGTGCTGAGTGCTTTGGAGGGCCATAGTGATATCAATTACACCATAATACACACATTTCTATAAATAGCTCTCATAAATTCTGTGCGAACAAATTGAAACTACATAAGCCCATGAAATTTCTCACAAGAAAGCTTTCTCTTGAAAGATTAATCTAACTTTTTAAAATTTCATTTTAAGAATATTTCAAACAGGGCCTTCCTGGTGGCGCAAGGGATTGAGATGCAACTTATGAAGCTGTCCGCAGCCACTGCAGCACAAGTTTGATCTCCGGCTGGCCAGGGAGCAGCCCACATGGCACTGCAGACCTCTCCTGACTCACCTGCTGCTCCCCTCAGCAGTGTACCTCAGTCGGTTTGCCTGTTCTGCTCCCTACCCTGTCTCTGGTGAATCCTCTCACCCCCACACACACCTCTGGCCTGTACCCCAGCTCTTTTATGCATAAATAAATAAGGCTTAAAAAAAAAGAATATTTCAAACATAAGAGCTCTGAGAGTATAATAAACTCTTATAAACCCATCACCTAGACTTATCAATTGTTAGTATTTTAGCATTGTTACTTTATCATTTTCTCTTTCTTTATACATATACTTTCCTTTTGCTGAACTTTTCAACAGTAAGTTGGAGATATCATGACCCTCTCCCCAAAGTATGTCAGTGTATCTTCTATGAACAAGAAAATTCTCTTTCTCTTACATGCTCCCGATTAATTATCAAATTCATGAAATTAAACACTGATGTAATACTATTGTCCTACATATAAAACCACTTTTGATTTCCCCAATTTTCTCAACAATGTCCTCTATAGCAAAATTTTTCCTGACACAGGATTTCTGGGATCACATACTGGATTTTGTGTAATCTCTCTTTAGTCTCCTTTTAATCTGAACTAGTTACTAAAAATTTCTTTGACTTCCAAGACATTTTTGAAGAGTTTAAGTCAGTGGCTTTGTAAAATATCCCTCACTTTGATATGTAAATGTTTTGAGTGTCCAATTTAAATTGCACATGCATGTGGTGTGTATGTTGAAGGAACAAAAACAAATTGACGTTTGTTGAGAATCAATATTTCCAAGTTCTGATCTGAAATCTGAACAAACCCAGGGAATGAGTCATTGGCATTTTTCTTCAAAAGAATAATATATTTCCCTTGATATTGGACAAGAATTTTAAGTCAAAGCAAGGTACAACAACGAATTTCTCCATGTACCAACCTTAGCTTAAGTAACAGAACATCCAACACAGCTAACAATCACCTTATATGTTAACTTCATGTCCATCACTCACCAAAAGTCTCATGGTTTTTAGGAATGAAGCGAGAGTTTAAATACAACTCAATAAAATAAGAGCTACAGATACCATTACTGTTACTTTCTAGGCCATGCCTAAATGAGGTAGATTTATACTGATTAACATTTTCTCAACCCAGACAAGGCCAACACAAACAGATATAAACCAAAAGTCTGTCAGCCTCGAGAATGACCTCATGTAAGAATTCTTTCCTGAATAACTTCATTCCAAAATTATCTTCCCTTTGTTTTATATATCACAAATACTTATATATAGAATGGTATCAAAGTACCTGAGAAATAATTTGTTCTTGACAAAATAGAGGTGCAAAATTAACTTTAAATTGTCCCCTCCACAAATGTTACGTGAAGACCACATGACCAACACAAGCTTTATTCAAAGCATTCATCGGATAGATCAGAAAAAGAAAAATCATCTATTGTGCTTAATTATTCCTTTTTGGAAATGTAAGTGTATCAACAACGCAATGCATGACTATGTTATACAAAGTGATCTCTACCAGTGCTAATCAAAGTGTGATATGGGAAGCACTCTCTCGCCAGTGCTAAGAACAAAAGTTGAGGACAAATGTTTAAAAGCTTTTGAACAATTTAACAAAATAATTTTGTCTGATGTATCTTAAAAGCAAGGACATGTATTTTGAATGACTTCTTAAAATTTCATTTTCCTAGTAATTCATTTCATTGTATTATACATATAGTCTCCAAAGGATTGGTGAGAGGAGAAACAACGGACCTTTTGCCATAGAAAGTTTGAGGAGACATATTCCACATTATCATATAGCAGCCCAGGTATGTTCAAGTCTTTTGCATGTGACCCCTCTTCCAACCATATCTAGTCCACTGAGCATACGCTAAATAAAGCTCTGATAAATGAACTGACTTAGAACGCTTGAAGAATATATAGTAATAAAGGAGAGCTGTGTGGAGATTTCTGGACCTACTAAACATAGAGCTTCCATATGATCCAGCAATTCCACTCCTAGGTATTTACCCAAAGGACACAGAAACATCAATTCAAAGAGCACCAGCACCCCTATGTTTATAGCAGCACTGTTTACAATAGCTAAGCTTTGGAAACAACCCAAATGCCCAAAAATAGATGACTGGATCAAGAAGATGTGGTACATATATACCATGGAATATTACTCAGCATTCAAAAAAGATAAACACATGCAATTTGCAGCAACATGGATGGTGCTGGAAGGGATCATGCTCAGCGAAATAAGCCAAAATGAAAAAGAAAAATACCGGATGGTCTCACTCATAGCAAGAATCTAGAAAACTTAAATAAGGGACCAAGAAAATGAATATAAGAAAGTGAAAATCAAAATCAACAAAAAACTATGAACCAGAGACACTTTTGGGGGGTGGGGGGCGGGAGGGGAAGGATTGGGGTCAGAATGGGGCGTTTGCAATTGTATGGGGGAATATAAAAATAAAATTTATTATTTAAAAAAATAAAATAAAAAAAAAATAAAAATTACTGTACACTGGTAGTAAAATAAAAAAAAATAAAAAAAAAAGAATATATAGTAATAAAAGTAGTTAGGCACTTTATCATTAATTGAAAAGTAATGCAGTAAGTTAGTATTCTACATGTACATATAGTGGATATATATATAACTATTATTGGATAACGCTTATTTTTTTTTTCTCCTCCTCTCAAGAGAACAAGTTAAATAAAAGAATATTTTGAAAAATAAAATTTCAGTAGTTTTTTTCATTGCTTCACAGTACCCAACAATCAATAATTTAGCAAATAAACTGGGTTATAGAAAGAAATAAAATCAGTCATAAGTGTTCATTTTCTACTCATGAATATCAACATCACCCAAAATAGGAACTCAGTTTGGCAGAACTATGTAGAATAGTTTCGATATGCAAATTAACTTTCTAGTAAACACAACTTACTTCCTAGCAATGGTAGTCACTCGGATGCGTCTCTGCCCACTTGAATGCTGATACTGAGTCACAAACTGGATTGCACCACGCCCTCCTTGGGGAATTGGAGCATTATGCTGTGTAAAAATAAAAAAATAAAACCTAACTAAAATCTATTACATTATTGTCATATGGTTGTAGACTACACATCCTGCAAGAATAAAGTGCATTCCAAAAATTACTTAGAGCGGTACTGTTTTCAAGGAATAAAAACAGTCATAATTTGTTATATAAAATAGTAAATTTGGGGGGGGATGATAAAGGATGAGAAGATTCCAGCTGGACATGAAAGAGCAAAATGAAGGAAGAAGTATACAGAAATTAACAGATAAGGAAAAGTATGAGTGACAGTAATAGTAACTAGAAAAAGAGAAATTAAGTTAAGACTTCCCCCTCCACATATATTAGATGAAAACAGAACTTTTAGGAAGATAGTTTCACAATAAACAAATGACCAATGGAAGACTATGAGAAGACACCAATAGTAATATATTAATGATAATTCTCAGTAACAGTATTAGAAAAACTTTCTTCATGCCCCTTGACAATAAGACATTCTTGCTTTTTGTTTGCTTTTTTTGGCTAATAAGAGTTACAATATCTTTTTTAAAAAATTTAATTGCTTAAAAAAAAAAACAAAAACAAGAAATCCTGTACCTATTTTAGGAAGGCTGCCTATTAACACTTTATGGTTCATTTTTATGCCTAATAACTATGGTATGTCAGTAACATATATCATTCCTTATTATGATAGCATGCTTCTTATAGCAGAAAAAAATCTTTACAAATATTAGAATCTTTACCTTTCATTCTTTTTATGAATTTTGTTATATTAAACTTTCTTACAGGAAGACTCATATATAACTACCTACCCTGTAATATCTAAGAGGAAGTAGATACCTTAGTATAAAAATGAATAACTAGAAAAGGAGTTAAGATTTTATTTTTGCTTCAATTTTATATTTAAGAAAAATGAGACAGGGCCTCCCTGGTGGTGCAAGGGGCTAGGCACCACACTATGAAGCAATCTGAAGCCTCTGCAGCATGAGTTCGATCTGGGCCGGCCAGGGAGCAACCCACATGGCGAAGCAGATGTCTTCTTCTGTCTTGCCCGCTACTCCCCTCAGCAGTGTATTTCACTCAGTCTGCCTGTTCTGTTCCCCACTCTGTCTCTGGTGGATCCTCTCACCTCCCGCATCTCTGGCCTGTGCCCCAGCTCTTGTATGCATACATAAATAAATCTTTAAAAAACAAAAAAGAAAGAAAAATGAGACAAAAGTGGATATCCCAAGGCTGGGCATGTGCACACGCCCCAACATTTCTTTCTATTATAGTATGTCCTGTCACCAAGGGGTTAGCCTGGAGAAACAGAGAGTGGCAAATAAAAAAACTCCAAAAGAGAATAAGCCTCGGGTGATAGTTACTACTGGAAAAAAGATACGATATATTCATCACTTCAATTAAGTGATTTTTCAAACATCTATTTCAATATTCAAAAATAAAAAGTCATACCTGATTGACAACTTCAAAATATATGGCTAAGGTTGTAGTGGGGCTGAGTCCACATATCTTCCATTGACAAGTACCACCTGTTCCTATCTCCTGTAAAAATAAAACTGTATTTGAAAACTAGAAAACTCAACCTATTGTTATGATATATGTTTTAAAATTCCAGTTTAAAAAAATCTATTTTGATTTCTAACTAATACAATGAAGTTAAAAATTTAAGAATTTATAAGGTCATATAAATATTCAATGGAATAAAGTCATTTTTACATAATAACAGAATAATTCCAATCCTTGCTAAGTAAATTTAAAAAGCATTGATACAAGTTCTTCATGGTGTAGTCTTTAAACAACATTCAATAAATAATTACAACTAATGCTATGCCACTATTCTAGCCAATTAGTTGATCTTTATAAAAAGGTAGTGATTTAACACACAATAGATGCATGCATGAAGACAAGTTTTCTGGAACATAACTGCGTAACTTGAAGTCTGATTTCCAAGAAAAGTGCTGTTTTTTTTCCTGATAGTGGGCAAAAAAAAGTGTATTCAACTAGCCATCAGAAGTATAAATTAAAACACGAAACAAGATAGTACTTCGTTAAATTCACAAAAATTGAAGAGAATAATCCAAGAAAACTTCTTAGATATAAATCTTTACCATGAGAACAACTTAAAATTAATTTTTAAGGTGTCATTTTAAAAATGATTACCCACTATTTGCCCCGTCATCCCCTCTAAAGCTACATAATTTACCATTTTAAAGTGTATTATATGTCTACTCAGTGGGATAATGGAAAAGAAAGGAACTGAAACTGATATCTGTCAATTTTGGTTACTTTTTGGAAATTCTACTAACCAAAATTTGGAATTCACTTTCACTTTCAGAAGTCTCCAAATTTCCAATAATTGTTTTTTTTTTTAATCTAACAGGGCAAGGAAAAACTTTAGCATAAGAAATAGAATTCTGGGGCCTCCTTGGTGGTGCAGGCAGTTGGGCTGTGAAGCTGTCCACAGCCTCTGCGGTGCTGATTCATCCCCGCCAGCCGCGGAGATACCCACATGGCACGACAGACCTCTCCTGTCTTGCCCACTGCTCCCCTCAGCAGTTTATTTCAGTCAGTCTGCCTGTTCTGTTCCCCGCTCTGTCTCTAGTGAATCCTCTCACCCTCTGGCACATCTTGTATAAATAAATAAATCTTAAAAAAAAAAAAAAAGTGATAGAATTCTGGTGGCAGTACAAGTTTTCATCTAGTGGTAGATGGAAAAAGGATATGAGGAAAGAGCAATCACAGAGGTATACTAATGGAAGCTGAACTGCAAACTAAGGAAAAATTTAACCCATACCACCATAATTTTGAAAGGAATGCTATAGTTTACCAGCCCAGATCTCTGTTGATTTTGATCTGAGAATTAACTGTATTATCTTTTTACAATAAAGGTGACTTACATTTTCAGACACACAAGGTCCTTTAGAATTGAGAGATACACAGGGTCCAATAGCTCCTGAAATCTTTATTTCCCTTGAGGTCTACAAAATAAGAACATAGTACACTTAGGTTTTCTGAAAGATAAATGCAAAAATTTAACTATAAATATGTAAGAGTAAAGACAGATATTCTTCATATTTAAAACTCAAAGGTCAATGAAAATACACTAAAGTTAAAAATAAACAACAGGCAAGCACTTCTAAATAACCCTCAAATTTCAAATCTAGCTCTGACCTAACTTTAACCCTCTATTAGCAGCCACCCATAGAATGTCTCCATTTGGAAACTCAATCCTAATTCAAAATCATACCATACCCAAAATTTTAAATCCTAACTCACAAACTTAAATGCCACCTTCTATTTTTCCTGCCAAATATTTTCTGTCACCAAAATTAGTTTCTTTCCAATTTCCACTGAAACCAAAATTAAAACTATCACTACTTTCTAAAAAAATTAGAAAACCCACATAAGTTTTTTCTTAAATTTCCCGATAATTCCTGAATACCACTGTAAGAAAAATTAAGACACTACTCATTAACCTACACTGACTTTATCTGCCCACACATGCATCTCCAAATCAGAATGAAACCATATAGCTTTACAGATTTCCCTTACATACCAAATCAAACCATCCATTCACTTGGCAGTTTTCCCAAACATAATATGCTGAGTCTCACTTCTATTCCTCTTCTCAAGCTGGTAATATATTTTCCTCAACCAACTTAAAAGCTGCCATCTTTCAAAAACAAATTGTTACCTACATACAATCATTTTTCCTCTCTAAATCTTTAAACTACTTTTATAATCTTATTTCATTCTATCATATCTATCAATCTTATCTTTTCATCAAGACTAAAGTTTCTTTACAAGACTTGTGCCTAAAGCATCCCAAGATCTCTACATTGTACGAGTTTAATGCTAAACCTACAGCAAGCATTCAATAAAATAACAAGATTGATAATGCTTAATGAAAATTTAAAAAAATCAATGTGCTTCTAAATCACTGTAACTAAAAATAGGTTAGATTCTTAAAATTCAAATGTGAAATAATAGAATGATAGAACTGAATAACAACAACCTATCAACCATAAAATAGTTACTGATTATTCAAAGAGTAAAAAACAAGTTTCTCCTAAGTTAGACACCAAATACAGCAATTAAAAAATATAGTATTAACAATCCAGATGTCCTTTAACAGGAGAATGGCTAGAGAAACTATAGTTATGTAGTTCTTACTATGCAAGAATTCAAATTAAAAATTTATTTTATACTAAAAAAAAAAATCTAGCACTAACAAATTTGACACTAAAAAAGATAAAACATACTTAGGAAGTCAAACCCTAAATAAAGAAAAACTAGTTAAAGGAAGTTTTATCTACATAATAACTTCTTTTCTAGCAATTATTCAGAAATGCTCAAGTAAAATTTCATTGTACATTAAATGATGGCATCTTTCCGGTAAACAAAATCTAACTGCGTCTCAATATTAAATAACCACTATTTTTGTAGCATATATTGAGTTTGATTAGTGACATTGTAATATTATGGTCAAGCCTACAAATATGAGTTTTAAAAGCATGCCACACCTGTCAAGTTTTGATTCTTACCTTTATTTCTAATGTACCACCAAAGCCCATTTTAAACTGTCCATGCATATCTTTGGTAAAGACCCTTTGAAAAGTCTGTTTGAATAAGGATGTGTTGAAAGAGTCACCCATCACCATGTATCCTCTATATGAAAAGAAAAGAAAACGATTATGTAATACAAACACTGGTTCCTTGTGTAAAAACCAGAAAAGTAAATAATTTTTCAATATACAAGCTTTTTTTAAAAATATTTCCCAAGGGCCTCCCTGGTGGCGCAAGGGGTTAAGACACAACCTATGAAGCCATACGCAGCCACTGCAGCACGAGTTCGATCCCCTGGCCAGCCAGGGAGCAACCCACATTGCGCAGCAGACTTCTCCTGACTTGCCCATTGCTCCCCTCAGCAGTGTACTTCCATCAATCTGCCTGTTCTGTTACCCACTGTCTCTGGTGAATCCTTTCACACACATTCCCACACCTCTGGCCTGTACCCCAACTCTTGTATGCATAAATAAATAAATCTTAAAAAAAAAAGTTTAGGGCCTCCCCTGGTGGCGCAGGCAGTCGAGCGCCACGCCATGAAGCTGTCTGCAGCCTCTGAAGCACCCTTTCAATCCCGGCCAGCCAGCAAGGGTCCCACATGGCGCGGCAGACCTCTCCTGTCATGCCCACTGCTCCCCTCAGCAGTGTATTTCATCAGTCTGCCTGTTCTGTTCCCCTCTCTGTCTCTGGTGAATCCTCTCACCATCCCGCACATCTGGCCTATACCCTGGTTCTTGTATAATATAAATAAATAAATGTTTAAAAAAAAAAAAGTTAAAAAAATTATTTCCCAAGAGTTGTATTACCACTAGGTTTAAAACTCAATGGTAGGAGAATATCTCCAACATAAAAATAATATCAATCCTGAGGATCCCTAACTACCCCTTACACTTGCATTTGTTCTCAGTACTTTTTAAAAATTCTTTTTAGAGCCTCCCCTGGTGGCGCAGCGGTTGAGCGCTGGGCTGCGAAGCTGCCCGCAGCCTCTGCAGTGCCGGTTCGATCCCCGGCTGCGGGCAAGGGTCCCACATGGCGCGCAAACCCCGCTGCTCCCCTCAGCATTGTGTTTCGTCTGCCTGTTCTGTTCCCCACTCTGGCTCTGGTGGATTCTCTCACCCTCCCACACTTCCGAATACCCAGTGCTTGTATAAATAAATCTTTAAAATTCTTTTTAAATAGGTAACATGGATATATCCACACTTTATAAAATTCAAAAGATACAAAAGGGTACATAGTAACAAATGTTTTCTCTCTCCCTAGTCACCCAGTTCTCCATACTGATAAAAATACCTGACACGCATTCTCATTACTGCATGCATTCTCATTCTTAAAAACAACACCTATGGGGCTTCTGTGGTGGCGCAAGGGGTTAAGACACAACCAATGAAACTGTTAGCAGCCACTGCGGTGCTAGTTCAATCCCAGGCCAGGGAGCTACCCACATGGTGCAGCAGACCTCTCCTGCCCCACCCACTGCTTCCCTCAGCAATGTATTTCAGTCATTCTGCCTGTTCTGTTCCTCACTCTGTCTCTGATGAATCCTCTCACCCCCCACACCTCTGGCCTGTACCCCAGTTCTTGCATGCATAAATAAATCTTTATTTAAAAAATACCTATGAAAATGCACAGACGTATATATTGTTTATGTGTGTATCATGTCAAACCAAAGACATCAAAACTATATATTAAGGGCCTCCCAGGTGGCGCAGCAGGTTGAGCAATGTGCTGTGAAGCTGTCCACAGCCTCTGCAGCGCGGGTTTGATTCCCAGCTGGCCAGGGAGAAACCCACACGGTGTGGCAGACCTCTCCTGCCTCGCCCGCTGCTCCCCTCAGCAGTGTCTTTGGTCCGTCTGCCTGTTCTGCTCTCTGCTCTCTCTGGTGAATTCTCTCACCCTCCAATACCTCAGCCCTGTACTCCAGTTCTTGTATAAATAATTAAAAAAAAACAAAAAACTGTAGATTAAGATCCCTTATGAGGTTAGATGCAAAACTCCATGAGATGAGTTTTTCAAATATAATATGCTTTTAAAGCTGTGTTTTTAAGCACACCATGTGGGTTTGCTCCCTGGCTGGGAGCAAACTCAGGCCTCAGTAGCTTATGATAGCTTCATAGTGATGAGACTTAACCCATTGTGCCTTAACCAGGGAGGCCCTTTACAAGATTTTAAATTGAGCTTTACTAAAAGGAGTACCAAGAACTATTAATAGCTATTGCCCTGAAGTGGTAGGATGATGACTGATTTTTTTCCCTAAACCGTCATTTATTGGTTTATATTTGTGAACTACCATTAGTAGTTTATAATGCAAAAACTGTAAGAATTCAAATACATACCCAGTAAGGTTGGGACAACACTTCATTTCCAGAAGACCTGTCTGATCTAATGCACATGCATAGATATCAATAACATGGCCAGTTGTAGCAGCTCGATTAGCCAAGGCTTCAAAATGCTACAAAAAGATATTTTCAAGTCAAAGAAGTCATATAAATGTACAAACTTAAACATAGTATAAATCTTTTCTCCAATTAATAGATCAAAATGATCTGAGAAATAATGAAATAATAATCCTTCATGCTATAAATATGAACTTCTTCAATGTAATAAAGGCATCTACAAAAACCCATTAGCTAACATCAAACTTAAATGGTAAAAGAGAAAATGATTTGTTCTAATTAAATTATCTATAATATTAGTCTCCTAAAATAATACAATTACTTCTCTGACACTTTCAGATTCTTTCTTTAAAAAGTCATTGTTTCTAAGCAAATTCCTAAATAAACGCTCAACTTAAAGGTATAATGAACATCTTGTTCTTTGTACACAGACAAGGTAGATTAAACACAGAACTCTTATTCCTGGTTAAACTGGTATTATCCAAATAATAACAAAACAGTAAATTAACAAACCTAAACATCTCTGAAGCTTCAAGGAAAATTCCAAGTTCAAAAGGGAAATCAAGTAGCAGAATATAAGTATCCATTAATAGTGACAAAAATTACTTGTCATTAATTGCCTTAAAAAATATAACAATGGGGTCTCCCCTGTTGGTGCAGGTGGTTAAGCACCGGACTATAAAGCAATATGCAGCCTCTGCAACACAAGTTCAATCCCCAGCCAGCAAGGGAGAAACCCACATGGTGCAGCAGACCTCTCCTGTCTCACCTGCTGCTCCCCTCAGCAGTGTATTTCAGTCAGTCTGCCTGTTCTGTTCCCCACTCTGTCTGTGGTGAATCCTCTCACCCCCTGCATCTCTGGCCTGTACCCCAGTTCTTGTATGCATAGATGAAAAAATCATTAAAAAAAAAAAAAAAGACGCAACCTATGAAGCTGTCAGCAGCCGCTGCAGCATGAGTTTGATTCCCGGCCAGGGAGCTACCCACATGGCACAGCAGACCTCTCCTGTCTCACCTGCTGCACCCCTCAGCATAGCATTTCAGTTAATCTACCTGTCCTGTTCCCCACTCTGTCTCTGGTGGGTCCTCTCACCCCCGACACCTCTGGCCTGTAATCCAGCTCTTGTATGCATAAATAAATCTTTTTTTTTTAAAAAAAAGGGCACAAAGGTAATCATTGAGGAGGTATCTTTTGTTGCCTACTATTAACCTTTCAAATATTTAAAATCAGAGAAATTATAACTTAAGAGGGAAAAAAGCTATTTCTCCAATTCCGAATAGTAGAGTAGCAGATTTCTTTCTTTCTTTCTTTCTTTCTTTCTTTCTTTTTAAAGATTTATTTTATTTATTTATGCATACAAGAACTGGGATCTAGGCCAGAGGTGCAAGGGGTGAAAGGATTCATCAGAGACAGAGTGAGGAGTAGAATAGGTGGATCTACTGAAATACTCTGCTGAGGGGAGCAACAGTTGAGACTGGAGAGGTCTGCTGCACCATGTGGGATTGAACTCAGGCTGCATTTGTCATAGTGCTGAGACTTAACCCCTTGCACAAGGGAGGCCCATAGATTATCAGATTTCTTAACCTAAAATATTTGTATTCTTCCTCTTCCAACAAATTTTTCTTATAATGGGTGAAAGATTTAAAAATCAATATACCTTAGTCCCCTTTTTAACATATTTGGCGTTGTCCTTTTCAATGTCATGCCATGATCGTATAGGTGTCTTCAGTTCATCCCCGACCACCATTCCAGGCCCCTGAGTGGCTGGCCCGCCAATGAACATCATGATACGAGCACCCGTGTTAGGAAAAGTACACTGATGGACAAAAGTCACTTGTCAAAAGAACTTAATGGAAAACATATACATTTCTCATCATGAATTTTGATATAGTTTTTCTAACAAATACGAAAGCATACATTTTCCAAAAAAAAAAAGCAAATGTTTAAAACTAAATTTACAAGGTGTTTGTTTGAAAGCCTTTTTTTAAAATAGTGCCTTCCTAATTTTAAAATAGTCTATAAACCTGATTCCTTTTTGCAAGAATGTTCCTCCTACTTACCTCATCCTAGACTGGGAGGAGTTGAGAAAGGAAGAAAAGAGGGCATCTATTTTTTAATTGTTCTATGTTAAAAACATAACATACTAGTTCAAGCTGATGATCTGAGTCCTCTAATTTCCCTCCCCTCTCTCCCAAGATGTCAATGAAATAAGAAAAAGGGAATAATTTTTAAAATGAATAAGAAAATAAGTAAGAGTGCTATCAGTAGACAATAAATTTTGAGGAATCCAAATAACAGACTGGAGTGATTTTTAAAAATCTTAATTTAAAAAACACATTCCTGATACTGCAGATAAAGCCAAATCTTCTCCTGATGGGAATAACTTAAAAGCTCTACAAGTAGAGTTAAAAAAAAAAAAAAGTAGCAATCTACCAAAGAAGTACAGTCAGCCTCCAGAAACAGCAGCTAATGACAAGAGTTGGCCATCAGCAATTGCTGAGGATTGCTCTCTGAGGAAAGTCCAATCTGATCAGAGAAGGGTCTTAGTATGGTGGTTGGGGGCTAAAAGATGCAGAATACAGGACAGGTTGCAATGGACATAACACAAACATGACAGCTCTCAAGAGATTCTATAATTAAAATCATTGCAAAAATACAAATACCTCAATAGATGAGCTAAAATTCAGCATATGGAAGTATCATTAAAAGTTGAGGAAATTGCCCAAAAAAAAAATAAAGATACAAAGAAACAGAGATGCCTGACATCTAATTAATGAATACAGAAAAAAAATAAACATTAATTAAATTGAACAATAACAGGAGTCTTTAGAATGAAAGGGCATATCAAGAATGAAACATAATTTATGAAAAAGAATTAAACCAAAATATAGCCTAATGGAATTGCACAACTCTAAAATTACAGAGAACATTCTAAATATGTTCACAGTGGAAATAAGAAGTCTCTTAAAAAGGAGTAAGAATGAAACTATATCAAATTATCATCAATACATTCAATGTTTTAATGCACAGAGAAAAGGTTCAAAGATCCTCCTAAGAGCCACCCAAAGTGCAAATGGAGAGGGCAAAATAGACATTCAAGAACTCAAAATACTTATAAGAAACGAAGAACAAACTTAAGTATAACCCAAAGGAAATAAGGAAATACAGAAAAAATTGTAAAAGCATCCTAAGACTTTGACAAATGCAAGATTTTCTCCATCAAGCAGCAAATTACATTTCCTTCTCTATGTGTATAACCATTGTACTTTGCCCCACAATTAATGTTTATATAATCATATTAGAAATGCTCATTGGTAATGTTATAGGCAATTACTGAACAAAAACACAGAATATATTTTTAAGTTACATTACAGCTTCAGAAAATAATGTAAATGATCTAAAGTTTTATAACTTAAAGAATCATATGACTAACAAGCCTGAAAGAATAAGAAAAACTGCTTTTACTTTTCATTTTTATACATTCTGGCATACTGTTTGAATGTTTTTATGAGATACACTTATTACTTCTCTAACTTTCTCAAATAACTATATGTATCAAAGCAAGCATGATCCTAGCTTACCAAACAAAAGTACTCTTTTTATTCTGGGTATCTGAGGTAATAACAGTCATGTAAAGCCAAAATACCAAAGAAGTACAAAAACAAAGTATACAAAACATACACCTTCATAAAACTAGAACACCAAGAACATGCCAAGTTCAAATTATTTATAAATAACTCTAACTTCCAAGTAAGCTGTCTCCCATGAAAACCTTCACATGGAATAAGGGTAGTTTAGAGGAACAGACGCGGAAAAAAGAGGGAGGCCAAAAGCCAATGTAGAATAGTCAGATTCAAGTTAAAAACTTAGTAATAGGCACTGAAGAAAGGTAAGAAAAGAATCAAGAGAATGAAAATAAAATTAAGAAATAAAAGGATCAGAGATAAAGTAAAATAGAAACAAGCAATTTGCATATAATGGGAGTTCTTAAAGAAAATAAAACAATGAAACGAAACTAATATGTAAAACTATAATCTAAGAAAAATGTATGGAAATAAAAAACCTGAATATGCATTTAGGAAGGTATCAGGTTTTGCAAGTCTCTGAATGTATGTATATGAAACATCAACATGATACTGAATAAGCATTATACGAAAGATAAACTCAGAGCAGTGCCAACCCTAATTGGTTCCAATCCTTGATAATCTTTTCAAAAACTGAAAGCATTTTTTAAATGCTTTTAAATAAATTACTAAATAGTTCTGTTTCATCTTACTAAATACTGCCAAAGTATGCAAGTTGACAATTTCATGGGAAGCAAAAAAATTTCAAAGGACATATAATTAGGACTCAGAACCCAGCTTAAAGGGTCTCCCACTGATCAAATCTGGGGCAATTTCAGATATTATGGAAAATTAACCAATATGACATGCTATTTTAAATGTGTATGTATATGTGTGTGATATATAAGTATAAAGGTACACAGATACAAATACTGAGAAAGAGGTATATAGCAAATATAAGAAAATATTAACATCTGAAGAATGTGTGATAACTACAAAGGAATTCTTTGAACTGTTTTTGCAGCTTGTCCACAAATACAGAATTATGTCAAAGTAAAGAAATGACAGAAATAGATTTATAATTCACCATAAAACACAGGAAACCATGAGTCCATAGTGACACCAATAAATAAATTAAAAGTTTAACGAGGAATGGAATATTTGCATTGTTTCAAAGATCTTCACATCGAATGTTCATTCATTACAAAGGAGGAAAATAAGAGTAATTTTACAACGGAGATGCCTACCAGACACAACCTTACTTAGTGATCCAGTGATTATCATCAGTAATGAGGCAAATGAAAATCACGGGGGGGAGGGAAGGTCTTTGTAAATTTTTTGCAACTGAAGTCATTTCATGTTTTTAAAAAATTTTTTAAAATTCGATTTTTAAAAAATTCGATTTTCCAATTATAAAACTAGGAATATGAGTCATGTAAATTTTTCAAATTCTAAAAAGTAAAATTATTTTAACCTACCACTGAACATTTGGGTGACATCCTTCTAGGAGCCTCTACTCAAAGGATATAGTGCAGATAAAACTTTAAATAAATAAAATCATGCTCACTGTCCTATCCCATGATCTAATAGTTGTCTCACCCACTATCATCTTGTAAAAATAATCTCATACATACGCATACACAGTTACATTCCAAAACAAAGTTATCATCACTACCTCAAGTAGTCCTACAGCAATGGAAAGTGCCACCCCAGAGGAACGCAAAGGTCTCTTCCCCTGTGGTACAGGCCAAGGGTCTCGCTGCAGTTCTCCCAGGAGATCTGTGAGATTCATGTCTATTTTCTGTACTGGCTGCAAGAATCTGCAAAACAAAATTTTTAAATAAAAAGTTATTCATAAATGTTTATGGGTGAGGGTTTAAAAAATAAACTACTTTTTCAAAAATAGGGAAAAAAAAATTTAATGCATGATAGACCAAAGGTTCTCAAACTTTCATGTATATAAGAACAGGTGGGAGCACTTGTTTTAACAGAGACTGCTTGTTCCAGACTTTCGCATTTCATACAAGTTCCCAGGTAATGCTTTTGGTACTGGTTCAAGAAGCACATTTTGAGTACAATTGCTGTAAATGTACTGAAGTACTACTTCAGTTCTGCCTCTTTCATTTACCAATCCACTAAGGCTTAAAGTTATTGAAATAATTATGAGAAGGTGCATCAACTCATTTTTTAGTAATATTACCTCAGCTTAAAAGTACAGGGGGAAAAAACTCCACAGAAAAACTAATTCAACTCATCAATCAGTTCAGTAAAGTGGCAGGATACAAAATCAACACGCAAAAGTCAGTAGCCTTCCTATACACAAACAATAAATCTGAAGAAGAAGAAATCAAAAAAACTATCCCTTTTATTATTGAAACAAAAAAATCAAATACTTGGGAATAAATCTAACAAAAGAGGTAAAGGACCTATACAAAGAAAACTATAAAACACTGTTAAAATAAAAGAAGACACAAAGAAATGGAAACACATCCCCTGCTCATGGATTGGAAGAATAAATATTATTAAAATGGCCATCCTACCAAAAGCAATATACAGATTCAGTGCTATTCCAATAAAAATTTCAAAGTCATTCTTCAAAGAAATAGAACAATTATTGATGAAATTCATATGGAATCACCAAAAACCCCAAATAGCCAAAGCTCTCCTGAAAAAAAAGAAGGGAATGGAGGCATCATACTCCCAGACTTCAGACTATACTACAAAGCCATAATCATCATCAAGCCAAACTGCATGGTATTGGAACAAGAACAGACACACAGACCAATGGAATGGAATAGAAAATCCAGAAGTAAACCGACAGATTTATGATCAACTAATCTTTGACAAAGGAGCAAAGACTATGCATTGGAGCAAAGAAAGTTTGTTCAATAAATGGTGCTGGGAAAACTGGGACGCTACATGCAAAAGAATGAAGCTTGACTACTATCTAACACCATGCACAAAAACCAGCTCAAAATGGATTAAAGAACTAGACATAAGACCTGAAACCATAAAATACATAGAAGGAAATATAGGCAAAACACTCCATGATATGCACATCAAAGACATCTTTACAGACACATCACCCAAAGCAGTGATAGTGAAGGCAAAGATAAACAGCTGGGACTACATCAAACTAAAGAGCTTCTGCACAGCAAAAGAGACAATAACAAAAACAAAGAGAAACCCCACCAACTGGGAGAACATTTTTGCACCCAACACTAATGATAAAGGACTGATCACAAAAATCTGCAAAGAGCTGATGAGACTCAACAACAACAAAGAAAATAATCCAGTCAAAAAATGGGCAGAAGAGATAAAAAGAAACTTCTCTGGAGAGGAAATGCAAATGGCCAACAGGCATATGAAAAAATGTTCAACATCACTTGTAATCAGGGAAATGCAAATCAAAACTACCATGAGATACCATTCACACCAGTGAGAATGGCATATATTAAAAAAACTAGCAACAACAAATGTTGGCGAGGGTGTGGAGAAAAAGGAACTCCCCTGCACTGTTGGTGGGAGTGCAAACTGGCCCAATCACTATGGAGAGCTGTGTGCAGATTTCTTGACCTCCTAAACATAGAGCTTCCATATGATCCAGCAATTCCACTCCTAGGTATTTACCCAAAGGACACAGAAACATCAATTCCAAAGAGCACCTGCACCCCTATGTATATAGCAGCACTATTTACAATAGCTAAGCTTTGGAAGCAACACAAATGCCCAAAAATAGATGACTGGATCAAGAAGATGTGGTACATATACACCATGGAATATTACTCAGCATTCAAAAAAGATAAACACATGCAATTTGCAGCAACATGGATGGCGCTGGAAGGGATCATGCTCAGCGAAATAAGCCAGAAAGAAAAAGAAAAATACCGGATGGTCTCACTCATAGCAGGAATCTAGAAAACTTAAATAAGGGACCAGGAAAAAGAATATAAGAAAGAAAATATCAAAATCAACAAACAACTATGAACCAGAGACACTCTATGGGGGGTGGGGGGGCGGGGAAAGTAGGGATTGGGGTCAAAATAAGGGGGTTGTAATTGTATGGGGAATATAAAAATAAAATTTAAATTAAAAAAAACATTTTTTAATCTAAGAAACTATAATGAGGTCTAAAGAATGGATAACTTACTTACACGTTCCCTTCAAAAATTATTAAATTTATAAAAGCAAAAAAGAAAAAAAAAAGTACAGGGGGAAAGTACCTCTAAAGGCAAGAACGCAAAATTTAAAATTTTTGTTTAGCTGCCCTCAGTCAAAAATTAACTTTTACTAAACTCACAAATAGAAAATCAGGAATATATCAAAACTGAAGTAACTTCTCACTTTAATAATTATCTGATTCAGCCTATATTCTTAAAAGTATACCAATGCAATCTATTATTTTCTTAAATATAATATAGTTATCATCAAATATCTATGTTCAAGTTAAGGGTCTGGGATACTTAAATAGTTTGTACAAATGATCAAATTCTCTTTGACACATTTAATTATTACCTGTTGGAAGGAGGTGGCTGTTGTACCTGGGGACCACGTGTTGCTTGAGTAACAGGAACTTTAGAAAGCCCCAGCATTTCCTGTAAAGAGATTATTTCTGTGATATTTGCTTAATTACTCCTTCAAAGGTGTATCACCTATTTACCATGTGCAAGGTGGTCTACTAGGCATTAAGAACACACAAAAGGGGGAAAAAAAAAAAAGAACACACAAAGAATAAAAGGTGCTACCTCAGCAAAAGGAGATACTAGCTCATAAAAATATTATTTCTCAGCGAAATAAGCCAGAAAGAAAATGAAAAATACCGGATGGTCTCACTCATAGCAGGAATCTTAAAAAACTTAGAAATCTTAGAAAACTTAAATAAGGGAACAGGAAAAAGAATAACTATAAGAAAGAAAATATCAAAATCAACACAAGAGACACTCTATGGGGGGTGGGGAGTGGGGAGGGGAGGGGCTGGGGTCAAAATAAGGGGATTGCAATTGTATGGGGAATATAAAAATAAAATTTATTTTAAAAAAAATATTATTTCTAATTAGCAGTCAAAACAAGTTATGTAACTGTCTTCATTCACTCCTTTCAAGGACTAGATCTCAAGTACCTGCTATGTGTACTATCTAAAGGAAAAAAATACATAGTCCCTGACCTTACAGAAATAGGAATTAACCAAATCATAACGTCAATTAGTGTAAAATTTCAACTGTAATAACTGCTATGAAGGAGATGCATGTCATCATATAAAGGAGGTCTCAAAGGTATATATATATACCTTGGATGTCTATACTTCTTAATTTTCTGACTTAATAACTAACCAAACTGCTAGTTTTGTTTTAAATTTTTGATGTATATACAATTCCTACTTTAGACCCATGGAGATAATATCATTACTAAAGCTTTTTTGATTCTAGAAATGTTCAGTCATGAAGCAATATAATAAAAGTATGTAATAGAAAAACAAAGACTTGCAAAGCAATTATTGGACTAGTCCTGTAGTATTTCTTGTACTGCTAGCAGGAACAGCAGCTTTTACTAAGGACTTACTGTGTATCAGTTTCTGTGCTAAACTCTTTATGTAACACTTCCTCACAAAGCAATAATGAACTAGATTTCTTAATCCCTGCTCTACAAATGAAAGGTGACACTCAGAAAAGTTAAGTAGCTTGCCTAAGGTTATACAACTAGTAAGTGACAACATATATATTAAACTAGGTTTTCTAAAAAGCCTCGATTATTTCATTAGTAGTACATTACTTCATTTAGTACTAATAATAACCATGCAAAATAGGTATTATTTATCTTTCCCATAAAGGATGAGAAAAAAAAGAAATCAGCCCAAGATTGCACAACTACTAGAGTCTAAGATTTGATGCCAGGATTATCTGGGGAGCAAAAATCAGGTTCAACTAGTTGGACATAGAAAAAAGATAAAAACATTTTAATGGAGAAAACAGTCTACAGGCATTCATTATCACTGCAAAAAGGCTTAAGTTTTACTTATTATATAACTTAGGTAAAATGTACTCTGCAATCAAAATTAACACTAAACCACTTAAAATAAATCTACCATTTAAAAATAACATTAAGGGCCTCCCTGGTAGCGCACACGGGTTGAACGCAGCGCTGTGAAGCTGTCCGAAGCCTCTGCAGTGCCGGTTTGATCCCGCTGGCTGCGGAGCAATCCACATGGGGCAGCAGAACTCTCCTGTCTCGCCCACTGCCCCCCTCAGTAGTGTATTTCGGTCATTCTGCCTGTTCTGTTCCCTGTTCTATTTCTGGTGAATCCTCTCACCCTCCCGCGCATCTCTGGCCTGTGTACCCCATTCTTGTATAAATAAATCTTAAAAAAAAACTAACATGAGGGAAAAAAAATAACATTAAGAGCGAACATTTAAAGTCTATTTAATTCCTGTGACCACTCCACAGAAGACTATAATTATCTCCAATCTACAGATTAAAAAATTTAAGGTACAAAGAATTTAAAACTTGCCCACTTTCTCTCCTGTCTCATGGAAATAAATAATCCTCCTCTCCAAGGTACTCTGCTTCTCTACCATGCCTTGTGAAACTTCACTTTCTTCATCTTACTCTTGCTTTCACACTCATTAACTTTGGTCTCTTTCTTTTCTATGTATAAACACATTCAAGTGTTCCTTCTTCTAATATAAACATCTTTAACTCAATTCTCTCTCTCTCAAAATCCCAACTAGGTCTTCCTTACCTTCAGCAAGAAACCTCTTAAAAGTCTCTCAATTTTCTCCACTTCCTCAAGCCTTATTCACGATATCATTTTATCCTCCCTATCCAAACTTCAATCTCTTGTCAACTGTAGCACCACTAGCCCAGTTTGCAAGCTTCCAATTAGAATCAGCCTCAAAAATCTTTTCTTTTTCATTATGGGCAACCTGGAGGTCTTCGAAGTCTGATTTAATATCTGCTTAGTTTATACCAGTCTTATCTAACTAGCCCAGGATACCCGTTCTCACCTGGGGGTAGTAACAGAATCAGTTAGAGAGTCTTCAAAGTACTTCCATGAACAACCCTCACTTCCCAACCACATATTCACTCATAGGCTATCAAAAAGTCTATCAAAAATCCCCAGATGATTCCAGTAGGCTACATATAACTCTTCTTCCTTGAAAATAAAGCTTCAATTTGCCCCAAAGATAAAAGTGTTGTCCTAGAATCTGAAAAATATGTACACTCATAGCTCACACAATAACTCTTAAGCCTTAAAATATCTCTGTGAAATAAGTTTTCGATTCCTAAGTAAGATGTCAAGAGATAAAAGCTAGCATTCTGTAGTCGCTTTCTCTAAGTCTTCAGCAAGTCTCTTTCATAAACTCTTCAAATCTTTAGTAAAATACCTTTAGTTTCACTCTAAATTCTAAGGATACATTTACAAGTTCAGGGTTTCAATCTATATAACAATCACGATAAATGAAAGAAAACTACTATCAATACATTTAAAGACTTAGTTATAATACAATTCTATCAGTCATACATAACAGAAATGTTTTTTAGAAACTTTTACCGAGAGGCATTTATAGACATAATGTAGAGTGATGTTCACAGAGAGCTGAAACTATCATTCTTGTCATTTACCTGTAGTTGTTTGGCAGACAGATCTTTTGTTCCTCTGAAGACGTAGCTTTTTGAAATGCCTTCACATCCAAGTTCATGAACCTGCACCATTCTCCCAAAAGTAATAAGTCCAACCAAAGCTGTAGGTGGTAAAAGACTTAATGACATCTGCATAGATTCTTTCAGGGCTTGTAAATCTTCGTCTTCCATGCAAGTATCAACCACATAGAGGAAGATCAAAGGCATCTGAGGACCACGCTTTTGAAAGATTTTGCAGTAAGAAAAAAGATGTTATTTTATTTTATTTATTTATTTTTAATAGAGGCATGTTTTATTTATTTGTTTGTTTGTTTGTTTATACATGCACTGGGTACAGTCAGAAGCGCGGGAGGGTGAGAGAATTCACCAGAGCCAGAGCAGGGAGCAGAGCAGGCAGAAGGACCGAAGTACACTGCTGAGGGGAGCAGCGGGCGGCAGGGGAGGTCTGCGCACCATGTGGGACCCTCCTCTGGTGGCCGGGGAGCAGCCGGGGATCGAACCAGCGCCGCAGAGGCCGCGGGCAGCTTCGCAACCCAGCACTCAACCGCTGCGCCACAGGGGAGGCCCAAAAAGATGTTATTTTAAAAGCATTAATTTGCACCTGAAACTACTGTTTTATGTCAAATATACCTGAATTAAAAAATATAAAAGCACTAACACTGAAGTGAAACATAAGGATAATCAATAACATTAATACATAGTACACTCATACAATGGAATTCTAATAAGCCATTTCAGAAATGAAACAATTTATGTGTGTGTGTATATATGTATTATACATATATACCAGGTCCCCTTGTACATACACATACACACACAAACAGAAAGACATTCAAGACATATCACCAAGTGAAAAATCAAGTTTTAAAAACATTATGTATAGTTTTATAAGGGATATTTTCACTTTTCATTTTATTTATCTGCCTGTTTCATTTCTTATAATAAGTATATACTTCTTTTAAAAAATAATAACTATAAAGTTTAAAATCAAAATGAGGTGGTTTTTACAGAATTATCTACGTAAATGAGATTTTAAGAGACTAGAAACTGGCCAGGCTAATTACTGACTCAAGTGAAACATATTCTGCTTTCTTTACAACACTGATAATGAATATTAATTCCACACTTAAATCTGTAATGACTATGTTAGGAGATTTAGAAAGGGGAAAATTATTTTCCTAACAAGGAGCAATGTAAGTCATAATCAGACTTGGGGATATTGCGTCAGTCTCCAGCAACATATTGACTAAGTATTTGTGAATGGACTTTCTAATCACAAAGCCAGATTGATACCTTATTATTTACTGATCTACTCAGTACAGTGGTCCTCTTTTATGTAAGGGGAAACATAGCAAGATACGCAGTGGAGATGCCTGAAACTATGCATAGTCCAAATAATATACAGCAAGCCCTCACCTAACATCATTGATAGATTCTTGAAAACTGTGACTTTAAGAGATACAAAGTATAATGTTAATAGTAAGTCCTAGGATAATGTCATTTTGTCTAATATGGGATGATAATTTTTTTTCTCATTTATGTTACACCATAAAGATGTTACTTGGGGACATACCTACAGTGAAAGTTAATTTATAAATGAGGCACAGTAACACACTAGCAACACTAACAAGTAATAAAATAGAACAATTCTAATAATATGCTGCAATAAAAGTTAGGCTGAATATAGTCTCTCTTTCTCAAAGTATTTTTGTATAGTGGTTGACCACACATAATAGAAACTGTGGATAAAAGAGACTCTGCTTAGCAAATGACACTACTCCACCCAATATCCTGGCCACACATCAAATAACTACAACAGAGAAATTACTTTGCTCAAACTGACCTTGACAATCTTACCTTTGAAACACTCCATCAATTCAACGTGAGAATCAAGGATGAAACCTTTTAAGTGATCTCAATTTAACAATTATTTTGGTAGAAAGTAAGCTGCTCAATATTTAAAACTTTCTTAAAGATTAACATTTAAGTCCTTACCAGAACTACATATTCAATGCTAGAAAACTGAGGTAAAAGTTCAGCAGGCTGATTCAGTTCAGATATGCCAGCATAAGTAGGTGGAAACTACAGAGAAAAAAAAACAAAAAAAATTGTAACAAATTACGTGCCAGAAAGAATAATTATACTTCAAAACTGAAAATAATTACTTACTCATCTATCTATTTAAAATAGGTATTTTGAAAGATAAACACCAGATGGTATCACTTATATGTAGAATATAGAGAAATAAAACAAAGAGTCAGACAAAAACAAATCACTAACAAATCCTAGAAATTAGACTGTAGAATTGAGGCTATCAAAGAATTAGGGAAGGATGGGGAACTAAGTGGGGAGGGGGGGAAAATGGATGACAATGGAGGACTTGGTGGTGGGTATAGTGTGGTAACACATCTGAAGAGGTGTGAGCCTGCATCTCTGAATCATTTACAGTGTTGCAAACCAATGTTACCTCAATAAAAAGATATTTTTAACATGAAAAATTTTCTTTCTTTATAAATATATATCTCTCTGCATAGTTAGACTATTATTAACATTACATTTGTAAAGGGGATTTACTTACCTGATTCCTTTGATAACAAAAGTTGCAAGCCCAAAGTTTTGCCCGGTAATCCACTTGACTGTTTTAAGAAAATAAATAATAGCTCATGTTTCAGTTCATTTTTACCAGGATCCTAATTTCAATAAAATTAATTACTCTCTAAAATATGAGCACAATCAAGCTGATAGTCAAAGTGATCTTTTTTTTTTTTTAAAGATTTATTTATTTATTTAGGGCCTCCCCTGGTGGCGCAGCAGTTGAGCGCTGGGTTGTGAGGCTGCCTGCAGCCTCTGCAGCGCCAGTTTGATCCCCAGCCACTGGCGAGGGTCCCAAAAAAAAAAAAAAAAAAAAAAAAAAAAATTTATTTATTTATACAAGCACTGGTTTCAGTCAGAAGCGCAGGAGGGTGAGAGGATTCACCAGAGCCAGTGCAGGGAACAGAACAGGCAGAAGGACCACCGAAGCACACTGCTGAGGGAAGCAGGAAGCAGTGGGCACAGCAGGAGAGGTCTGCGCACCATGTGGGACCCTCGCAGGCATCCAGGGAACGAACCGGCGCTGCAGAGCCTGTGGGCAGCTTCGCAGCCCAGCACTCAACCTCTGCGCCACCAGGGGAGGCCCCAAAGTGATCTTTAAAAGCATGTACATTTAGATGTTGCCAATATCTAATTCATACTTTCAACATACAAATTTGCCTAAATGAATATAATTTTTAATATGTAGCAAACACCAAGAGTATAATTAAAGTAATCCTATTTTCTCCTTCAAAATTACTTAGTAACTTCTACATTCAGATTGAAAAACATTTATTCAATCAAAAGTATAGATATTTAATGTTTACTATATACCAGCCATTATTCTAGGTATGGTCATACAGCAATGAAAGGAAAAGATCCCTGCTCTCATGGAGATGATAGATAAGACAGATAATAGACAAATAGATGCATAAACAAAAAGACACTCTGAGACAGTGATAATGAAGATTGAAGAAAACAAAGCAAAATGTGAGAATGTGTTTGGAAGGACTACTTTAAAGGAAGTTCTTCTTGAACAACTAAAATAAAGACTAAATAAATGAAAAGGAATCAGAGCAATATAGGCAGAATATATATCTGTTGCACAGTTTCCAAGATAGAAATAGATTGGTATATTCAAGGGCCAGAATGAGGGGAAGTATAACATAGATAAGAATAAGGAAACTGGATGATACAAGATGAAGGCAACAATACAGAGGATAGAGAAGGTAGGACTTTACAGGTCTTGTGAAAAAGTTTGGATTTTTTCATTTTAAGTATCATGAGAAGCTACTGGGGGATTTTTAAAATCTGATATCCATTTAAAAAACTCTAGCTTCCAGGGACTCCCTGGTGGCACAGGGATTAACATCTCTGCACTATCAAGCTACCTCCAGCTACTGCAGCATAAGTTCAATCCCCAGCCGGGGAGCTAACCCACATAGAGGAGAAGACCTCTCCTGTCTCATCCACTGCTCCTCTCAGCAGTTTATTTCCATAGATCCGCCTGTTCTACTCCCCATTCTGTCTCTGGTGAATCTTCTCTGGTGCACCCCCTGCACCTCTGGCCTAGAGACCAGTTCTTGTATGCATAAATAAATAAAAAGAAATCTTTAAAAAAAAAAAACCCTCTAGCTTCTGGAGAATAAACTACTGAAAGACAAAAGTGGAAACAGATTAGCTGGGAAGATAATGAAACTGTGCAGAAAAAAAGATGGTATATCTTAAAATAGAGTGTACAAGCAACAACTGAGTGAGACTAAATCAGTAAATGTTCTGGAGGTAAGACTTACTAGATTTGCTGGTGGACTGATGAGGAGAAAGAGAATGGAAAGAGAGATAAAAGTTGATTCCTGAGATACTGGTTTATGCAACAAGAAATCATAAGATTTTCCAAATGCCATATCATTCATCTATGACTTTTCTTTTTTCTTCTTTTTTTTTAAGATTTATTTATTTATGCATATAAGAGCTAGGGTACAGGCCAGAGGTGTGGAGGTGAGAGGGTTCACCAGAGACAGAGTGGGGAACAGAACAGGCAGACTGATTGAAGTACACTGCTGAGGGGAGCAGCGGGTGAGTCAAGAGAGGTCTGGGTTGCTCCCTGGACGGCCAGGGGTCGAACTTGTGCCACAGAGGCTGCAGACAGCTTCATAGGTTGTGTCTCAACCCCTTGCGCCACCAGGGAGGCCCCATTTATGACTTTTCTTATGATACAAAATGGGTTGATACTCAGCCAGCACCAGTACCTAGAGAATAGTATCTAATAGTTTACATAGCAACAACTTTACATTTGGTCTCTTGTCAATTACTACAACTAGAATGATCCTAAAATATTTAAAGCTCATTAGATTTTACTATGCTAATTTGAAATAACTATAAGCAAAAACAAAGGCATTTTAATATAAATGAGCAAGAAAGAACTAAGTTTTTTTCCCTACACCTCCCCCGCTCAAGAAACTAAATTTTTAAATCAAATTGCCACATTCACTTTTTCCATATATTTTAATTACCATAAAGGATTCAAAACTGCACGGCAAGTGGTCCTACTACACAGAACAGGTTCATATTGAATAGGTGGTAAATCAGGTCTCTCCTTCAGTGGTGTAAATAGAGATGCTACTGGAACAACCATTCTTGTTGCTTCTAGTCGACTTGATGGCCAAACATTCCAACTAAATCGGACTCCATCTCGTTCTTCATTTTGTTGGATGAATTCCAAATAGGTTGTCATTGTAGAGCTTTATTCTTATTTCTGTAATAAAATGAAAGGCTATTTAAAAATCCAGGAGTCTCCTAAGGAAATTCAAAATATTGAGCAAGGGAACAGGATCTGAAACATAAAGGATGACAAGGATTAGCAACAAACCTACCTTATAGAAGAACCCCTGGGTCTCATTAGGCTCAGCCTGGATGAGCAAATTTATGTGAAAATGAGACAAGGCAGATTGCATGCTTATGATCAGCACTGAAGTATATTAGGAGATGTGGAAGACTTTGTGACTACTATAGAAAATGATGAGGAACCCTAAGAAAAGATGAGACCCCAACAAAAATCAGAGGAATGTTATCTTTTAATTCACTCTTGAGAAATATTCTGACGCTTTTTGTTTGGTGCAATGGTGTTGCACTAATTGCCCCTCCAGTGACAGTTGGCAGAAACAAAGAATTTATCCTGTATGGAAAATAGGAGACTGTACAATTGCCTCATTAAATGTAGAAGACATTTAAAAGAGAAGTCTGTGTAAATTTTCACATTAAGAAATGACCCAGATTTTTCCGCTCCTGAAATGAGTTGATTTGCAGATAACTGACAAATTCTTAAACTAAACTGCATTTTTATTTTTTCTCTAACCCTTCCAATTAATGTGGTCACGAAAACATGGAACTCTTTTACAGGCGTTAATTTATTCCAATTGTTCCTTTGGAAAATTTCTGACTATTTCCTTAAAAGTTGTTTCTCCAGGTTTTTTTTTTTTTTTTTACAAAAACTCACAATAAGTATGCCTTCGGTAATATTAAATAGTAAGAAATCATGAACTTAATGAAAATAATTCTCTTAAGAGAAAGAGTAGCAAGCAACAATAACTGTCCACTTATAACAAAATAATAAATGATTCTACAGAAGCCAATACCCACCAGACCCAATCAGAGGTATTTTATCCTTTAATTCGCTCTTGAAAAAACTATAGTAAAAACTTAATAAATAATAAAATCAGTGTTCTATTTATTTATATAGGAAAGGTATAAAGGGGGGGCAAGGGAATCTAGACCCAAGACTTTCCACATCAGCCTTTAAGTTACATTAGTCTAAGTAAACGGATTGTCAAAATTATAAAATCTATCTGAATATACTAGAAAATGCTAAGTTTCCACCAAGCTTTCTTTAAAAGACTATTTAATACCACATAATAACAGATTTTCCCAAAACTGGGTATTTCTGCTTTAGACAGGTCATTTTTTCTACTGTGCAAATACAGGACATTCATGGCACATAAATACTTGCTAAGTAGTGTTCCTATGATTTATATATTATTTTGCCTCTTTTATAGAAACCTAATTCAGAATATAACATTCCAACTTAAGAGAACACTGTTTTAAATTCTAATCTGAAATCTATAACTTCAATATAATCACTTACATTTACTACTAGGAGAAGCGTGATGCTGCTCTGGCAAGGGCCCAGTGTCTAGAGACAGCTCCATCTTGTTACTCTCTAATTGCCTATCTACAACAATGCCAGCTTTCCTATCTAAGCAACAGTTCTATCTCTCAAACTGCAACAGAGGCTAGTGATGGAAGGAAACTGTAGAATTTAAAGATCTGGTAAAGTAAGGTTTCAAGTGCTATGTGGCTAACCGAAGGATTTGTGGCAGAGATGAAGTTAAAAGAACTGAAGAATTATAGTGTCAGACGAGTCAATATGTTGAAGTTGCTAAGAATGAAAGGACAACAAACTGATTCTAAAATGTAAGAGGGAAGGAAAGGTATTATTTGGAAAATAAAAAACAATTTTAATTATAAAAAAATTTTTAAATAGGGCCTCCCGTTGTGGCGCAGGCAGTTGAACGCAGCGCTGTGAAGCTGCCCACAGCCTCTGCAGCGCCAGTTTGATCCCTGCCAGCTGGCGAGGGTCCCACACAGTCCAACAGACCTCTCCTGTCTCGCCCGCTGCTCCCCTCAGCAGTGTATTTCGTCAGTCTGCCTGTTCTGTTCCCCTCTCTGTCTCTGGTGAATCCTCTCACCCTCCCGCACATCTGGCCTGTACCCCGGTTCTTGTATAAATCAATCAATCAATCTTTTTAAAAATAATTTTTAAATAGATAATACAAATTAGAGAAAATGAAGCTTAACAAATTCAGTATCTTAAGCAACTAAAAACTTTCCCTTCTTTAAAAAGAAACAGAGGCCTCCCTGGTCACACAGGGGTTAAAGTCTCAGCACTATCAAGCTATTGCCAGGCCCTGCATGAGTTCAATCCCCGGCCTGGGACAGCAGACCTTTCCTGTCTCCCCGCTGCTCCCCTGAGCAGTGCATTTCAGTAGATCCTCCTGTTCTGTTCCCCAGTCTGACTCTGATGAATCCTCTCACCCTCCCTCCCTCCCCCGCACCTCAGGCCAGTACTCCAGTTCTTGTATGCATAAATAAATAAATAAATCTAAAAAAAAAAGAGAGATCATGGATTTTTCAAAGCTTGACAAAGAGTAAAGAGGAATTATAAAATAATTCAATTTGTTTAGGAAAGATTTTCCTGAGGGCAAATACAAGAGACAGCTTTGAGAAGGAGGATATGAGCTTTCAAGATAAAACAGCTGTTGGAAGATAATGATAAAGGCCTGGGATAGTCACAGGGTAGATAAAGATGCCAAACTCAGTTCAAACACAGGTGACAGTAAAAAGAGAAACAATCTCTGGGAAAGAAATTAAATTTCTGTGCCTCCCCGGTGGTGCAGCGGTTGAGCGCTGGGTTGCGAAGCTGCCCGCAGCCTCTGCAGCGCCAGTTCGATCCCCGGCTGCTCCCCGGCCACTGGAGGAGGTTCCCGGCCACTGGAGGAGGTTCCCACGTGGTGTGCAGACCTCTCCTGCCGCCCGATACTCCCCTCAGCAGCGTACTTCGGTCCTTCTGCCTGCTCTGCTCCCCACTCTGGCTCTGGTGAATTCTCTCACCCTCCCGTGCTTCTGACTGTACCCAGTTTTTGTATAAACAAATAAATAAATCTTTAAAAAAATTAAAAAAGAAAACCTGTCTCAGGATTTAAAAAAAAAAAAAGAAATTAAATTTCTACCAACACCTTCCATGCTACAAATGTGAATATAAATTCTAAAGCTATAAAATCTCTACCCTTATTTTTATAGAACATAAAGCAAGTGAGGTTTTCCACATAATACTTAACTGCATCTATATCCAAGATACATCAAAAATGCATCACCAATAAGTATTAAAATATACTTGACCAATCAGTGTTTTCATCTGAACCACAAAACACACAAAAAAAATTGCTCTGAGTGACTATTTTCTCAATCCACCAAAAATGGTACCTAAGTGTTAGCAAGGTATTTGGCATTTTTCCGAAAATGGATGAAGTGAGCCTTTCACTGGAAAACATTCGTCAGATTTTGTTGCCAATGATAAAATTTGAGCTCTCAAGCATTTACCACGATTTTTAAAAATGTGTATATATAGTACTATGAGCTTCCTATCTCCCTAATATGTAAAGGTTGTTCTGATGAGATCCTTGGTGCATTAATGTAAGATATTTATGTTGTATAGTGAAGATATACATTATTCAGTGAGCACTATCTCTTAAATGATCAATCCACAACATTTCAAAATCTTACACAGGTAAATGATCAAAGTGCAGAATAAACGAATGGTTTTTAAAATAAGAGAGTAGAAAAAGTCACTTCTAAAGTTTCAGATTCCACACTACAATTAACCTTTGATTTCTTTTTATTTAAAAAAAAATTCATTTATTTATGCAAGAATTGGGGTAGAGGCCACATGTGTGGGAGGGTGAGAGGATTCACCAGAGACAGAGTGGGGAACAGAACAGGCAGACTGAGGAAATACACTGCTGAGGGGAGCAGCGGGCGAGCCAGGAGAGGTCTGCCACGCCATGTGGGTTTCTCTTCTGGCCAGCAGGCTTGAACTCATGCTGCAGAGGCTGCAGATTGCTTCATAGTGCAGTGCTTAACCCCTTGCACCACAAGGGAGGCCCACTTGTCTTCTATTAAGCCAGATATTTTTAAATCCTCAATAATTTATAAAAGGATCCTGAAAACTACTGCCTTAGGACATGAGGGCTTAATTCAATCAGGGAACCTAGTAGAGAAAGGCTCTTTATAGGGTACTTAACATAAAGACATTTACAGGCAATGGCCAGGTTTAAGTTTCTATAATAGGTAACAAGACTGGATTATAACGTCAAATCCTTACTTTTAATGAAGACCTGCCAAATATCATCTAAGTGATATTGAGCACAATCCCCTCCTCTTCCTCACTCTTTTTCCTCTCAATCTCCTCTACTGGCAGATCACATTTGCTCACTAAATCACATCCATTATATTTCTTACATCCTCATAGTCCAGCAGCCTTTTTCATAAAGTCCCACCTGTTTCTTATCAAGTGGGTCAGTTAAATGGCCATGCACAATACCTCTCAACTTTCTCTCACCTTTCATAGATACAAATTGCTCAATTTTCAAATCACTAATTCTAGCCTGAAACTTGGTAGGCCCCGCCTCATTCAACAATGGCATTATTTGAAATAAAGTCCTTGTTTACAAACCACCTTTTCACAAACTAGCATTTTTTTTAAAGATTTGTTTGTTTATTTTTAGAGATTTATTTATTTATTTATTTATGCAAGCACTGGGTACAGTCAGAAGCGCGGGAGGGTGAGAGAATTCACCAGAGCAAGAGCGGGGAGCAGAACAGGCAGAAGGACCCAAGTACACTGCTGAGGGGAGCAGGGGGCGGCCGGAGAAGTCTGTGCGCCATGTGGGACCCTCGCCTGCGGCCGGAGATTGAACTGGCGCTGCAGAGGCTGCGGGCAGCTTCGTAACCCAGTGCTCAACCGCTGCACCACCAGGGGAGACCCCACAAACTAGCATTATTTAGCACTCTGTTGCCTGAGTAAAACCATAAAACCAAATAAAAATGATTCAGACACTATATTAGGATGCAGATTTAACATACAAGTCGTTTTATGCATATTTTTAAAGTGGTACAAATACAAAAGACTATTTTAAAGAACTGTCTCATTTTTCACAAGTTATGATCCGTGGGAGTTACTTTAGTTAAGTAACTGTTCATGGCATAAATAAAAACAAAAAAGCAAAACATCACGCCACTTTAACCAGCATATCAAATACATGTCCATAGTATTTTAAGATTTTCCTTACAATCTTTTTTCACTATTCCAATTTTAGCCCTTTTACAGATATCTAAGTGAAAGCCATCCTATATAGCAAGTAAAATATGAGCTCTTTTCAAATACCTGTCTTAGCCGACAACTAAATGCACCTCTCCTTCAGATGCCAGATCCTCAATGAACAGTCTTCAATTACATACATAGGATGAGTAGCTTTATGATCAAAGACCGAGCTTGATCTACAAAACTACAAGAAACTTAAGAGTTAGATATAATTTCTTTTTCTTTTTTTTTTTTTTTTAGAGGCATGTTTTATTTATTTATTTTGTTTGTTTGTTTGTTTTTTTTTTTTTTTGTTTATACATGCACTGGGTACAGTCAGAAGCGCGGGAGGGTGAGAGAATTCACCAGAGCCAGAGCGGGGAGCAGAGCAGGCAGAAGGACCGAAGTACACTGCTGAGGGGAGCAGCGGGCGGCAGGAGAGGTCTGCGCGCCATGTGGGATCCTCCGCCGGTGGCCGGGGAGCAGCCGGGGATCGAACCGGCGCCGCAGAGGCCGCGGGCAGCTTCGCAACCCAGCGCTCAACCGCTGCGCCACCGGGGAGGCCCGAGTTAGATATAATTTCTAACTCTACAATTCTATGAGTCAATTAAACATGGGAAGGGAGACTTACATGCACTTATATTTAAATCTAAAACGTATTTTAACCAAGTTAATTCGGCTAGTTATCCACGGTTTTGAGGGAAGTTCATATGAAAACGTGAATTCAAGATAGTTACTGCAGTGACTACATGCAGTTAACACGATTTCTCCGTTCCCAACAAAACGGGAAAATGCTTGGGCCAATTTGGAAGCACAACGTATGATGGTTTAATCTGAAACTGAACTCTTTGTAATCAAGGCCCTGGGCATTGTGTTTATCAGGCACTTTTCTCCTTATCCCCTTTAACCACCAAGGCCGAACTACGGGTGACGAAGTCACCTCGGTTCAAAGTCTAGGGCACTTCAGAGCAGGCAAGGAATGAACCAAGAAGTCCGAGGGCCAGAAGCGGGGAAAGGCTGGGGTAGGGAAGGCGAGTCCCTCCGGAGACCCGGGTGGGGTGCTGGGCGAGACGCCCCAACTGACGTTTTGTCACCCCACTCCCTCCTTCCCCGACCCACCCAGGGAGCCGGGTGAGGGACCAAGCCCCCAGGCCCGGGCAGAACGAATCAGAGGGTGATGAGTAAGAGGGCAGACAGCTTCAGGGCTCCAGGCCACCCCCGCCGAGCCCGGGTCGCAGCTCCCAGGCGCGCCCCCCGCCTCGGGGCACCAGGAGGGCAGAGCGGGCAGCAGCCCCGAGACCCCGGCCGCCCCTCCCCCGCCGCGCGCCCGCGGACAGCCCCTCCCCGGGAGCTGGCCGGCGGAGCCCCTGAAATCGGCCCTTACCACAGTGCACCCCTACAAGTCCCGCGCCGGACGCCGCCCGCGCCTCGCAAAATCAGTCCTCCTCGCGGAGCTGCCGCTGCCGTGGCACAGCAATCAGGGCCGGCGCCGCCCCGCCCCCGGCCTCCACGAAGCCCTGGGCCAGGCCAACATGGCTGGCGCCGCCTCTGCCACGTCAAGGGGCGGGCGCGAGGAGGAAGGGGCGGGGGCAGCGCCGCGGGCGGGGCGCCGGGCCCGGGAGCCGAGCGCAGCCAAGCGGTAAGTCTAGGAGGGGGCCGGCGGAACGCTGGGCGGGGTGCCGGGCGGGGTGCCGAGCTGTGTGCAGGGCGGGGGAACTGGAGCGAGGGGGCAGGACTGAGCCCGGAGGGGAGGATAGGACCAGGCTGTGGAACGCGGGAGGGGCCGGGATCTGGGCCGAGTTGAAAGAGTAGTGTAGGTGTGCGCCCCGGAGCACCTTTGCCCTGTCTCGGGTGAGCCCGTTTCCAGCTCAGTGTGAGCCGCTGGAAAGGTAGGAACTGACGCTGTTGCCTCTCAGAGTCCTCAGCTCGTCCAGAGACAAGGAGGCCTCCTCTGGGATGTCCCCTCCTTCAAAGACCCGGGTGGATTCCTAGAGCCACAAAACAACCACATCTTCCCTGGGAAAGAAAAAAAAAAGTGAGAAATTCGTGCAGCAAATATTTCCTGAACATCTACTATGTGCAGTTGCGGTTGTGTTATGACCTAAGCAAAACAGATCAAAATCCCTGGCCTGGAAAAGAATTTACATGCTGTTTATGTAGTCCCAGTCAGTCTACCTCTACACTACCTCTGCCCCTCCCCTACACACACACACACATACTCTCCTACAATCTTTGGTTGACTAATCTTGATGCTTTTTCTGCTTCCCTTTCACGAAAGAACTGAGCAAAATGAGACACTGACATTTGAATTTGGCTATCTCAGGCAATTCCGTCCTTGAGGAAGGTGGTCTCCAAACTTACTCCACATATGACAGTACTGAGAATCCTGCAAAATTTAGCTAGCTCTGTAAGCATTTTAGGAAATGGGGGTGGGAAGGAGAGATCAAATCCTTATACTCCAAGGTTATAATCATGACAGATAACATGCATATCAAACATGTTTTCCTTTCTGCAATATGACTATGTGAAAGCTGTTTTGTAAGGTATGAGGGTAAGTTTGCTTTTCAAATTTTAATACAATTCTGAAGATGAAATAAGAATGAAAAGCTGAAAATCAGATTGAAATTGTAAACCTGCAAATAAAGTTGGTTTAGGGCACTACCTTAATGAGGATTCTTTCTGAAAGCATAGCAAATAGATGGCAGTGGACAAAGGCATAAAGACATTCACAAAAAAACAAGATCTAAGTATGAATTAAGTAGCATAAATGAGAGGATCCCCTGGGATCCTGAAATTCAATGAGGAATAAACCTAAGTATAGCATCTTTGGAACTTTCAGTCATTTCATGATCCTCAGAAAAATGTCTCAGTCTTTTCAGCTCAATGAAGTTTAAGAAATCATAATTCTTTTGTTTTGAGCTGAACAAAGGTGTTTGCTCCCTATTGAAATGAAATAGATGTTAGAATGAGTAGCAAGTTTATTCATATCCATCATTATCTACTTTAAAACGAATGAGTTGAATCCTCAGATTTATCATCAGGAGCTACTGGACCTGCTTTCATTTTCTGGGATTTTCTTTTTTGTGATTCTATTCGTGAGGACTGATATTTCATTACTTTTATTCTTTCTTAGCGGTATTCCAAAGGACAAAGAAAAAATTTATTTAAAGCTTAAAAATTAAACGTATTCCATTAAACCAGGAAAATATAGAATAAAAAAATTGGGGTTTGTTATGTTTAGATTGTTGTTAAAATTTCCAATGAAATTGTTTTCCATTATCCCTTTATTTTTTTATAACTTAATTGAATATCCCTTTATTCTAACTTGTATAAATTATTCAGCAATTACTTAAACTTACAAAAATTAAACCCAGATGACAACCCATTGAACCCAGATGACAAATAGTGAAGACTATTTTTTCTGGTATATTGAAAGCTAAGAGGTATTGATATAAAGAAGAGAAGAGAGAGAATGGAAAATTTCCTGAATTTCTGAAAAATGAAAGCCAGAGAACTGGAGAAAGGGGAAAAAGCTCCAAAACAACCTTCTCTGGCTTTCTAATTTAATCTATTGGTATCCTAGACCAAGGCATTTGAGCTAAATCTGTGAATCTAAAGTATTCAAATGTTTGTAAAATATTTACAACATGCAATTGATTATAATTATTACATCTAAGCTATATCACCTTGTGCTGGTCCTGACACAAATGATTGTTCATTAAATATTCATGAATGAAAACTTAAAGAATTAAAAGTATTATTATTATCATCATCACATAATCATTTTTATGTTTTGAAATTGACTATAAAAAGGGGGCCTCCCTGGTGGCGCAGCGGTTGAGCGCTGGGTTGCGAAGCTGCCCGCAGCCTCTGCAGGGCCGGTTCGATCCCCGGCTGCTCCCCGGCCACAGGAGGAGGGTCCCACATGGCGCGCAGACCTCTCCTGCCGCCCGCTGCTCCCCTCAGCAGTGTACTTCGGTCCTTCTGCCTGCTCTGCTCCCGGCTCTGGCTCTGGTGAATTCTCTCACCCTCCCGCGCTTCTGACTGTACCCAGTGCATGTATAAACAAAAAAAAACAAACAAACAAATAAATAAATAAATAAAAACATGCCTCTAAAAAAAAAAAAAGAAATTGACTATAAAAATATAAAATCTGACATAACTTCCCCCAAAAAAATCTATTTGAAAAGCAAATACGCCTAAGATCATTACTTCGTCAAACTGGCAATTTTCAAAATATCAAAGAGTATTAAAAAGAGAGGGAGAGGTTCTTTGGTTAAATAAAGTTCAGAAACTACAGTTAACCTATAAAAAAAGGACTCGACTCATCAGGAATTTTACCATGCTAATAATAAAAATAATTGTGAGCCTTAAGAGTAGAATTTAAGTACATTGTCTAAAACTATTGGACCTTGGAACTTTCACTCCAAGGACTATGGGGGGAAGAAAAGGGTAAGTATTCTAAATACCCTGTGACTTTGTTTAGTCATTGCTTACTTTAAACACTAGTTAATACATAACTGCCATATTTTTATTCTTACTTCTGAACCACATATTTGGAAACTTTCTGAAACTGCAATGCATTGGTTGAGTGTACCAAGGGGGGTGTGGGAGGGCAGTTTTCTGCATGAAGCCTGCCAGATAAAGCCTTTGAAATTGCTTGGTTTTTAACCAGGAGCGGGACACCTGAGAATTATCCCCACTTCCTGACAACAAAGCTCCACTATCCCCAAATCATCTAACAAAGACTAAGTTGCCATAAACAAATTAATTCTAACGTGTTGGTACTGAGACAGCCCCCATCTCAGTAATCATGTAGCTATAAAAGTGTTCCAGTGGTCTTCCGTTGGAGTGTGCTGATGGTAAGAGGGTGCTCCACAGATATATTTTTTAAGATTTTTATTTTATTTATTTATGCATACAAGAACTGGGGTATATAGGCCAGAGGTTCAGGGGTGCAGGAGGTATGTGTGAGAGGAGTCACCAGAGACAGAGTAGGGAGCAGAATAGAAGGATATACTGAAATACACTGTTAAGGGGAGTAGTGGGCAAGACAGGAGAGTTCTGCTGCACCACATGGGTTAGCTCCCTGGCAGGGGTCAAACTCCTGACACAGTGGCTGGCAATAGCTTGATAGTGCTGAGACATAAAACCCCTTGTGCCACCAGGGAGGCCCCTCCATAAATATTAACTATATATACATCTACTACATTTCTCACAAGGCTGTCCAGCATCATTTATTCCCCATTTTCTCTGTATCAATCACACTGTCCTCCTTCCAATCTTTCCAACTCCATCGCTACCCTCTGAAGGCTTTGAACAAAGTTTTCCCTTATCTACTGAGACTGATATACAAAAGGACAGTGGCCAGATGATACATATAAAAATAAAACGCTGATCTAAAATATGCAGCAACTATCCCAGAAAACCAACCCCATTATTCTATAGTAACCAGCCCAGGAAGCCAGCTTCCTGTAAGCCAAACTTGTAGGAAGTCAGGGAATTCAGGAAGCCAAACAATAATCCCTGTAAAAACTGTCCCATTATAGGAATAATAACTGGCAGATCTCTGATTTTTATCCTCTGCTTCTAATTTAAGACCAACCAGATAAAGTCAAACAAGCAGCCCTAACCAATTACAAGGATGCCCTACTTCTAGACAGATTAGGAGTTCAGAGAATTCCATTTGGTATAGTAATTATTTTTTAGTTAAAGTCACTTGAAAAAAGCACAAAACCTTCCTTTCTTCCTGAAAACAGGAGATAAAATTCCCATGTGAAAATGTCTCTCCTGTATGTATCACCAGAGATGGGGAGTTAAGGTCAAGATAAATCTGTACAAACTAATCTTAACCCTTAACTTTTTAGTTACTTTTCCACAAATAGCTATCCTAGGTCAACACCTTTGTCTTGCCACATTTTCAAAATTTACTAATTTTTTTTTAAGATTTATTTTATTTATTTATGCATACAAGAGCTGGAGTGTAGGTCAGAGGGTAGCAGAGGGTAGCAGAACAGGCAGACTGACTGAAATACATGCTGAGGGGAGCAGGTGGCAAGGCAGGAGAGGTCTGCTTTGCCATGTGGGTTAGCTTCCTGGCTGGGGGTCAAACTTGTGCTGCAATGGCTGCAGATAGTTTCATAATGCTGCGACTTAACCCCTTGTGCCACCAGGGAGGCCCATAATTTACTAATCTTTGCCCAACCTAGTATATAAGCTTCAGGCCCTGAATTTTTTGGATCTTGATTTTTCTTGAGAAGGCTACCACATACATGTAAGAGTTATTAAAATGTGTATGCTTTTCTCCTGTTCATTAGTCTTATGTCAGTTTAATTCTTGGGCCCAGTCAGAGATCCTAAGATGGTAGAGAAGAAATTTTATTACCACCAACGGCTTACCCATGTCACTCCAACCAGGGTATACTTGAAACTTTCACTTTTTTCCATTATGAAGCTTTCCTATTACTCTCCTGCGTCTTGAGTCTTTGCCAAAATGCAAGCAGTGGTTGTTGATTCCTTTCTTTTAGAAAACTCTAAATAAATAGACTTTGCTTACTCTCATTCAACAGGTCTTCATTTATTTCCACACTGCAAGGCCCTTTTCCCACTCTTGAACCTTTCTTTAATGGTACTTATCACAGGTAGTATTTAAAATTCATTTACAGGAGCATCCCTGGTGGCACAAGGGATTACAACTCAGTACTATGACACTATCCTCAGCCACTGCAGTGCAATCCCCCGCCAGGGAGGTGACCTGCATGGCACAGCAGACCTTTCCTGTGTCACCCGCTGCTCCCCTCAGCAGTGTTTTTCAGTCAATCCACCTGTTCTGCTCCGCACTCTGTCTCTGGTGAATCCTCTCACCCCCCTGCACCTCTCGCCTGTACCCCAGTTCTTGTATGCATAAATAAATAATTTTTTTTAAAAAGTCAATTCTTTTCACTCAGAATTTTTGTACAATCAGATATATGTTTTTCACTGCTTTTTGTTGTTGTTTTGCAAATTGTGACCCAGCAGAAGGTATTTAATCCATTTCTGCTTTGCTTCTTTACCTGTAAAATGGAGAAAATAGCACAGTTCAGAGATTTACTCCAAAATTAATAATGGTAATTTCTGGGTGTCAACATTGGCTTTATCATTTTCATTATTTATATTTATGCAAAGAGGTTTTTCTGACAAAAGTGATGGTTATCCAACGAGTAGTATTCATTTCAGATAAATATAAAGTGAACTTTGAAGTGGTCAACCATACGAAATTCCTCTGGAAAATTAGTTTTTCATTCTTCTGGCGTCAGATAAATCTGATTGGGATCGGCTCTTCCTTTTGGGGAGAAAGTCACATTTTTAGTACTTAACCTTTCTTTCGGTCAGTTTTCTTCCCGACTAAACTAAGAAAACGCCATATACCTCAAAAGGCTGTAAAAAGTAAAGGAAGAAAATTAAATAAGTTAACTAACAGGGGTTTAAGAATTTAGATATTTAAGAAATAAATTATCATTTAGCAACATTAAGTAAAAAAAAATTAGAATCCTTAACTGGGGTGCATAAAGGTTGATAACACTCAGTCTTACCCTACAGAGCGGAAAACAGGGTGACGCGCAGAAGCGCTGCAGAAGCACTTCCACCAGGAACTAAACTTTACAGTCTTCGTTACACCACCGGAACCATAACATGAACGGCAATCGGCAGATTTGCACATGCGCAATGAGGCTCCCCTAGCTGCTGCTTGCTCAACTACGCGCCCAAGGTGCCTACTTGTGCGCCGGCGCTGTGACCTAGCCTTAGCGCATGCGCTGAGTAGGACTAGCTTGGTTGAGCACTATGGCGTGGGTACCAGCGGAGTCTGCAGTGGAAGAATTGATGCCCCGGCTATTGCCAGTGGAGCCCTGCGACTTGACAGAAGGTTTCGATCCCTCGGTGCCCCCGAGGACGCCTCAGGAATATCTGAGGCGGGTCCAGTGAGTGATTTAGCGCCGTTCGGGTGGGCTGATCATTCGCCCTAACCCTGGGCTCACGGTCCTCCTGCTCGACCCCACTGTGTGTTAGACCTCCGCCTCCATCCCCGTCCTCAAACTCAGTTAACTCCAGTGGAATCAAGATCCTTTGATTACATCTTTACTTGGGAGAAAGTCTATGAATTAAAAACTATTAAAGTCGATTACCCACGTCAAGCTGTGTGTTCTAAGATTATCTTGCTTTCAATTCAAATATTTTCTGAAATAATTTTAATACCGCACTTGCAAATCTGAGGGGTTTGTTTCCGATTTACAATCGACTGTAGGAATAGATCGCATACGAACAAACACTAGTAATTATTTTTCTTGCCTTTATTGTTTATAGGATCGAGGCAGCTCAATGTCCAGATGTTGTGGTAGCTCAAATTGACCCAAAGAAGTTGAAAAGGAAGCAAAGTGTGAATGTTTCTGTGAGTCTTATTACCCTTCAGGGGATTTTTTTTTTACACGTACAAATTAAAAGACCAAGGCTCTTCCTATAGTATTTTACCGTTTCGATTATGATGTAGGTTAATTTCTGACTACTACCTATGAAGTTAGACATTTGCTTATACTTTTCCTCCCTAAAAGGGGAGTTGGAGTTTATTGCCTCCCGAATAACTTTAAGTAACCCTGCCCCTTGTGGATTTGTTCATCATATTTTAGGATGTGATTCAATCCTAAGAATCTTTAAATAGTGTACTTATTTTATCCTTTATTTTTAAGAAACATTTTTTCCAATTGTCTTCATAATTATTATTGTACTGGTATTTTATCTTACTTGGTACAGTTTGGTGTGTTCTAAATTTGACTGCATTTTGTTTTGGGAATATAAACCCAAATATCCTAACACTTTTCTAGCAACTGGACACTAAACATTTTCATTCATTTGTTTATTCACATTTTTAGTAAGCACCTAGGTTGTGTCAAGCACTGGGAACACATCATAAGATAGAACAGGTCTTTACCTTTGGAACATATATAGTTACAAACAAGTAATAACACTTATGGCTATGGCTATGAAGAAAATTGATGTATATAATGATGAATACATAGTAATAGGAGAACTACTTTAGTCACAGAAGATCTCTCCGATGAGGTGATATTCAAGCTATGGTAAAAGGAGAAGGGCAGTTTTTATTGGGATAAGCCTTTTTCCTTTTATATGCTAAATAATTCCTTTATCTGATGTTTATAAACGTGAAGTTTTAATTCAGAAACTTATGTAATTCCTTTTCAGTAGTTGATGGAAGGCAATGTATATATCTAGCTTTTTTAAAGTAACCACACTAAGTTTTAGTTCAAGAAATACATCACCAGTTGCAAAATATGTGCTGTTTTAGGAAACAGCTGCAGTCATTCTAAAATTCAGATGTCTTATTTATTCTAGTACATTTTGCCTATACCAAAATGCTGCTTTTCAGTTATAAAAAGATATGGCTAGATTATATATTCGGGACTTAGGTCATTTAGGATTTCTTAAAAACTCCATAGTAAACAATTCCAGATTAAAGCAAGTATATAAAGGATCTTTTCCTAATGTTTTAAACTTGTACATATATAGTACAGTGAAATGCCTACTGTTTTTGCATTTGCAAAATATTTTTTTTTCTTGTATAGCCTTAATCATTTACTATATTATTCATTTTTCATGTCATTCTGATTTTACTTGCAGGTGCATGAGATTCTACTTATAACATTAATATTGATTCTAATATTTATAAACTGGTCTTTAGCTTTCAGGATGTCAACCTGCTCCTGAAGGATATTCCCCCACACTTCAGTGGCAACAGCAACAAGTGGCACAGTTTTCAACTGTTAGACAGGTAAACGTACTTTAATCATTTAACCAAATTAAATCCCTCTCTCCCTCCCTTAGATTTTTTTCTGTTTTTGGATTATAGTTGGAAAAATAATAATTGTGATTTTGAAGTGTAATATTTAGGAGTCGATTACTAAAGTATTATTTTAGTTATTAGAAATAGTACAGTTTGAAACATTTTCCAAGTTTTAGGATTGTTAAAATATTGTGCAGCAGTTGATTTCTTTCCAGTTACCCAATAACTGAAGATCACTATCTAGTTTTTCTTCCTTTAGAGTGTGAACAGACATAGAAATCACTGGAAATCACAACAGTTGGATAGCAATGTGATGATGGTATGTAAGTTTCTGTTTAAATTGTACAGTGTCTATCTATTTGAAATAGTCCATATTATCTTCCAGTCTTTAAAGATTCACTTACTTAGTCCTGTTATCTTCCTTCTCTCCCATCTGCCATTTGTGTTAGCAATTCTATTATAGTAGTAGCCTGAAAAGCATAGAATCAATAATGCAAAATGTTATTTACATGACAATTTCAACCCACGGCATCTTGAGAGATTTTAGATAGGTAATCATCAGACCTCTAAAAGTTTTTTTTTTTTTTTATAGATTTTTTTTCTTAATTTATTCATTTATGCATGCACGCGCCGAGCTGGGGCACAGGCCAGAGGCGCGGGGGATGAGAGGATTCACCAGAGACAGAGTGGGGAACGGAACAGGCAGACTGACTGAAATACACTGCTGAGGGGAGCAGCAGGCAAGTCAGGAGATGTCTGCTGCGCCATGTGGGTTGCTCCCTGGCCGGCCAGGGGATCCACCTTGCACTGCAGAGGCTGCGGACTGCTTCATAGGTTGCATCTTAACCCCTTGCGCCACCAGGGAGGCCCACCTCTACATGTTTTTAAGGATTCTTTTAGACATTTACTTTTTGAGAGCTAAGTACTTTTTTAGTATTTATGATTTAAGATTGAATAGAGGCTTATTGGATTTTCTTGATGTGGTCATGGCACTGATAACAGTGATTTTTTTTTAAAGATTTATTTATTTATGCATACAAGAACTGGGGTATAGGCCAGAGGGGCAGTGGGGGGGATGAGAAGATTCACCAGAGACAGAGTGGGGAGCATAACAGGAGTATTGACTGAAATATATTGCTGAGGAGAGCAGCAGGTGAGACAGGAGAGGTCTGCTGCGACATGTGGGTAGCCCCCTGGCCAGGGATCGACCTCATGCTGCAGAGGCTGCTGATAGCTTCCTAGTGCTGTGCTTAATCCCTTGCACCACCAGGGAGGCCTCCGAACAGTGATTTTTTAATGAAACTTGTCATGCGTATGAGAAAGTAGTATCTCCTAATTTTTATCAGCTTAGATAAAATTTTAAGTTCTTCAGTTAGATGTATTATATCTGGACTACTGCATAGAAAGGCAGGTGGTGAAGAAATGGATACTTTGTTCCAGGGCATACTTTCTACCTTTTAGGGAGTGTTATATTTTTGAGAATGAGATGAAAGCTTTTTATCTTCAAAGATAAAAAATGTGCCTAAAACAGTTTCCAAAATTTCGGGTTGTTCATAGATTTCACATTTTAGAATCTTTCTCTAGGTAGTGATTTCTTAACATCTTTTACACAGTGACACATTCAGATAAATTGAGGAGGCTACTTGTATAGTATTCCTGAGACTACCAACTGAAAACTGAAAGATCCAACGTATGGCTTCTCTATCTGCTGCTCCATGCCAGCTGAAAGCTCTGCTCTATAAAAGTATAAAAGGCAATAAAATTTTCCCAAAATAATTTAACTCATAAAGCCTTTCATTATGCTATGAGGCCTCCTAATAAGAAGGGGGTAGGACACAGGCAGATATATTTTTTTCTTGCTTAGTGTGAGGACTCTTAAATACATGCTTACTAGGACAGGAAAGTGTTGCATTGATAGCATGATGATATAATTTTTGTCAAAAATGGAAATAACCTAACATAATTGATTCCGTCTAGAGTGGAACATTAGGTCGCAGTAATATACATTTACATGACAAATTTAAGCATTATGTAAAAATTGAAAAATTTTTAAAGCATGTTTTGATGACAGCTATGTAAATATAAGTATTTATTTATTGATTCATCCAGTCATTTATTAAGCACCTACTGTATTTAATAATCAGGGTATTCTGTGCTCCCTGAAGCAGAAACACTATCTGACCCAGTGGAATAATGGGAAATGGTATATGCACTGTTGCAGGATAATAGGTTTTAACTTTAAAGGTGTCATCTTCACAATGAACTCCAATGATAGCTATTTATCCTCAGGGGGAAAAACTGTACCTGTGTAAGGTAATGTGCAAGGTGATGTATGCAAATCATTGTTTTGTTAAGTATGCACTAAATGTTTTTTCCCACTCGCTCTGCTTTTTCCATCTTGCAATCTAGATTAAATCTGATCCTTCCACTGGAAAGCCCTTCAAATATGTGTGAAATATATAATCATTTCTCCTTCCATGGGATAAACATCCTTCATTTTTGTAATAATTCCTTGTACATTTTTTTCCCATGCCAATTTCCATCTTTATCATCCTGCTTTGAACACATCCTTGCTTGTCAGTGTCCATAAAGTATGATCCAAACTAACATGAAAACCAAACATCCCACATTTTGACATACTGGAAGTTGGGGCTTCTATATATGAACTTAGCGGAGGATACAGTTCAGCTCATAACAGGCTCCATTTCTTTGTGCTGAGGTGGTGGGACTATGGAGAAATTCTCACTTCTTTTTTTATACTTTGGTATAAAAAATTACATAGAAATAAATAAAACCATTGTTTTTTCTTTCAGCCAAAATCTGAAGATGAAGAAGGCTGGAAAAAATTTTGTTTAGGTGAAAGATTATGTGCCGAAGGGGCTATTGGACCAGTCACAAATGAAAATCCTGGAATAGATTATGTACAAGTAGGTGATAAGTGAATAAACAAAAAAAAAAGTGTTCTAATTTTGGTTCATCATTTAGTATAAGGGGTCAGCAAACTATAAGCTTAGGCTCATGAACTAAGAGTGGTTTTTATGTTTTTTAAGACTATAAAATCAAACAAATTATATGTGACTGACACCTGCAAAGATGTGGCTGCAAAGCCTAAAATATTTGCTCTCTGACTCTTCAAGAAAATGCTTACTAAATCCAGACTTAGTTTATTGGCTCTTTTTTCTATTTTTTTTTTTTTAAAGATTTATTTATTTATTTATGCGTACAAGAGCTGGGGTACAGGACAGAGGTGTGGGGGTGAGAGGATTCACCAGAGACAGAGTGGGAAACAGAACAGTCAGATTGACCGAAGTACACTGCTGAGGGAAGCAGCGGGTGAGTCAGGAGAGGTCTCCTGCACCATGTGGCTATCTTCCTGGCCGGCCAGGAGATCGAACTTGTGCTGCAGAGGCTGCAGACAGCTTCATAGGTTGTGTCTTAACCCCTTGCACCACCAGGGAGGGCCCCTTTTTTTTTTTAAAGATTTATTTATTTATGCATACAACAGCTGGGGTGCAAGCCAGAGGTGCAGGGGATGAGAGGATTCAACAGAGACAAAGTGGGGGGCAGAACAGGCAGGCTGACTGAAATACACTGCTGAGGGGAGCAGTGGGCTGTGCCATGTGGGTCACCTGCCTGGCTAGGGATTGAATTGGTACTGCAGTGGCTGCCGACAGCTTCATAGTGCTGAGACTTAACTGTTTGTGCCACCAGGGAGGCCCTATAATGTGACGTTTTTAGGTTAACTTTATTTTATTTATTTTTTTTTTTAAAGATTTATTTATTTATTTATTTATACATGCAAGCACTGGGTACAGTCAGAAGCGCGGGAGGGTGAGAAAATTCACCAGAGCCAGAGCGGGGAGCAGAGTAGGCAGAAGGACCTAAGTACACTGCTGAGGGGAGCAGTGGGCGGCAGGAGAGGTCTGCGCGCCATGTGGCACCCTCCTCCGGTGGCCGGGGAGCAGCTGGGGATCGAACCGGCTCTGCAGAGGCTGCGGGCAGCTTCACAACCCAGTGTTCAACCGCTGCGCCACCGGGGAGGCCCCCCCTAGGTTAACTTTATAGCTGTTGTTTAGCTGTATAATAATTTCATGAGTTAGGTAATATTTGTTTTTTTAAATGATTAAACATGGGTCAAACAATGAATGATGACTAGTCAAGGAAAGGAAAGAAAAGGTGACAGAGAGGTGATTAAAAGTGTTTATAAATTGCATATTCTGGCGATGAAATGTTGAGGGTGTATTTAAATTTCACATGATTTTATTTTAATTATAAATTATAACTCCTTTTGTCCTTCAGGATTCACCTGCCCTCAGGTTTGTAGGTATTCCTTATGGAATCCATTGCATACATCTGCATTACCTACTAACTTCCTACATTATGTTATATGATATGTTCTGTTGAATCACATTACTGGTTTGAAGAAAATAATTCTAATTCAAGTGCCCTTAATTCCTAAAAATATTAGCTTTAGCTAAAGATTTTTTAAAATTGTATATAATTTAATGTCATGTATCAAGTAGTATCAATGTCTTTTTTTAGCATTTTTAAATTTCATACTTTTCTACATTTTATTAAAATCATTCTTTATCTTTAAATTTAAATGTTCCAATTTTAAGATATTATTTTCTTGGTTATTACCAGTGTAATATTTAATGGAATGTTCTATTTTAATGAGCAACAAACGATTTTTCTTTCATTCTTTTATAAATAACAGTGTGGTGAGAAGTTCATCAGTTTGAAAAAAAAGCCACCCCCTTATAAGACTATTTAGTAAATTTCAGTCTCATTTTTCTTTCAGATCGGTTTTCCTCCCTTGCTTAGTATTGTTAGCAGAATGAATCAGGTAAATTTATCTAATAATAAGGATATATGCATTATTTTCATTGTAATGTGTGTGAAAGCTTCTGAATATATTGACTGAGTATTTACATTATGCATGACTGTGTCCTAATATCTTTAAGTTTATTTAAGATTTATTTGTATTTATTTATGCATACAAGAACTGGGGTCTAGGCAAGGGGAGCGGTGGGGAGAGGATTCACCAGAGACAGAGTGGGGAGCAGAACAGGTAGATCTTCTGAAACACACTGCTGAGGGCTTCAGTGGGTGAAAAAGGAGAGGTCTGCTGTGCCATGTGGGTTAGCTCTCTGGCCAGGGATCGAACTCATGCTGAAGTGGCTGGGGATAGCTTGACAGTGCTGAGACTTTAACCCCTGTGCCACCAGGGAGGCACCTGGAAGATAAATTTTTTTGAGGGTCATACATTGTTGTAAATCATATACTTACAGTTTCATTTACTTTATCATTTGCATAAAGATACTGTATTACTCATACTAAATTCAGTGAGAGTGATTTTTGTTGAGTGCCCAGCTGTATTTGAATAAGCTAGAGAGAATATTTTCAGGTATAATAAATTCTGTTATAGCTTTATAACAGATCTGTTTCTAGCTTTTTCTTTATATTTACATTTTGATTTAATGAAAATAATCTAAACATATTTATATAAAGATGTCCATAAAAACATTGGAATTTTTCAAATAGTTATAAACTTAATCAATAGTTATAAACTAAATTCTAGGATTTAAGCCAGGATATTGACATTTAAAAATATATAAGAATATTGGTCTATAAAAACATCTCACTGAGTGAGCCATCTAATTAAATTATTCAATAATGTCCTAGTTTTCTCTGGTAGTTTAAAGAATAGGACAACTTTTAACATTAGAGTTGTTTTCTAACTAGTATTAATTAAACTCACGTAGAACTTACCAGGTTTTTATTACTAATAACATTTTTCTACCTACTCTCTTCTTTTTAGGCGACAGTCACTAGTGTCTTAGAATATCTGAGTAATTGGTTTGGAGAAAGAGACTTTACTCCAGAATTGGTAGTATTTCATCTTTTTATATTCATAATGCATTCAAATTATATATACTTATATATGAAATATGACTACAGTATTTATGTATGTATGTATTATAGGTATAACTGTGCTTAAGGAAAACTCTGCTTGTTTATACTTATACTAGAAGGTAAATCAACATATGGCTTTAGTGATAAAGTCTTGCTTTGGGGTGGAAAAAAGCCAGCTAAAGAGTTGACTTATATCCTGATATAAACTGTTTGTCCTTGCATAGCAGCAACAAATAGGTCACACACTGGAAACCAGCCTGCACATATTGGGCAACACTGGCTTACAGAAGTTTGATGTGTATTTTCTAAAATTTGAAATCCAGTCCACAAAAGAATAATAGAAATAATAATAACAATAGCAATACTTTGGGCCAGGCATTGTTCTAAGGATTTTTTGCATAATTTCTCAATTCCCTCCTTCCTAACCTATGAACTATTAGTTGCATTTACTGATAAGAAGACTGGTATATATAGGAATTCAGTTCTTGCTTAAGGTCATACATATGGTAACGGGCAGAACTGAAACTCCTGGCCATGTGATCTGGCTATACTCTTAACAGATATGCTACTGACTCTCTATTTTATAGCTTTATAATCACAGCTCATTTTTCACCTCCAAAATTGGGTAAATTTTGTGAACATTATATAAATGAATGACTTGCTTAATCATATAATAAGAAATATTACCATCTTTTGAAGTTGAATTTGATATTCAGAAGCATATTTTTCACAGTATCTGTGTCTCTAAAACTCCCAAAGCTTTAGGTAAAATCTTTCTCCCTCCAGAAACTTACAGACACTGTAGTGTAATATAGAAGTTTCCAGCCTGATGATCAGCCAAGTGACTTAGATTAAGTCTCTTCTTGAAGTACAATGGCCATATTCTTTTATCACTAGACTTTCAGTTGGCTTTTTATATTTTCATTCTTTTTATTTTTTTAAAAGATTTATTTTCATTCTTTTTAAATCTCCACTTTTTAATGAGAAAATCTATGTTTACAATCACTGTTTCAGATTCAGTGGTTATCTATATAGTATACATAGTTGTAATTACCGTATATATTTTGGGTTTTTTGGCATTTCATGTATGTACTTCCGTATATTAATGTAATTCACATAATATCCATTGAATGTCTCATAGTTTGATTCATTTTTGACTATTTGGGTTCTTCCTTGTATTTTGCAAGATGAGTAAATCATACTCATTTAGACAAATTTCTTCTTATTATTAATTTCTGTGGAGTTATTGGATCAAGGTCTTATAGCCCTTTGTTACATTCTGTTAGATTGCTTTCCAGTAGAAATAAAGTCTCTTGTTATTACCATTTAACAACAGAGGAAATATTTATTATGCATTCTAAGTAATAAAGATCACTTCAAAATGTTATTACCTTATTTATGTTATTACAGTGATGAAACTTTTTTAAAAGTTATACATAGGAAAAAATGTACATTTTAAAATTTAAAAAAAAAGTCTTAAAAAAATTTAGCAGAAGTTGTATCTGAATGGTGGGATTGCAGGTTTGTTTTTTTCCATTTTGCTTTTTATATCCTTCAATTTCTCTTGATTGGCCATGTATTACTTTTGTAATTGAAAGGGGAATTGAGACAATTTAGTTTGACATGGTGTGAATATCAAAGCATTATGTAATCTAGACTATAGTTCCTTTGCATAGACTCAGGGACCAAGTTATAAAATTATTTGTGTATATCTTTATAGATGGCAAAGGAAAATGCATCTTAATTTTGTAAGGACTCACACATCTTAATGTAGTTTTTTTTTCTTAATGTAGGTTTTTTTGCCAATGAATTAAGGACTTAGTTGTGGGAATCTCTGAAACAAACTCTTTTGAGGCAAGAATATTTTGCAGTATCGAATGTTTTATGTCTATAGTTAGACAATACAAAAGATGTCTAGATGATCCTTTGTTGCTTATATCCAAACATGACACAGATATTCTATATGGATTGATTCATAGCAAATAATCATGTACAACATTGGACATTTTAAAAAGTAAATTAAATTTATGATATAGTACTTGCCTACTTATTACTTTTAAAAATTCTGTTTTAGGGAAGATGGCTTTATGCTCTATTGGCTTGTCTTGAAAAACCTTTATTACCTGAGGCTCATTCACTGATTCGGCAGCTTGCAAGAAGGTGCTCTGAAGTAAGGCTCTTAGTGGTAAGTTGCAACTTAGTATTTCAAATTGAAAGGACTCACCAATTTATATAATAAACGATTAGATTTGGCCACATAATTAAAAGCCCAACATAATAGTAATTTAATATGAAATTTTAATATGAAATTAAAATAATATGAAATTTCTCTCAGACGTAGAAAAGTCAGAAAGTATGCAGATGAGATCTACAAGGGCAGTAACCCAAATATTTGAGGTCTGCTACATACAGATTTCATGCTCTAGTTAACCTTATGATCCAAGATGACTGCTGGAGCTACAACCATACTATTTCATTATAAGTAACTAGAAAGGTAAATTATAGGTAACTGGGAAGGAGAAGGCAGCCATCTCCTTTGAAGGACACTCCTAGAGGTTCTAATAACACATGTAGTTGAAGTGGCCAGAATTTAGTTATGTGGCCATAAGGAATTATGAAATGTTTGCTTTTAGCTGGGTGTCATTATGTCCAGCTAAATATACATTTCAGTTGCTAAATAGTAAGGAAAAACAAGCTAAAGTGGTCAACTTGCTGTCTTTGACACAATTTCTCCCTTCAGGAGAAGGAATTTCTCCCTTCAGGCCCTACTCTAACTCCTGCCTATAGCATCACAATATGAATTAATTTGTTTCCAGGTTACACCCACTTCTGGGTTTTTTTCTTTCATCTCCTCCTCCTTAACAAAATGTATACTGTCCTCCATTGATGACTATAAAATGCTTTCATTGAACATCCAAGATATGAACCAAATTATAAGGCCTGTAGTTCAAACATCAAGTACTTGCTACTTACTAAATATTCCCTATACTTTCTTCCTAGACTTTTTTCCCTCTGCATAAGTTTTTTCACTCTTCCAATCTGTATCTGAAGGCCATTTATTTTTCACAGTCTGATTCATTTTCCACCAATTTCTATGATACTTTGTCTGTTCTTAATAACTGAAAAGAATTTCTCTATCCTGTCTTCTCAATATACTTTGTGTCTTTAATGCACTTAACACATTTTTTTTCCCACTAAAACTAATATGTGCATATTTCATATTCTGTGCTGTTGCCACTAATGTATTTTATTCAACTTTGTTCTACATATTCTTTGGCACATAGAAGAATTGAATACACATAAATGGAAGTGTGTGCCAAGATTGAAAGAATATATGACATGCCTGTCATAACATTATTTAGTAGGTTATTGTTATTATTCTTTGAAATGTATAAAAATAAATTGCATATTCCATAAGACTGCTTTTCTTGTGTCTTGGTCTATCATTTTAACAAATACTTAGTGAATTCTCTAAAAGTTCACTTTTCAGGAACTACCTGCAACATAATTGAGAACCCTAATAAATTGAGAATATTTTCGGATATGTCTTACGTTGTAAGTCAAGATTTCACTTTTTCTCAATTGTAATTTCTTTAAAAAATTTTTTTTCATTATTGTCCAGTGAAGATATGGACTTTTTTTGCTCCTTTACTTGGAACCAGGGAGAAAAATCTCTCCCAGGTTATTCTCCTTAGAGCCTCAACTCTTACTTCTTTTTATTATTCAGGTTCTTTAATAGATGAGCTTAAATGGTCCTCAACTTTCTCTAGGGATCAGAAACTCCTTTTTCTATGAGGGTTCCTATTTTCATGTAAGCCTTACTATCATCTAGTAAAAGGAAATTTTTTCAAAGATTTTAGAGGAGAACAGACAACATTTTTTGACTTCCGTTTTATTTTTAGGACAGCAAAGATGATGAAAGGGTTCCTGCTTTGAATTTGTTGATCTGCTTGGTTAGCAGGTAAGAAAAAAACTTTAGTTTCTTGCTTCATAATGGTACTATTAATGGTGATAGAAGGTGTTGCTGTAAAATTACTGTAGTGGAAAAAAAAATTAGAGTAGTGGAAATCAAGGTGTAGGAAAATAGATGTATGAAAATTCCTTTTGTTTCCAGTTTTTCTCTGAATAATGCTGCAGTGAAGATTGTTATATATATATCAGTTTCATTATTTTCTGAAGATGAATTCCTTGAGTAAGTCAAATGGCATATACTAGTAAAACTGTGATTTTTTTTTTTTTTTTTTTTTTTGTGGGACCCTCGCCGGCGGCCGGGGAACAAACCCCTGCTGCGGAGGCTGCGGGGCAGCCTTGCAGCCCAGCGCTCAACCGCTGCACCACCAGGGGAGGCCCTAAAACTGTGATTTTTATTGCCAGTTTGCCCTCTGAAAACTCACACTTCCATGTTCCCACTAGAGTGTGAATGAGAGTATCTTTCTCCTTGTTAATAGTGGTCATTTTCAATGGATATAAATATTTCCTTTCTAATATTTAAAAAATACAATCAAATTATTTTTATTTGCTTTCGATTTACTACCAGTGAGTGGTGAACATGTTTCATCTTATTGCAGTTATATTTTTTACTTGACTATGTCCTTTGTTTATTTTCAGCTGGGCATATTTTTATGTATTTGTTTCATGTATATATGTTTGATATGATTTCTTTAAGATTTATTTTATTTATGCATCCAAGAACTGGGTATAGGCCAGAGGTTGGGAGGGGTAAGAGAGGATTCACCAGAGACAGAGTGGGGAGCAGAACAGGCAGATCTACTGAAATACACTGCTGAGGGGAGCAGCGGGCGAGACAGGAGAGGTTTGCTGTGCCATGTGGGTTAGCTCCCTGAAATATAATTTATATAAAAAAAAAAGGATATTTGCTATACTTTTCCCTTTATTTACTAATTTTTAGAATGAGTTGACGTTATCCAAAGATGATCAATAGGGTAGTTTCTGTTGGGTTTTTTTTTTTAATAAGGTAGTTTCTGTTGGTTTTTTATATATTTTTATAAAATAGAGATTTTAACATTTAAAATATTAGGCTCTATTACAGTTAGTATTTTTTGTGATGCTCCAATTATTCCATATTTGACCAAGGGAATCCCTTCAAGTCAATTTCTTGCTTTTTTTAATTGAAGTTATATTGCATTATAGCATAAGTTTCAGGTATGCATCATTAAAAATCAACATCTGTATAAACTACATTAAATTCACCTCTGAAAGTTCAATTCTGGACCTCCCCAGTGGCGCAGTAGGTTGAGTGCAGCACTGTGACGCTGTCGCAGCCTCTGCAGCACAGGTTCGATTCCCGGCCAGCCAGGGAGATTCCCACATGGCATGGCAGACCTCTCCTTTTGTGCCCGCTGCTCCCCTCAGCAGTGTATTTCAGTCATCTACCTGTTCTGCTCCTCACTCTGTCTCTGGTGAATCTGTCACCCTCCTGCACCTCTGGCCTCTCCCCCAGCTCATATATAAAAATAAATAAATCTTAAAAAAAAAAGTTTAATTCTATCCTTCACATTATTACTAGTAGTCTTGTGTAGCTTTCTTTCGGGTGTGCTAAGGTGAGTCAGATGCATTTTGGACATGTCTGGCTCTAAATCTGGAATCAGTCTTTAGGTAGTGCTGGTTCATCTTTTAATTAGAAAATGACATTGAGAGTTTACAGTTTTGACATTTGGGATGCTTGTTGTTATAGGTTGGTCATTATATTTAGGTCTTTTCAGTGACCAGAACTAGGAAAAAGAAAAAATAAAATTCTACATTCAAATTGTTATTTCAGTTCTAATTTAAGATTATTTTTCCATAATATATTTGTTTTTTCCTATGCTGAAAATTCTGGTTTCTAACAATACTAACATAATTATTGACTTTACCCTACCATATGTACATAATAGTTTTACAGTAAGAATACTAATAAATGACTCCTCAGTAAAACTGTTGAAATCAGTTTAAAATTGTTTGCAGTTCTTTTTGTCTCTGGTATATCTAACAAGGAACATATATCAGAACACTTTGTATAAGGTCATTTGAAAGTATTTTCCTCTCTGTGGTTAGAACACCAACTTTATATGTAGAGAGGTTCATTTGGTGGAATTTGACTTGTTATTTTTTATTTGATCTTGTTTTATAATTACATAATGTATTTACATTGTTCCAAATTTAAAGTTATACCTCCGAGTACATTTGGAGTATTTTGGAATCTACCATTTGCCTCTTCTATCCTCTTTTCTTCTCTAGTTATCCATTTTATTAATTTTTCATTTATTCTTTTATTCATTGTTTCTTTTGTAAAATTTAGTATATAAATATATCAGCAATCCTATACATGCTCACAAAAGCTAACATTCTGAACCTACTGGACTTTTTGTTTAACACTTAGTAATCTTGGAAATCACTATAGCAATGTAGATATTTTCCTCACTCCTTTTTTATAAAAGCTTCATTGTCTTCAACAAGTCCCCTTATTGATGAACATTTGGGTTGTTTGCAGTCTTTCGCTATTAAAAAATCGTTAGTTAGTGCTGCAATGAGTATCTTTAGCATATATTAAATTATTTTTTTACCAGGTATTTTGACCAACGTGATTTAGCTGATGAGCCATCTTGATGCAGCTGATCTGAGTAGAAGAAACTTGTGATAGGCAGCCTAAGCCCGTGGAAGTATAGTACCAACTCAAGCATGGATTACATCGTATCTTCAATGCTTTGTGAAGGGTTCTCGTAATCTGTGCCATTCAAGTTGATATCCAAAAGACAGGTTGTATTGATTTGAATGTCTGAAGTATCTTTTGGAAAAATATCATCCAGTTTTTGATAGTTAAATTTTTTTGTAATTACATGCTTTTAAAACAAATTAAGTGCCATTTTTTGGTGAAACATCCTACACAGAAACTGTATAATGAAATTTTATAGAGGTCCTTGGTGCTGTTTCATTGTTTATTTACAAATATACACATAAAATTTTCTTGAAAATGTTATTTTGGTTACTAAAATTTTATTTGACTCAAATGAAAGAAAAGACAATGGATAAATGTCTTTAATATTAAGATGAAGATAATCTATCAATAGATTAAATGGAAAGTATGTATGTTCACAACAAAAAATTAAACATTTTCCCATTAGCTTCCATACATTTATTTCTAATTCATTATACAAAACTTTTTGTTAACAAATCATTTTCAACAATACATTAATAGATCAATTTCTATTTTCTCAGTCAAATCCTTTGTTCATATCACTTAAAATTTTTCTATTTTTTTATCAGGAATGCTTTCTACTTTAAGTAATAGAAGATTCAAGTAGCAAATGTTTTTCTTTTCTTTTTTTTAAAGATTTATTTATTTGTGCATACAAGAACTGGGGTACCGGCCAGAGGTGTGGGGGTGACAGGATTCACCAGAGACAGAGTGGGGAACAGAGCAGGCAGATTGACTGAAATACACTGCTGAGGGGAGCAGCGGGCGAGTTAGGAGAGGTCTGATGTGCCATGTGGATAGCTCCCTGGCCGGGGATTGAACTCAGCTGCAGTGGCTGCTGATAGCTTCATAGGTTGCATCTTAACCCCTTGGGCCACCAGGGAGGCCCAAGTAGCAAATGTTTTTCAAATAGCAATTTATTAATAGGAAATCTAGAGAAGCTGGTTACTGATTCTGGCTCAGTGACTCCATGATACCAAGGTCTCTGAGAGTCTTTTGGTCTTTCCCTCACAATAACAAGATAGCCATTCCATTTCAAGATAGTGAGTCTGCACCCAAGACAGGAAAGCGGGGAAAGTATGATAGAGAGTCTTCCACAGCTGATCCTTCTCTCATAAAAGCAAAACCTCAGAAATCCCACAACAGATCCCAACATACTTTATTGGCCACGAGTATGTAACATAATTGCCTCCAGCTCCAAAAAGTGGAGTGGGGAAATGAAATTGTAAACTTTTCAAGTCTTTCTAATGGGAGGTTGATATATAAAAAAGAATTAGGAAAAAATGAATTTGACAACTGGTTTTTTTTTGTTGTTTTTTTTTTAAAGATTTATGTTTTTATTTATACAAGCACTGGGTATAGTCAGAGCGCGGGAGGGTGAGAGAATTCACCAGAGCCAGAGCGGGAAGCAGAACAGGCCGAAGGACGGAAGTACACTGCTGAGGGGAGCAGCGAGCGGCAGGAGAGGTCTGCGCGCCATGTGGGACCCTTGCCCGGGGGCCGGGGTTCGAACCGGCGCTGCAGAGGCTGCAGGCAGCTTCGCAACCCAGCGCTCAATCGCTGCGCCACCGGGGAGGCCCTGACAACTGGTTTTGCCCTTATAAGAGACCCTACCCTAGAAAGTTAGCAAGTCAATACACATCTCTCTTTGAACCAGAAAATAAACTTCACCAGACACTGAATCTACTGCCTTGCTTTGACCTTGTACCTCCCATTTTCCAGAACTGTGAAAAATAAGTTTATGTCACCCAGTCTATAAAATTCTGTTATCGCTGTCCAAATGACTAAGAAATTTGGAGAAGACATCTCCAGACCTGAACCCCCTTAATAAGGTTTGACTACTAGGTATAGAGGGATTGCTGTGTCATGGTTTACAAAAGCCACTGACTATCAAGTTTATGTGTGCTCTCCTCATGGTTTATCATTCATCAAGTATAGTTTTCTATTTTTGAAACATACCTGCTCTTTAAAACAAGTTACTATATTGGGCCCTTGAAGTCATGCAAAAAGTTAATGAAATCTAAGTTACTTTCTAATTGCAAAAGGTTCATAAAGCAAAATATACTGTGGAAATTTTTATTCTTTATTTCCATGTTTACACAAAACAGGTAATGTGCTCTTTACATAGATTTCAATGTTTATATTAATTGTGATTATTTCTTAATGGGATTTTAACCTGTAGCCTGTGAACTCCAAGGGGAAAAAAATTACGTCTGTTTTTACACACAAACCATAGTAATAATCTTTTTCTAAGATTTATTTTATTTATGCATACAAGAGCTGGGGTACAGGCCAGATGTATGGGGGGGTGAGAGGATTCACCAGAGACAGAGTGGGGGAACAGAACAGGCAGATTGACTGAAGTACACAGCTGAGGGGAGCAGCAGCGGGCAAGTCAGGAAAGGTCTGCTGCACCATGTGGGTTGCTTCCTGGCTGGGGATCGAACTCGTGCTGCAGAGGCTTGGACAACTTCACAGGTTGTGTCTTAACACCTTGCACCACCAGGGAGGCCCCATAGTAGTATTTTTGATACCTGTGACTTTGTTAGCATCAGCTGTCACAAGTGTTACACTGAATTATTGCAGATACTTCAAAATATTCACATTGTAGCTCAAAATATGGTAGCTATTAAACCCACCTTATAGATCATATGTGATCATGTATAGCTTCTGGTGTCATGTGGGTGGTCACATAATAGAGGCCTGGAGGCCATCACTAAACACTGTAGCTGTGACAACTGGTGGTGGTGTCACATTGATGACACAGGTGTCTGCTTTCCCATATCCACTATACATGCTATATACTGAGTCACAAGACTACCCACACTGTTTAATGTTATTAGCCAGCTGAATAACAACAGCTATCATACTGATGTCTCTCTAAAAGTAAATTTTAACTTTAATTTGCCTTTAAATATATTGTCTAATATAGAAAGCATACAGATGCCTCCCCTAATGCCTTTCTCCATATATATAATTTATATAGCATATTAAATAAGGCTAATTAGATATTTTTTTAAATATTTCTATAACCTTATTTCAGTATGTTTTCTTTGCCATCGTATTTTATTTATGCATTAAAAACATTGTGAGAAGGGGATCATAAATACTAAGACTGTCAAATAGGAGTTCATGGCACAATAAAGGTTAAGAAAACCTACACATAAGCAAATGAGTTTTCACCATTGTCCAGTTCCATCCATCCCAAATATGAATCCTAGTGTTTTCACCTTCAACATTTCCTCCCAAGAACTCTTGATTCAAAGGAGTTATTATCTAAAAGGGCAGTTTGGATGAGGCAAGATACAGCTTTGGATGAGGGTGAAGTATTGTCTTTGCCATGAGATCTATAGGTGTTGATCTAGATTGGCTTTCTGAAAAAGAATGAGATCATTCCTTGCCATGAACAAGGAAAACTTATGATCTATATCACTGGCTTGCCTGCCACATAGCTCAACTGCTTCTGCATGGCACTGGGCATCTTCATGTACAATTCTCTCCAGATGGTATCTTTTTCCCTAACCTGGACACTCTGTTAGTTGACCCTGTGCAGTTCTAGCTTCAGGGCTCCTCCCAGCTGAGGTCACCCTGTAGACTCCTAGGATTAAAAAAAAAAAAAAAGCTTAAAAATTAATTGGTTTAACATTTTTTTACCCTGAGTACAAATACATTTATCATGGGGATCATTTTTTTAAAAACCTAACAACAGAAAGCAAAAAATAAAATCTCAAATCTACTGTACAAAACCTCACAGCTTTATGGGCCTCCCCAGTGGTGCAGCGAGTTGAGTGCTGCACTGTGAAGCTGTCTGCAGCCTTTGCAGCATGGGTTCAATTCCCGGCTGGACAGAGAGAAACCCACATGGCACAGCAGACCTCCCCTGCCCTGCCTACTGCTCCCCTCAGCAGTGTCTTTGGTCTGTCTGCTTATTCTGCTCCCCACTCTGTCTCTGGTGAGTTCTCTTGCCTCCCATGCCTCTGAGCTGTACCCCAGTTCTTGTATAAACATATCTTTAAAAAAAAAACTTTACAGCTTTTTGATATTTATAAATTTATATTCATAATACATATCTACATATTGTATGCACTATCTTGTATGTTACTGTTAATATCAATTAACATCATTCCATGTAATTAAATACATGTAGATCTTTCTCATCCTTACCTGCTTGCACAGTATTTCCTCACACCATATACCAGTACCATAATTTAATCAGGGGCTGTCAATGAACATTAAACCAAATGGTGAAAATCCTTATACATACAAGTTTGCATACTCATTTTCCACCCCAAGCTTGAAATTGACATAGCATGTGTAAATTTAAGGTAGACAACTGCATGTTGTTATGTGTATATATTGAAAAATGATTACGCAATTAGGTTAGTGAACATATCCACCTTCTCACAAAATTAGTTTTCTGTATGTGTGAGAACTTTTTTAAAAAGATTTATTTTTATTTATGCATACAAGTGTCTTCCCCTGCCTCCCCCAGAAAAAAGAAAATTCAATTCTTCCATGCTATGTCTTGTCTAACATTCCCTTTGTCTCTGCTAAGAGAGACTTCTTTTGGCTCCAAATACATACACAATACAAAGCCAAGAGTGAACTGAACAATATGAAGAATTTATTATCTCACAAAACAAAGAGTTCAAAGGTGACCAGAAGCACAATTTGCATCCTGCTGTCCTCAGTGTGATGGTTTTCATCTTCTTGTTTGCCCTTTCATGGTCATCAGATGGTGGAGGATGTGAGAGATAGGAGTCCTGATCTCAACCCACTGAGAAGATACGGTCCATGAATGAATGTTGGTGTGAATAATCTAATTATCCACCCTCTGCCCTCAAGGAGACTAAACAAGGAATAAAGATGTTAGAACCCTCTCCAGTGCTTCCAGTATGGGGAAAGAAATTGAAAGTGTAGACTGTAACAGGAGTTAAGTATAAAAATAACGTCCTAAAATACCTAATATTCTTTGGCCCTGGAGTCACTGATTTCACAAATTAATCTATATTTCACTTTACATTAATGGAGTTCTTAAAGACCGAATTCTATTTATCAAATTAAGTTTTTAAGCAATTTTGGCAGTCAAATACTCCCTGACAGGAATAAATTATAAGCAAAAAGATAAAAAATTAAGCTTTAGTGTACTGCTTACTCTTTCAAATAAAACAAATTCATAATCAAAATCTATTCATCCTTACACAGATTATTCTAATAGACACATACTTTTCTTTATGACAATTTATTAAATCCTGAGTTTTGCTTCTCCATCTGTAGTTAAATACACATCACTATCTACAAATTAGAATGTTTAAAATAAGGGTCCCTAATCTTGATGTTAGTTATTTGAAATCAGGTTTTCATTCTGTATAATTTCAGGAAGGTATATTATGAATAGACTGTTTCTTTATCTGGTCTAACTTGGCCTGTGTTAAACTGATAAAATATCTTACTCCTGCTTAAGAGTGCACATCTCATTTTATAAGTTAGCAAATAGCTTATATCAATACAAATGTTCAAGAATGTAATTAAATAATTGCTCCTTGGAAATACTTTATACATGAATAATTTATCTCTTTACACTGTTGAAGTTTTCCTTGCATTTTCAGTATGTTCTACAGCTTCTGTATCATCACCTGAAATTTACCTAAAAAAGAACATGAAAAATATTTCTTTAATATTACATACAGAAAAACAAGCCTAAACATCAATTTTCTGCTCTATTTAGGAAATAGTTTTAATCAAGAAAGTTGCTATGTCAAGCAAATCTTATCACTCTTCACAGTATCTGACAAAGTCAGTTCCTTTCATGAGCTGGTAGTTCATTGCTAATTACCATTGTGAAAAGAAAGGAAATACAATGAAATTCAAGTAAATTTTATTCTTGGTTAGTAGTTCTGGTAAAAAGATGTGTTGAAGAGTTTACTGAAGGCCTCCCTGGTGGCGCAAGGGGTTAAGATGCAACTTAAGAAGCAGCCACTGTAGCACAAGTTCAGTCACCAGCCAGCCAGGGAACAACTCACATGGCACAGCAGACCTCTCCTGACTCACCCCCTGCTCCCCTCAGCAGTGTACTTCAGTCAATCCACCTGTTCTGTTCCCCATTCTGTCTCTGATGAATCCTCTCACCCCCACCACCCCCGCACCTCTGGCCTGTACCCCAGTTCTTGTGTGCATAAATAAATAAAAATCTTAAAAAAAAAAAAAGTTTACTGATTAAAAACTAGTAGGCTTTATATAATGTAGAGAACTGTTAAGAAGACATTTTCAATGCTAGAGGGGAGTTTGCTATCCTAAAAGTATGGCAGATAATTTTCCTTTAAAAGTTAATAATCATGCTTAAACTATCTTATAAATTTTAATTTCTAGCACATTTTCTTTTAATTTTTCAGAGATTTATTTTATTTATTTATATACATAAGAACTGTGGTGTTAGCCAGACGTATGGGGATGAGAGGATTCATCAGAGACAAAGTTGATGTACTAAAATACACTGCTGAGGGGAGCAGCAGGTGACACAGGAGAGGTCTGCTGTGCTATGTGGGGCAGCTCCCTGGCTGGGGAACCAACTCGTGCTGCAGTGGCTGCGGATTGCTTCATAATGCTGAGACTTAACCCTTTGGGGCTCCAGGGAGGCCCTCATTGTCCATTATAAATTGAAAATGGACAAAATGATTTTTTAAAAAATCAAAATAGTTGTAAGTATGCTATATATTAGTACATTGTTAAAATAGAGAACAACAAAATGAAATGGCTTTAGCATTTTTAATTTCCTCTAAGTTAATAAAAACCAAAAATAAACACCAGACTTGAAAAATAATCACTATAAACATTTGTAAAGAAATGTGAATTCACTTACAGGCAGGCATTGAAGACACTTCAGCTGTGACAATACTTTTTATCCCCAAGTTTGATAAGCCACCTCTGATTAAGCCACATGTAAATGCTAAATACTAAAAGGAACAAAGCATGTAAAAAAAATATTAAGGATTCACTGAGATAGTAAAACTATTAAATATGACATTTAGTAAAACCTTACTAGCTATTAATAAGTTATTGCTATTTAAAAAGGATGGAAGAATTTGTCAAAGTATTGAAAATTTTCATTGTTAGATGATTTCCCATATAACTGACAAATAAAACACAGACACATAACTTAAACTCCGTCAACTGGTGCTCTTGTCTGGTGCTCTTGTCTAGGACTCTACTCTTACTGAATCTACAATAAGTGACAAGAATAAAAGGGTAGCTGGTTAGAACTAGTTCTAGAGGTGACAAAGGTAGCTTGTACTTAATGTCAATGCTCCCTAAAAGGCTTCTAATTAGACCTTCCACATGGAGTGCTTGGGCTGTCTCTGATGCTTTCACCTCCCATAGTCCTTGCCCATTTTCTAAGCCTTTCCATTAATTCTATCAATAAGTGTAGAACTTAGCTTAAAATGTACATTTATTTGGTCCCGAGTGCATACTTTTTCCACTACACCTATAATGCAGTTGTGTTAAGATAATTTAGGTATGGACAAATTTTTACAAATAACAGCTTTTACTACCCCCTGATATTTTCCACTTTAATGGAACCCTTACATTAAAACTTTCCAGCTTTCTTTAAACTTACTGATTTCTACATGAGTTTGAAAAACAAAAACGATAGGAACCGGAAAGATAGATACACCTAATATAAAACATGTAATCTTATAAACAAATGTTAACTACCTAGGAAAAAAAAAAATGAATCTACTAAAGAAGATTATAAATTCTGAGGTGGATGATTCTGCATGGCTAATATCAGTTTTATAAGCTTGAGTATCTTTTCTGATGCATTTTTATGCTAATTCAAGAATCTACCATTAATGTACATTTCAGGTATTTAGTTGTTATGTTCTTTAATTGGTCATTATAAGCTTATTTAGCTATAATTTAATATTATCTTAATATGATGAATATTGAATGTTTATTTTCTATTTCTATTTCATAGAAAAATTTTTACACACAAAAAAGTATACCTGTAAAATCTGTTTTAAATTCAACGTCAGTTGTGATTGGCATTATCATTTTCCTTATATTTCTACTCTTTTCATAATAGAAAACCCTCGTCTTATATTCCATTAAATACCTTAGATGCATGTTCTAAATATTGTTTTCCTGCAGACATCTGAGTAAGCAGACGAAATTTATTATCCTGAAGTACATAGATGCCCTGTTCCAAAAATAGAAAAAAAATCCAAAGTCAATAGTATGTATTCCTTAAAAATTATCTCTCCACTTTAAAACAATTTAACTTTTTAAAAGTCATTAAAATTCTCCTTTCCATTGGTCAAATTTTCTTTATATGAATGAGTTTTGCAATGTTCAAGCTAAAGGGTTTTTCAGTATTTTATAACACTAGCATTTAATGAAAGCCTGTAGGTAGTGAAGACACAAATATTCACAAAGCAGTGCCTATTCTTAAAGAACTCACAGTCTAGTACAAAGGAATCAGAAGTACAAATTTTGATAAAATTAACAGTTACATATTACTAACGTATCTAAAAGGCAATAATCAGAGTAATTTTTTCCTTGTAGCATTTCAAGTAATTCCAAGCTAAGGTTAGTATTGTGTATGAAAAAAATGAATTATATTCATAATTTTACTAGAAATTATTTTAAGTTTTAATAAGTACATCATTAATAGAACATTTTTATCAAGTTTAAAAATAGGCCTTAAATTATATAAATACCTGATGGTTTGTCCTTAGATTGTCGATTTGTTTCTTGAATACTGTAGTCCAAAAATCTTTACAAACAAACTTCATGATATCTAACTCATCCTTGAACCTTGCAGTATCTTTTGTAAACCTAAAAAGATCAACTAGAAGTAAGAGTATTTTTCCTCCTCAAAAAAAGGAAGGGCCAATGATTAATAATTTCCAAATGCCAGGGCAGCATTTATTCAGTCACAAAGTGATAAGCAACAAGTAGATCCCATTTCAATGGATTCAATTTGGTTATATAATTATGGGGCTAAAATTCTAATTATTCTAACGATAAGCTGTAATTTAGGTACTATTAATTTTAGTGTACACACAAAAGCTGGGCGTGGTCATGAGGGATAGTAAAACATAATCTGAGTTCAACTCTTTTGATAGTGAGAAACCAATAATAAAAGGAATTTATATATAAATTGGATGATTAGTACACTTATAAACAGACTAAAACATCTATCTTCATGTATTAAACAAAATCCCATTTAGGTTAAAAAACCTATTAGACCTTATTAAGTAGGTAATATAACAAGATTTTTAGATATTTGTTTTAGCATACCAAATTTTTCAGGAAAAAAATCTAAAACATAAAGCACACTGTCTTCAAATATTAAACATAGAAGTTGTGAAATGAGTTAAAATAACATGAGATCTAAACGGAGATTTTAACCTGTGATTTAAAGAACAGAATAAAATTTGGGAATTAAATTTACAGTATCTCAAGTTATATGCAATCTTGTCAAATGCATCATCTTTGTCATAACCTACCTGGAAGAAAATTTTCAAATCCATACTGCTCACCTTTCTATCAATCCTTGTCCCACTCGAAACCCCATGTTTTCCAACTTAGTGATACAGCGTCCATTTTCCTATTAAAAAAATGCATGTACTTTTAGATGCCTGAATGTTAGTATTCGAAAGTTGTTTTAAAACCTTGGCTAAGGGCCTCCCTGGTGACACAGTGGGTTGAGTGCAGTGCTGTGCAGCTGTCTGCAGCCTCTGCAGCGCGGGTTCGATTCCCGCCTTGCCAGGGAGATACCCACATGGCACAGCAGACCTCTCCTTTCTCACCCACTGCTCCCCTCAGTAATGCTTTCGGTCCATCTGCCTGTTCTGCTCCCCGCTCTGTCTCTGGTGAATCCTCTTACCCACCACACCTCTGGCCTGTACCCTAGCTATTGTATAAAAAAAAAAAAAAAAAAAAAAAAAAAATCTTTTTAAAAAACGCACAAAAATAAAACCTTGGCTAAAAATATTAATGTAAATATCTTTTTTTCATTGAAACAAAAAAAGGAATCATATTTTCTTAGTATTTTTTTTAAAGATTTATTTATTTATACCTACAAGAACTGGGGTGTAAGCCAGAGGTGCGGGGTGCAGGGCGATAATAGGATTCACCAGAGACAGAGTGGGAAGCAGAACAGGCAGATCTGTTCTGAACACAGCAGTGAAATACACTGCTAGGGGAGCAGCGGGTGAGATAGGAGGGGTCTATCACGTCATGTGGGTTATTTCCCTGGTTAGGGATTGAACTCAGGCCCTCATGGTGAGGCTTAGAGGGTCTTCGTGGTGGTGAGACTTAACTTCTAGGCCACCAGGGAGGCCCTAAATCTATACTTCTAATAGAGATTTTATTGAACATAGCCATCTAGAGGTCCCACAGGAAGTCAAAATGGTATGATCTTAATGTACTAGCTTGTTCTTCCTCCAAAATTCCCTAACTTCACTGAATAGTTTCACTACCCACTACCCCAACTAGAAAACTTATTTCACCAACTAACTCAAGAGACAACTCTTTGCTTCCAACTTCTTCACACAGGCTGCAGTCCTGTAGAGCCTATCATCCACATGTTTCTCAAAACCCATCTTCATCTTTACTGCTGAAGCTAGCCTTTATCATGTCTCCTGGTTTTCAACTTCCAATGGATTTTCTTGTCTCTAGTTTTTTTCTTCCTTTGATTTTACCTTCTGGCATAGACATTCTAAAAAACAAATCATATTTCTCTACAGAAACTTTCAACTTCCCCATACTTTTCTTCAAAATAAAGTGCAATTCCTTAGCATAGCGTTATATATCTTTCCTTAAATGATCCCTGGCTAGCTAACCGAATTCACTGAGCCACATATCCACAAACATCCTTCCCTCTATCACTCTGAAATTGCTGCAGCAACTCCAGAATGTCATGCTTTTTTCTGCCTCCATATCTTTGCACATGCTGTTTGTTCCCTAGACTGCCCATCCTTTCAATTCAGCCCAAGTATTATGTCCTCCCAGAGCCTTCCCTGACACCCCTTTGAACCCAATGCTGTCATCACACTCTACATATACATCTATTATTGTACCTTTTCTTGGTTTTTCTGTTATATTCCACACTTACCCACAAACTTGCCCATGTATAATGGGTACCAGTAAATCATAATGCTCTTTGCGGAACACTTTGCTCTTTATAGAATCACCCAGAAACACAGCAATTAGCAGGAAATATATGGAGATATTCCCAAATCCTATCGTTAAGAGTCTTTAAAGTAAGCCTAATAAATACCTTCTTTTTTTTTTTTTTTTATAGAGGCATGTTTTATTTATTTATTTATTCGTTTGTTCGTTTTTGTTTGTGCATGCACTGGGTACAGTCAGAAGTGCGGGAGGGTAAGAGAATTCACCAGAGCCAGAGCGGGGAGCAGAGCAGGCAGAAGGACCGAAGTACACTGCTGAGGGGAGCAGCGGGCGGCAGGAGGGGTCTGCATGCCATGTGGGATCCTCCTCCGGTGGCCTGGGAGCAGCCGGGGATCGAACCGGCGCCGCAGAGGCCGCGAGCAGCTTTGCAACCCAGTGCTCAACCGCTGCGCCACCGGGGAGGCCCCTAATAAATACCTTCTGATGTCACTACTTATTCATTCACTTTGGCAACTATGAGTGCTCACTAGTAGGAACCAAATTTTTTTTAAAAATTTAAAAAAATTATTCCCCCAAGTTGATATTTAATTATTCATTTATTTTGAGATTTAATTCCTCCTCAAGCATAGTTTCACAATCATTGAATTGGAAAGTGAGAACATTATTTCTTTCCTTTATTTCACTTCAAAGCTATGGTTTTATGGGGCTTCCCTGGTGGTACAAGGGGTTAAGTCTCAGCACTATGAAGCTATCAGCAGCTACACAGCACAAGTTCAATCCCTGGCCAGGGATCAAATAGACTAATACACATATGGTGCAGCAGATCTCTCCTGTCTCGCCCACTGCTCCCCTCAGCAGTGTATTTCTGTCAATCCACCTGTTCTGCTCCCTACTCAGTATCTGGGGAATCCAACCACTCTCCAACCCTGACACTTCTGGCCTACACCCCAGTTCCTGGATGCATAAATAAGTAAAATAAATCTTCTTTAAAAAACCTATTATTTTATGTATGAAAAAAAGATACAAAACATTTCTGGATGACAGTATTATGGGAGTTTTTCTCACTTTTTTTATTGTGAAAAATTTGAAGCACACTAATTCACACACCTAAATTCAACACATATTCTAATTAAGTCTGCCATGTAACTTTTTAAAAATCATTTTTGTTTATATGTAGTTGATTTCAAGTTTTTGCATGCCATAAACAAGCTGCAATAGGAGAGTTATTTGTAAATGTTTCAAAATTTATGGATTTCCTTTTTGATGCGACTAGCACACCTCCTAAAGCTGGCTGTCAAGATCACAAAAAATATTTTTTATTTTTGTTAATTCATTGGAAAAAAAAAAAAAGAGGAATTAAAAAAAAATACTTCCTGAGCAAGAGATGGAAAAGGAAAAAAAGAAGAGAACTTGCACATGTCCAGGGGACAGGGAGCCAGAAATTTATGATAAAGAGTAAACAGGTTAGGGATAATGTATTGCTAATTATTCTTTAAGGAAAAGGGTAAAAGGAAGGCTAGTTCAGCACAAATAGCAAATATGTGCTACTCAGTACCTAGCATAGTTTCTTAATATTAGTATCTACTCATTGATGATAAAGTCAAAAGTTTGTCGCTTAAGAAAAAAGCTCCATTACAAATGGGTCTGAATAAGTAGAATTTGCTTTATTTCCAAGATTTTTCTTGATGGCTTCCTAATGATATATGCAAATACATCTATGTATATCTGTCATAAGCTGAATGTTTGTATTTCCCCCTCCCCCAAACTCCTATGAGATCCTAACCCCGGGTTAGGGGGGAGGGTCATTCTGTCATTAAGAATGGAGCCCTCATGACAGAGGGATAAGAATGGGATTAGTGTCAAAGAGACCTCAGTGCTAGCCAGTCTCTTTCTGCCATGTGAGACACAGACCAAAGACATCCAGGGAAGGACTTCACCAGATAGGAAAGCTGCTGGTATCTCGGTCCTGAACATTTTGGACTCCAGAACTGTAAGAAATGAATTTCTTTTTTATAAGTCACCCAGTCTATGGCATTTTCTTACAGCAGCTCAAATAGACTAATACACCATCTTTCTTATAGTTTACAAACTGGCAGTACCTTTTCCTGGATGTCCTATAAACACCTCAAATCTTCAGCCTGTCCAAAATATAATTGCCTTCACTTCTTTCCTTTGTATTCCCTCTCCATCTTATCAGCTGCTCAAGCTAAACATCTGGGGATAATTTTCAATTCTCTATATCTAAGTCCTAGATTTTCTACCGGTCTCTCAAACCTGATCTCTCCTCCTCACTATCCCTGTCTTAATTGAGATCTTCATCTTTTGATGTATTCAGGCAATAAAGGACAACCTTAAAGAGAATCTTCCCTCTCAAATCCAAACATCAGATTGTCTTTCTAAAGAAGTAAAAAGGGGGCGGGAGGGGGCATGTCAGGCCACTCCTTAGAAAAATCACTGAGAAGATCCAAATTTTTAATCATACAAGACTCTTTCTAGCTCAGCTCAATAATCACTTTCCTTCCACTTAATATAGTCAGAGTGAAATGTTTAAGAGTATTTAAATACATCATACTCTCACACCTTTACATTTGCATTTGATGTTTTTCCTTCCCCCCTTCCATCCCTCTGTAACATCAGAATTATAGAAAGGGGGGCTTCTAACTTGAGCTTGACTTTATGTGATAAGGACCATTACAACCACATGACTCTCTACCTAATTACCACCTAACACTTTATTCATTGAACTTCTATTTCCCAACATCTTTGGGATAGGGATTTTATTTTCTTCATCTAGCTGAGTGTCAGACCCATAATACATGCTTAGTAAATATTTTATGAATGATTCAATGAGTGACTGAGCATTCTATTACAAGTAACCTTGCGGCATGGGGTTACTTGAACTAGCTAGAACTAGCCTACATATCACTAAGTATTTTTTCAATTAATTAAACTATTTCCTGATTACAGTAACATCTGCAAACTTTCCTTTATTTTGCCTTCAAATCTCATTAGACTTTTATTTTAGTTCCTGAAGTGGTACTGGTATTGGAGGTTAGGAATGAGTTGGAAGAACAGGATTCTCAGGCTGTGACAGATCTGTCCCATGGAAGGCTCGGAAGTGCTGCAAGTGAGAGGAGAATTAAGCAGGGGTGTCAAAATAAGCTGTACAGTCAACCCTGCCATAAATTATAGTAAGAGCAACATTAAAAGTAGGGTCTTTGGTCTGCAGGACACAGGTTTGGAAATGGACAAAATGTATCAAATTAAATAAGATGGGAAAGAAAAGAGACAGGTTCTAGAGCTGAGGATACCAGCTCGTCTGCACGTCGGAAAGCTTTGAGGACAGGACAGGTCAGGGATTGAAGGAAACTGAGAGAAAACAAGTAGTGTCACCTCAAAAGAACGTAAAAGGTGTGTGTGGCAGCACTCACCACCTCCCCCTGCTCCGCGGACTTGTAAACTCCAGACACCATCTCGTTATGGAGAAGTAAAAACAACGCCTCGTCCGCCATTTCCTGTTTATTCTTCAAGCGCCTGGGTCAGCTCCCGTTTGGGCCGGGTGCGGGGGTTCCGATCGGCTCGAGGGCGGTTTGGACCGCGCCGCCCCTCCGTCAGTCCGCGGCCGGGTCCAGGTTGCTAGGAGACCACGGAATTCACCGGGCTTCCGGAAGGCTGGCACCAGGGCGCGCCGGGCACCAGGACAAGCCCACCCCAAAACCACCCCTTGGGCCCAAAAAGCCTCTGACCGGAGCAACAACCAAATCCGGCCCGCGGGCCCGATCGGTCCCTGGACGAGGGGCGGAAACAGCAACTTCCGGTCCCCTCTACCCCGGCATCCCGCCAGCTCTATGGTCGCAGAGCTACTTCCCGAGGGGAACGGCGGACGCCCAGTCAGGAGGAACGTGCCGCCCCCTTGTGAGGGAGGAGGCGGAGCGTGGTGAGAAAGATGAGAATGAAGCGCGGACCCGCGGCCCTCTGTTAATGAGTTCTGAATTAGGAGAAATGACAAAAATGGCTATTATCTTCATCAAAATCTCCCACTTCTTGCCATATTCTCAGGATGAAAGGTTCTAAAAGTGCAAAATCAGGGCTTCCCTGGTGGTGCAAGGGGTTAAGCACCGCACTGTGAAGCAATCCGCAGCCTCTGCAGCACGAGTTCGATCCAGCTGGTTAGGGAGCAGCCCACATGGCGCAGCAGACCTCTCCTGTCTTGCCTGCTGCTAGTGTACTTCAGTCGGTCTGCCTGTTCTGGTCCCCACTCTGTCTCTGGTGAGTCCTCTCATCCCCCACCCACGTCTCTGGCCTATACCCCAGCTTGTATGCATAAATAAATCTTTTTTTAAAAAGGGGGGGATCAGCTATACATGTTAGATATTTTGAGAAATTATCCCACCACTCCTTAATGGATTAAGCCTGGATATGCAAAAAGATTTAGAACGTTACTGGGAGCAGTAAAGGGATAACGGGGATGGAGTAAGTGTAGAATGAGATACATATAACAACAACAAAAAAACCCAGAGAATTAGGTGAATGGAAAAGTGTTAAAGACTTAAGAGATGAGTTCTAAGAACCTAAAGTGAATGTGGGAACTCTTACAAAGGTGCAAATGCATATGCTAGGTCATATGCACATCTTAAATTTGAAGGACCCTGGCTTAAATGCATTGCTTAGCCTCTAATTAGTTCTTCCTTAATTCACAAAGGTTTTTCCAATTCGTTGCCTCTCTACTTTAACATATTGAATTTTCTTAACTTGCTAACAACCTCTAAGTTCTTTATATGTTTTTTGCAAGAATTTTAAGATGATATTACATAATTGGAATTATAGAAGCTTTCTTTTGTTTCTCCCAATGGGTAAGTCAACTTATTCAATCATCACATAAATCAAGAATTCCACCTTTGTTTAATGCCTAAAAAGTATCATTTTGAAGAGTTTTGCAGTCATAATCTCAATTTTTCCAACACCAAATTTTTCCATAAATGACATCAGTTCTTTTATGTGCTGATTGCACTTTATTTATCACCCCCTCAAGAAAGAGGAATCCAAGCTCACGACTTGAGGTCAAAGAGTATGCAACTGACTAATTTACTAAGGTTGAGTTTTCAAACTATAACAACATGTGTTTCTTAGACTATTTTAGAGATCTGTGGTGGAACTAATATTGGAGTACTTACTGAATGTCAAGTATAGCACTTCACTGATTCACTTCCATAAAGCAAACAAATTGCCCAGTACCCTAGCAATAGATCTGATAGAAGCAGGAATAGATTCTGTTTTTGGTTGACTCTAAAAGCATTTCCCCCATGAAAACATTGTTATACTTAGTGATTAGATCTACTGGCTTTATGTACTGCCTGCTCACTACACAAGGTTGTGTTGTTACAGCACAGGGAGAGGGGCACCACAGGCCCTGCAAAACTGCCTGCTCTAAATATGTTCTGCCATCCGTGGCATCAACACAAAAACGAGACTTTAATGAAAAGGAACTTTAATACAATTAGTAAACAATACAGGAAAGACAAAGAATATAGTTTCTAAATCAAGCACCCAGAGTTACTCATCCCCTCGTGGGTAAAAGTCCACCCAAACAGGATTGGCCCAGAGCAAGGCCCTGAACACCTGCCAGAACTCTAAAGCACCTTTCAGTGGGGACCCACAAAAAGGATCAGAAACAACTATACAAGTCTGGGAGGAAAAGAGCAAAATCAAAATCAAGATAAAAGCTGCCATTGTTATCCTCCCCATGGGTCTGTCTCCCACATCTGTTTCAATCAGTCCACGACCAAAAGGTAAGGTAGTTTCTTAACTTTCTCTCTATTCCATGTGCCTCCTCCAGATCTCCGTCTGACTATCCTGCTTCCTGCCTTCCTCCATCCCTTCTGCAGCTTCTTCTCCCTGCTCACCTCCACTCTCCTTTCGGTGGAGCAGAAAACCTGAAACTTCCCCCTTTCCTGGGGACCACCCTGTTGCAGTGTCACTGAAAATTCAGGAGGCAATAAAAAAGAGAAGTGCATTTATTTGGGATCAAAGTCACAATTTGGGATACACAAATTCAGGTAGAAAATCTAAAAGACATTCCCAGAAAGGACAAAATCAGAGGCTGTTATGGGAAAAATGGATGTACCCAAGATCCTAGAATAGTGCTGGCACATAGTAGGCGCTCAATACTTTCTTAACAATCTTTGCACCCTGAGGATCCCAGAAACTTCATGGACACAAGGATCACAGCTATCTTGCTCAAGGCTTTTTCTTCAGAGTCTAGTTTATTGCTGATACACAGAAGGAGCGGTTAAATTTAATTGGTTGGATGAATGAGTTATACCACTAATATGTGGTACAAGAAGGAAGGTTGGCTCAAAGATGGGGGATTTGAACCCAATGAATATTCATAACGGGGCTTATGTAGGAAAGTTATATGACTTAAATTGCATGAGTTACAATTTTCAGTGATAATCTATTTCTGAAACAAAACTGGACCTCATTTTGGCAATGCAGACAGGACAGAATTAGAAGCTGGAGGACGCTCACACTAAGCAATAATGCAGCGCCCCTCGTCTTAAACCATTCAGCTCTAGTTATGTTCATCCTCATCTGCCTCATTGTCATAATTTTGTTGTTGTAAAGTCGTGCACGGGGTCTGACAGAATGGTTTCTCAGCTACTAAGGGACTGCTACGGTGTCTCCAGTCTCAGTTTTCTTCATCAGTGATAACAGGCTTTTTATTCAAGTTTTTGGTTTGTGAGGGATAAGGCCTATAAAGCATTTCACGCAGAGTGCAAAACAAAATAGTTAGCTATTACGATTAACGACCTCTGCCCCTCCATTCTGCTCCCCTCAGCTCATTTTGGTTTAACCGAATCCTGCGGAGCGGGCGCCCTCTACTCCCTCTCTGGGCATGCGCAGCAACAGAAAGGCCGCACCCTTTTTAATCAAATCTTTTACCCGGGAGAAATTATTAGATTCGGGAGAAAGGAAAGAACTCGTTTCCTCCCACTCTTGATGTGGATAGATCGTTAAAACGATGTAAGGCAATGGCACGTCCGATCACAGGTTGAAATCGCTGGAAGGCCCCTCTCGGCAGGGTAGAAGCGCAGCCCCGCGCAGCCCCGCGCAGCCCCGCGCAGCCCCGCGCAGCCCCGCGCAGCCCCGTCTCCAAGGAGCCGGAGACTCCGGAGCCCGCCTCGCCGTCTGCGCCAGACGCGGAGCCCAGCCACCCGCAGCTAACAGGGGCGGGAGGAGACCGCCTGGCCGACTTTTCATTGGTCCAGAGTCACAAAGGCCGGCAGCTTCTCCCCTGCCGGCCGCTGAGTGGTTGAGGCCGGAAAACAACGCCTCTCGTCATTGGCTGAGCCCAGCTGTCAGTCTTCTCGCGTCTGGCGGCGCGACACGGTCAGGCGCGGCCTGTAGAGCAATCTCGAAGCCTGCTGCAGGGAGAAGATGGCGGTCGCAGTGAGAACTTTGCAGGAGCAGCTAGAAAAGGCCAAAGAGAGCCTAAAAAACGTGGATGAGAATATCCGCAAGCTCACCGGGAGAGATCCTAATGACGTGAGGTAAGGGCTGGATGGGAGAGGCCGACTCCAAGAGGAAAGCCATCAGGCCAGGGTGAATTGGGGGCGGGGAGGGCGGGCAGCCCTGAAAAGGCTGGAACATCGAGGCCTGTGCCCGTGGCCGCGGTAGAACCCGTTCTCCTGAGGTGGGAGCCTCCCAGTCCCCCGCCCAGGATTCCGGGGCTCGGGTACCTGAGGAGGGAGACCCGGGCCCAGACGTGCGGACTTGTCTTCCCTGCCTGCGGAAAGGCCCCGGCTGCCGATTCCCGCCTTCGGCCCTGCAGGCCCGCAGCTGCAGCACAAAGCCCCTTCCCCTTCGGCGGCCACCCGGCGCGGGGCTGACGCGGAGACCCCGAGGACGCGGTTCACCGTCTCGTCCCCTGGCTCTTGCCCACGTGCAGCTTCCTTGGGGTTGGCGGGATTAGAACCCGACCCAAACCTGTACTGTGTATTGGCATCGTGGGTAAATATCATTTCTGTGATACTAGGGTTGAGAAAACAAGGAAGTGAGTACTTCCTGCCCTGTTTCGGACACGTGGGTTTGAAATCGTCTATTTTAGAACTTTTCTGGTTATTTTCCTCTTTACGTTGAACTGTACTCGCGAAAATATTTGGTGCCATTGGATATATCTACGTAGGATTTTTATACCGATGTGTAAATTTCTTACAGGCCCATCCAAGCTAGATTGCTGGCCCTTTCTGGTCCTGGTGGAGGTAGAGGACGTGGTAGTTTATTGCTGAGGTACGATTTCCTTAGGACTTAACGCTTATGTTAAAATTTGCTATTACTTATACTAAATTGTTGTATCGATTTAAACAAAATTTATGGTAGAACCTATGTAAGAGATGTTTGTGTTTTGTTTAAAGCTGTGATCAGCTGTAGTTTTCACGATATTTTGGAAAGTACTTCATTTACATGCAAAACTACAAATTAGTTGATGTCAGTTTTGTGTAAACTTAATTTACAATTATAGTGTTTTTTTTTTAATTCTGAAGTATATTGGAGAGACCATTTAAGTTTGCTATAATTTAAAGGATTTTTAAAAATTCAACTAAATTATCTTGCTAAATAAAAGTGTTGGTTTAGCATCATTTTCAAGGACTCTTACCTTGGGCATTTTATTTGCAGGCGTGGATTCTCAGATAGTGGAGGAGGACCCCCAGCCAAACAGAGAGACCTTGAAGGGGCAGTCAGTAGGTATGTTGGGAAAAGATTATGAAGGCATACTCATATACTCTGTTTTCTGAGGTAGTGT